GGGTCGACTCTCATGGATCTCGACTATTGATAAAAATGACTGTAAAAAATTTCATGTGAGTTGTATATATGTGTTGTTTAATTAATTATTTTGTTGCTGTTATTGTTGAGTTTATTATATTATTACTATTTAAATTCACAACATTTTTTTAAAAAATTTATATTCAAATAGCCCAGGTAATTTTATGTAAATAATAGTGTGCATTTTAAAAAAAGTGTCGTTTAATTAATGGTATTGCATTTTGTTTGTTTTGTTTTAATTAATCTATAGTATATATATATATATATATATATTTAAAAATAGATAATTTATATTTTAATTATTCAATACTATATATATATATATATATATATATATATTATAAATTGTTTTAGTTTACATTAGAAAGTAAATGATTTTAGGATATTTTATGTCCAATTACTGTATTGTATATATATATATATATATATATATATATATATATATATATATATATATATATATAACTCATTAAGCTATCAATGACTTTTTAAAAATAATAGGTCAATGAAATTACTAATTATTAATTAAATTATTAAATCAGAATATTTTTTTGCTTAAATTTATAGTGAAACCAACAAAAAATATATAAATACTTTTTTTACATAAATTGTTACATAACTTTCGTATACAATATGTTATACAATTATAAGACATATGACTATTTTACATAACTAATTATCATATCATATACTATATATATATACTGTATATATATATATTTAACGATTTTAGTATCATTTTTTTTATAAGTAGTGCCTATTTTTAATAATAATTAGTCAGATATTTTTTTACTGATAAATTTTTTTCTACTGATATAAATATCTACACATTTGCTTATATCTCGTTAATTATGGAAACATAATTACAATTAAATGTTTATTTATAATAATATTTATTATATTAACAGATTATATATATATGTGTGTGTGTGTTTGTATATAAGTTTAAAAATTCATTATTATTAATACAATTATTATTATAATGATAATACAGTTATAACTGTAACGACATATTTTATAGGCTATTGTCACATAAAATAATTTACTTTTTTATTATATTATTTTTAATAATAACTATATTTAGAAATCTGACAGATATCTTGATTTTTTGCCAAAATATAGTTTGTTGGGGTTTTCAATAATAATAATTTTTTTGTTGTTGAAAATTTCTATCAAAAAACCAAGAGATATAAAGTTTTAACTTAAATGACATGAAATTATTTATAAGTTAAAAAAATATTTAATTTTTTTTGATGGTACAAACCTGAAGCTTATATTTAATTTCAAATATACTCAATGTTTGAGTTTTAAGTCAAACAATTTAATAATAATAATAATCACAATTATGATATTAATTCATACATTATGTTTTTAAAAATTTTATGACAATATAGTATAATATATTGATTGTGTAATTTTTTTTGTTGTAAAAATCGGAACTAATTATCATTATTTTGATTTTGTTTTATGAATTTATTTGTTTATTTTATTACCTAATATGATATTTTAAGGATTAAATTGCGAGTAAAATATTCAGTTATAAATATTTGTGAAAATATTATAACAATCATTAGCTATAATGACTATTAGGAAAAAAACTAGTGTAAAGATAATTATGTCAATTATTATGTAATTTACAAATACAGTACTATATATATATATTTATACAGTAATACTGTAACAGTATATCGATATATCAAAAACCATTAGCATATACAGTATGTTAATAATGTAATATCAATGATATAATTTTATCATTATCATCATCATCATTATTATTTTTATTTTTATTTCACATTTATTTATATGTTTGCATAAAAACTGATTATTACAATAATATGGTGTAATAGATTTATTAATTTATTTTCAACTTTTTTTTATAAATATTTAATATATTCATAAAAACTAAAAAAAACACAAATTACATATTACATCAAATATTGTACAAACAAGTAAATTATAGTGTATTTTATAAATTAAATGGTATCATAAATTTTATGTATTTTTCTTAATGATTTAATTGGGAAATCAAATTAGTTGAAATGCAACCAAAATTCAATAGAAATCAAAATTTCCAATAATATAAAAATTATTATTTTTTTAAATATACTAATTTAATGTTGTAATTATATAACAAAATTAATATACTGTAATTTTCTTAATTAAATGTTAACAATAACAATTGCGATAGACTTTATTTGTATTATTAATAAAAATTAATTAAAAGCATAAAAATCAATTATCACATACTCATAGACTTGTAGTGAAATTTAATAATAAATTATTGTTTTATTCATTTATAAATAAAAACTATATGGATATCCTTGAATACAATAAAACAATAATACATTTAATTTCAAAATCGGTATCAAATGTTTGGGTGTATATCAAGTTTCAGTATTTATTTATTTGTATTAAATCTATTTATTTTGTTTAAACATATATACAAAAGAAAAACATTATTATTATTATTATTATTACTATTCATTTAAATATTTATATAGAAATATTTTACGCTAAATATTATAGTAATTTTTCAAATATTTTATTGAAAAGTTATTATTACTGTGTATAGACTCTATACTATTGAATATAATATTAAAGATTATTTTTCCTAAACAAATACATCATTTTGTGTGCCAAATAACAGTCCATTATTTGTTTGAAACCAATTGTTTTTTTTAAAAAAAATAAATATTTATATTTTTATTATTAAATTATAATATTTATTAGTTAAATAATAACAAAATCATAGTATAAATATTGTTTATTTTAATTTAATTATACAACTATTATATGAGTTATACATTTTGAACGTCCATTCATAAGGGAAAGGGAGGTGTTTTTGAATCAGTTTAAATAAGTGAACTTTTTTTAAAAAAAATACAATGAATAGTATTGTTAAATATTAAAAAAATAAATAAATATAATTTACTAAAAATTATAATTATTAAATTTGATAAATATTTCATATTGTTTAACTTTTGCTAACTTTGTCTTAATAATAATAATAATAATTTTCTATTTCTAATGATTCAAATTCAAATTAAAATAATTTGACTAAAAATTGATTTAAAAATATTTATGGTTTACTATATGAGTAATAAAATAATTTTAAAAACTAGTTTATTATACCATATATTTTTACAGTAAATTAATAACTATAAACCACTTGACTTAGAAAAAAATTGTCATAAAAAATGCTATTATTATAATACCTTCAAAGTTAGCAAATATATTATATTATAGAAAAATTAGGAAATACAGTAAAATAAATGACAGAAAAAAATTATTGTATTTTATATATAATTTTTTATTTCTTTTGGTTACAATTGATAGCATTATAGATGTATAATATAATTTGAATATACGATCGACACATACAAAAAAAATGATTTTATTAATTTGATATATTATTAACATGAAATAAGTGTCAACTCAATTGAAACTAATTGATTGTAAATAATTTATTTTAATATCTTTACACAATTACACAATCATCGAAAATATATATTATTAGTGTATCAATATATATATTTGCAGTTTAGTTTAATATGTATTACAATGTGAAAAAAATATCAAATATTCAATAAACCGTAACATTAATTTTCAGTTATTTATTTATTTTTTTGATAATAATAATAAAACTTAAACTATTGATATAAATTTATAAGGATATCATAGGCAATGTATATCAGGTTAATCATTAATACCTATTATACTGCTATATAAGTATTACTATTTTTTATTTAGATTTTTTTGTTGTATGATATTAAAATAAAGATTTTTTTATTGTCACAAAATTAAATTAAATATCACATCAGAAAATACTGTACAATGTGTTTAATTTATAATTTTAATTCATAATGTTTGTCAAAATAACATCAACAAAAAATAACATTTTTTCATATTTTATAACATAGTATATAAATATATATATATATATATATATATATAATACTATTATTTACTTTCTATGACTTCCTTAACAAATAAATTATGTGATAATTCTCATAATATCTCATAATATTTATTTGTAAGAAATAACACAATAGTTGTAATTATGATTAATTATATTTTTTATGTGAAGATTATTAGCTATTTGTTGTAATTTTTTTTAAAAATGTTTTATTATTAATAATAAAAAGTTTATTAATACTACTGTATTAATGTATTCAAAGTATTGTTAAAAACGTATTTGACTTATTGATGTCAATATATAATTTTATATATAGGAGCATATATGTCATAAATATATATAAATTTAATTAATTATCATAAATGGAAAGTTTAAAAAATAAATAATATGTAAAATAATATTAATTTTATGGAAAATACAGTGAAAATTTACCAATTTTAATTGTTTTAAAAATGTTTTATAATTATTAATTATAATTACAAACAAATTGCAGATAAATTGAAAACAAATTGTACTATAAAAGTGATCCATAATTTTTTTTACATAAATATAACAATTAGCATAAAATTAAAATCAATTTTATTTTATTAGTTATTAATAACATTTAATAAATAATATTACATGTTATAAAAATAATTTTATATTACAAAATGATTAGCCAATTGATTCATATTAAGGGGAAAATCCGATATTATGTACAAAATTTTTCCCGTTATGTTAATAATAGTGAGAAAAATACCTAAAATAGATAAAAGTGGTACCAGTTTTTTGGACACAATTTTTATTGATTATAAGTTATAACACTTTATTATTATTATTAATTATTGAATTTTTTACACCAACCAACAATAACAACAAAAAATTGCAGACAAATTCAATATTTTTTTTTTGCAAAATTAATTAACATATTTAACACATTTTACTGTCTGTGTGTGTGTAGTGTATGGTTGTGGGTAGATATTAGACCTAACTATTTGTCTAAAAATATTGTTATTATTTTTCTGATTATTATAAAATAATTAATAAATTTATTTTTTTATTGAATGTGTGTGTAATGTCAGGTCGGGCTGATTTTGATGGTATAGATAACGCTGCGCTTGATTTTAGTCAATTGGAGGACTATATCAATGACGAGGAGGACAACCAAAATACAATGTAAGTCATTGTTTAACTATTTTTTTTATTATTATTATTATATATATATATATATATATATTTAGTTACTATTGAATACACAAATATTGATTGTTTTATTTATAAATATTTAATTTATTAGTTTGACTTAATTTTTTAAAAAATAAAATTTGTATTTATAATTTTTAATGTAATATATATAGTTATATATAAAAGTTTAAAAGTTAGTGTGTTTTAAAAAAAAAAATTACGATATAATTATTATTTATGCATTTAAAATACAGTATAGATTTAAATGTAAATTTATAACATAATCAATAATAGAACTTTTGTAATATATATATATTGATAATTGTTTTGGATTATCAAATAAATTAAAATAAATTAATTGTTTCAATAATATTATGTCATTTAACAATATATTTATTTAAATGATTTAAACATTTTTACATAAATAATTACTATAATTTAATTGTCTCTAAAAACACTCAAATGTGAAAATATCATATCATAACTATATTATTATGACATTTAAAATTTACTACTATATCATTATCAATGTTAATGTTTTATAATAATAATTTAAATCAATTTGTTGCATAAATTTGTTTAATAATAATTTTTATTTTTAAACAAAAATAATATAAAATAGTTAATAATTGTTTTTTTTTGTTGAAAATATAGTTTTTTCTACTAAAAAAAATATATTTATAAATATTTTTGTCATCTTATATATTAGTATAGTATATATATAATTATGTGTTACAAAATATATCTACAATTAGACTGTCGTTTAGTAGTTAACACAAAAAAGTGAATTATATCTCTAAACAATAATATCAATGTTTATCTAATCTATTGAAGCGTTTTAAAAGTAAAACTATTGTATATGTTTTTGTCTAAACAAAAAACTTTTGCCATAAAATTTTCACTTATTAGATGTATTTAGAGACAAAATATTTGTATCAAAAATCAAATATTTATTTGCAAATCAATTGCATAAAAAAAGTAATACAAATGATTAAGCAAAATATTAGCAAATCTTTTAAAACATTATGAGTTGTCTATAATAATACTAATAATAAAAATATTCATTTATATGAAGTTTTTTAGTTAATTATAAGTATTTTTCTAGTAATTAAATTTCTAATATTTTAAATGATTGATTTATATAAATTGATTTACAGTAAAACCTATATATAGTTTGTTTTGTATAGTTTGTCACAAATCTTGACACAGTTTTCACAATATACTGTATATAAACATTAAATCATTTGTTATTTTAGTTGTCATTAAAATATATACTGTATATTAAAATTGAATGTCAAAATTTATTTATTTTTTATCTACTCTTAAAGTTTGTCAACATTTTTAAATATTGTGTTATTATATTTAAATATAAATTTTTAGTATACAATATCAATGAGAATCAATTATTATATATTTTTTTATAGACATTTAAAATGATTATTTTTATATAGAAATATTGTATTCAATAGAGATATTTTTATTGTAATAAATAATGAATTTCAAAAGTTTAATAACAAAATGAAATAAAATACTGATATTTTTTGCAATTTTATTTAGATTTTAGATGCAATTATAGAGAATATATATATATATATATATAACACTATATAAGTCACATATTATAAGATGAAATTTACTATAAAATAAAATGACACTTAAATATAAATATAAAAATACTATATATAAAAATATAATACCTGTATATAATAAAGTCATGCACTAATTGTTTTTAGCTTTAATATCTAACAGTAAATAATGTATATGTTATTTGTTATTTGTGTGATAATCGTAACTAAAATTAATTTTTTTTATTTAAAAAAAAATATTTCGAAATCTTATTTTATTTTACTTTATTAAAAAAAACTTTAGGAAAGCCATTGACTTTTAGACAACTTTAGATAAAATCATTAAAATTTATAACATTTTATTAAAATAAATTAACTAGTTGATATCTATTTAGTTTTTTTTATAAAAATAGAAATATAGAATATTATCTATAATAAAATTTATGATATAAAAGTAAAAAAAAATATTTTTAAAAAAGTTTGTCATAATAATAAAAATAACAATGTTTTTTATATTAAGCCATTTTATATATAAAAAGATTACATATATAAATATTTTTTAAGGATTTGACAACAAATTAAACAAAACAAAAATTATGACAAATGATTGACAAACAATATTGAATTTTTTAAATGAAAATTTGATAAATATATTGAATCTTACAAATGATTATAAAGTGCCTAATAATATGAAAATTATATTTAACAGTAAACTGATTAGTTGTATAGGTCTTAATAATCAATAATTTTATCCACGAAAAAATGATATAAAGTTTTCAAAATTTTTAGTTTCTCTTTACAAACTAAACAAAATATTAGAGATATCTCCCAATTGTGACATTTTTTTGGTTGTATATTAAATGATCTTTTATTTTACTGACGGATACTTTACTTATGGTATTGTAGTTTATAATGTAATCAATACTTATAGGTTATAGGTTGTAGACATATATATATATACAGTAATTATAATAATACAAAAGTATATTATACGTCAATACTATTAATATACTAACTTTATATGATTAATAATTAAATATAAAAAAAGTTTAGTATAATATAACAGTAAAAAAGCTATTTTTGTTATTATTACAAAAATATATAAAATAGTTTTATTGTAACTAAAACTTATTATAACTTTTTAATATATAACTTTTGTATTATTATTATTATTATTTTGATACTATCATTAAACGATTCTATGTTTTCAAAATAAAACTTTATGTGAATGTAGCCTATAATGAGTATAAATAGCATTATTTAAATCAAATAATTAATATTTTGAAATATGATTGTGTTATTTATAGAATATATTTATTTATTTATAGTTATTATTATTATTATAATATAATTATTATTAGAAATAAATCGAAATAAAATTTTCCAGATTATATTAGTTATCAATTTTTTAATTTTAATTAAAATAATAATATTCATTTTCTAAATAAAATAAATTAAATTAACAATTATGGTTTTTCCAACATTCAATAATGATTACAAATACAGTAATACAAAAAATTATTTTAATAAAGAAATTCTAGTTTAAATAATTTATGATTAATTATTTATTTATTTATATTATATTATAAACGATAATAATATATTTGTTTAGTATTATTTAAGACAATTTTTTCATTAAAAAATAACTATTATTAAAACTATTATTATTATTATTAAGTAACAATTGTTTCATATATATTATAACTTATAATATGAAATCAATTTTCAATATAAAAGATTTGTCATATAATATAATTTGTATAATAATATTGAGTTTTTCTTAATATAAGTTATTTTTAATTAATAGTTAGTAACTTAGATAATATAAATTTGTATAATATACTAGTAATTATAATTATTTTTACAAATTATATAGTGTGTTTAATTTATAATTATTGTTTAATTGTTTGTAATTGAACCTATTTTTTCTCTATAATGATTTTTCAGATTTATATATTTATTATAACATATAATTAAAAACTAATAAAAACAAAGAGAAATTGTTTTTTTCTAATCAATATTTGTCTTCAATGTTGTTGAATACGACAACAAAAAACAACAGTCAATAGATTTTGAAAGTAAATAATTTACAAAATATAATATAAATATAATAATAATTTCAATTGATTGCCAATCATACGTAAAATACATGTCAATGTTATTTAATGAAAAATAAAAGCATTTAGTTTATCTCAATTGTTTTTATTTAAGTTTTATTTGCTTGGTTTTATACCACAATAAATAGTAATTATCATATTATAGACAACTTATAGACAAAACAAAATCAATTATTAAAACTACTAAAATGATTTTTTTAAATACATTTTTTGTTTCATTTGTTTTATTAGAAAAAATTTAATAATAATAATAATAAAATAAAAATTGTCCAGGAAATCAGTTTCGATATTATTATTATTTAATATTGTTATCAATTTGTTGACAACTATATAGTTATATTGAATTATATTATTAAATAATCACTAATTATCATTAGCTAATGGTTAGACACAAAACACATTTTATTAGATTATTGGGTCAAACAATTAGTTGTCAGAAATATATATATTTTTTTGTTGATTTGTTTAAATCATTTAGATTTTAATGTCTTTTTAATATAAAAATTTCTTCATTTAAATAAGTTTTTTAAATGTATTTGCAATTTATTTGGAAAAATACATAATTAAATGAAACAAAAAAACTAAATTTTCACAGTTTTCTATAAATATTCAGAAAAAAAAATAAAATAAAAAGATTTAAAATAATGTTAATTATAATTTAGTAATATATTTACAATGGCATTACTAATTTAATGTACACACAAAAATAATATTATTATACAATATATTCATAATGTATTTTCAATGCATAAACTATTTCAGTATACACTATAGATAAATCGGTTAAAAATTTAAATATTTTATATATTTAAATAAAATTTAAAAATAACATAAATATTATTATTTTTATTTTAGCTATTATGCTGTCATTAATTATTAGTAGAGTAGTAACAAACAAACAAAAAAAATTTTTTGAATCATTGATTCAAAACTAATTGACACCAAAATACTAGATTAGTTGCAAAATATAGTTAACATATTTTTTTTGCTTTTTTTGCTTATTGCCAATGAAACCCATTGTCTCTAAAAAAAACTACTAACTGTTTGTTTGATGACATCCCTCTCAATCCCTTTCAGATACTTTCAAGAGGCTCTTGTAAACAGTGATCTCAGACCAGAGGAAACACCGCAAACAGCCTTCAAAGTAACCGCTGTCGGCCAACAACAACAGCCCACTACAGGCCAATTACAACCAACACCACCACATCCCGGTGCTCAGCCACCACCAGCGCCGCCCCAGTCAGCCGGCTTATTGCCGCAGCACTATCTCGGTGTCGGCGGTCCAGTGCCCAGTGGACCGACGCCAGCGCCTCGCAGTACCACAACAGTGACACTTGCTGTCAATAATAGCAATAAATCGCCTAAATCTCAGTCGTCCCGTACCAGCCATCAGACAACAACTATTGTCCAACAAACTCCCGGTGCGCACCATCCACAGCAACTGCCGTCACATCTAACAGGCCAAACAGTTACCGTTCATCCGCAGCCGCAGCTGCCGCCGACCACATCAGTGACAGTAACGCACATCGGTTACAACGGTCATCAATCGGCCAGACATAACGGTTCACAGCAGCCGCCAGTGCCGCCGTCCGTCAGCGTTCAGCAGCCGTTGCGCCACCACTTGCCAGACTCACCGCCCGATTCGGGTTCGGAGCCGCCCTTTTCGCCATTAAATGACGACAAAGTAATTAGTAGTGTCAACAGTGTTGCCTCACAACCAAACAACACAACATCAGACATAACAATGTTAGAGCCGACCATTGAAGGCATGAAACAGTTTATGAGTTATACGACAGCACACACACCACTAAAACAATTGTTACCACAAAATGAGATCTCTTTGACAATAACACCACCGCATCATTCGGTAAGTCCTTAAACTAAACTAACTGTTCAGATATCGGATTAACTGTTTAAACCTATAGCCGCAACAACAGGCAATGACTGGACTGCCGCCCATGCATTCACATCCGGTAGTTTTAATACCGCAAGAGGTGCCGCCCATCAACCAAATGGTACCAATACCGGGACCATTGGGCCTTCAGGCCACTCCAGTAACGACAGGCATGGTATCGCCGGCCACAGCCGGTCACCTGACAACCCTGTACGCCACAAACGAGGAGTATATGGCCGCCTGTATCAGTTCACCTGAACAACAACAACAACACCATTCCAGTCAACAAAGCAATGGCCAGACAAGCAAAAAGAGGAAACTTTCGGGCAAACAGAGCACAAACAACACAAGTATGATGAACGGCGGTGTCGTCCATATTAAACAAGAACCTGACGGCCTGTCGCCAGAACCGAACAATAATCTTCATACAACCACTTCGATGATCATACCGGGCGATGACGAATACTTTGACTACGGACCCGATGGACAGATATATCTCGATTCGGTCTACCAGTGTATCCGATTTCAAATCTTTCAGAACAGTCCGTTCTCTATATTGTGCGACTCATCGCTGAAGGAACTGTATGTCAATCATTCAGTCAATCACTGACTCCTTTAAGATTTATTATTATTTATGTTTAATTATATCCATCTCTATCTTCTAGACCGACACCCAATTATAAAGTCGAAGCGGACAAAGGTTTCAACTTCAGCAATGCCGACGACGCGTTTGTTTGCCAGAAGAAGAACCACTTTCAGGTCACTGTTCACATTCAGCCGATCGGACTGCCGGCCTGTGTCAAGTCGACCGACGGCATCAAAAAGATCGATAACTTTTATCTACACTTTTACGGCGTAAAAGTTGAATCGCCGGCTCAGACCATCAAAGTAGAGCAAAGTCAGAGCGACCGAAGCAAAAAAGCTTTTCATCCAGTCTTGTATGTCATTTGTTGATTATCACAATAATAATAATAATAATAATATTAATAATTTTTTTTGTTTTAAATAATATAATAATAATATCCAATTGTAGAGTCAACTTATGTCCGGATCAGGTGACAAAGACAACAGTAGGTCGGCTACACTTCAGCGAAACCACGTCCAACAATATGAGAAAAAAGGGTAAACCAAATCCCGATCAGCGATACTTTTATTTGGTGGTCGCACTGCACGCACACGTGGCCGACCAGTCCTATCCCATTATTGCCCACTCATCCGAAAGGATCATTGTCCGGGTATGTCATTGAATAATAATGAAACAAAAACAGTAAACCACTGTTTGTTTGTTTTTTTTGTCTCTCTATTGATTGACTGATTGTACTGATCTCTTGTTGTTGTCATTATTTTTGGTGGTCAGGCATCAAATCCGGGTCAATTTGAAAACGATATCGAACTGTCCTGGCAAAAGGGACACTCGCCAGAGTCGATCTATCACGCGGGACGGGTCGGCATCAACACAGACAGGCCGGACGAGTCATTGGTGGTCTACGGCAATGTCAAAGTGACCGGTCATATCATACAGCCGTCTGATAAAAGGGCCAAACAAAATATCGAAGAACTGGACACTAAGGAACAGTTGAAAAATGTACAGAACATGCGTATTGTTAGGTATCAGTTCAAACCCGAGTTTGCCAAAGAGGTCGGACTCGAAGGCGACAATATATTGGGCACCGGTGTACTGGCACAGGAAGTCCAAAAGATATTGCCCGACGCCGTCAAAGAGACCGGCGATGTTGTATTGCCCGACGGCGAAACAATTGAAAACTTTTTGGTCGTCAATAAGGACCGGATATTCATGGAAAATGTCGGCGCCGTTAAAGAGTTGTGTAAAGTGACCGATAATCTCGAGACCAGAATCGATGAATTGGAACGAATGAACAATAAGTTAAATAAATTCAATAGATTTGATTCAATCAAGAGTGTCATCTCTATGTCCAGTGTGGCCAGTGGTAGCACAGTTACCTCAAACTCAATGTATATATATATTTATTTTTAAAAAAAAACATTTACTAACTTTTATATAATGACAATATTATTAATTAAAAAATGGGTTTTTTCATTACTAAATTAGTTATAATAATAGTAATAATACCCGACCAACATGTTATAAACATTATAAGCACCGGCACCGTAACAGTGTGTCCGCACCTACCATATGCACCAATAAATTCATTCAAACAGTTATTATGGTATTAGTGCTAATTATGGCATTTTGGTGAGTAGTATACCCTATAATAATATCTATACAATTATTAAAAAATTAAAATAAATTAACTATTAATTTGTTTGTTTCGTCAAAAAAGCCTGGCATCCATTGCCACACTGTATGTATTAGAGTATCATCGCCGACATTCCCATCACTCCCAGCCATTACAAGACACACCATCCATACAACAACAACAACAACACACATACAACACAAACACTCATCAGTCATCGCCTGTAAATATAGTATACACGCCATATCCTCATCAATCACAACAACCACCGCAACAACAATACCCGTCCAGTTCTGTGATTACATATCATGACCCGCAGTCAATACATCAGTCGACTGATAAAAGACATAATCCTAATAGAGGTAAATATAGAGAAACTAATGGGTTATATATATATATAAAAATTACCGGTAATTGTAATTTTATGATTAAAATTGTTTTTGTTTTTTTTGTTGAACAGATAAGACACAAATGAGTGTCTATTCATTTACCACATCTTCGTCGGTTCGCACGAGACCCACATCCATACCGATACTCAAACCCCAGGTGTTGGGCATACCGTACAGTTGTCTGGACGTGAGCACAGTCATACCCTCGTGTCCCATACACTGTTGCAGTGATAATACCAATAGTAATAGTAATAATAATAATAATAATGACAGATCTTACGCCCAAAGAAGTTCAACGTTTAGCACACAGTCGTCTTCGCCCTCATCGCCGTCGGCGCGCACATCATCCACACAAGTGGTCACCAAATCGACATATTATTCGACAAACAACAACAACAATAATAATCTAATGACCCAAATGACGGCCAACGGTCTGTCCAATAATAATAATAAAAACGGCGACTCAAAGACCACCAATACATTGGGTCACGAAGTAGTGGTAGACGTCGATCCCTACTCGAAGACCAGCTATATCGACGAAACGGCCAGTGGTGACCTGAATCACCCGAACACGTTGAACCGCGAGCTGGACAACAGCGAACCGCCGACCAATATCTATAATACGACATTTTTTACCCGACTCTACGATAGATTGTTGAACAATAGTGGCCGAAATTCTGATACCATAGACACGAAAAAACGTACGGACGAAACGTTTGCTCTGAAGTACGGATCAGTTGATCTGCAAAACACACAGAACGAGTATCCGAAGTCCGGTGAGGAGGTGTCCCGCGAGCGTCGGGAGACCAGCGAAGCCAATCAAAAGGAGTCGGCGTTCAATTCAATGCCGCAAAAAGATTTGTCCAAATCGGTCGATTCAATCAAATTGATTGAACTAAATGCTACCATTGGTCGCGAGTATTGCAATACATTACAGTGTATTCAGGGATCGGGTCCTAAATTCAATTATCTAATACCACTGTCCAAGTATATGGAGTTGGAGTACGTGACACTTCAGTTTAGGTATGAGCTATCGATTAGTTTTTGTTGTTATTCGGGTTTGACTTTCAATTGTAACCTAATTATTATTATTATTATTATTATAGTCTAAACCAACACATGAAGGTAGACCACTGCGAGTCAAAAACTAAACCGGCCAGTTGTGTGACTGCACACGACGGTGCCGATGATGTTCCTCAATCGTATCACCGATCAACCGATCACATACTGGTGCCCGAAACGACTCCCAATTGGCGCATACCTATTGGTATATATATGAGAAGTACATTTGTATTTCGGATATTAGCGCGCGATTCTGTCGCCGATTCGGTCAGTATATTACACAGACATACAAATTTTTTTGTTGTTAAAACTGATAACTAACATCCCGTTCCCTATTTTTGTTGTTTACAATATAGCCGTGCAATTTAGCCGATTCACAATCTGGTATCTCATTTGTCGAGTATAAGCTGGAGTTTTATCGCAAATGTGATAAATGATTTTTTTTAATATCAACAAAAATAAAATGTGTTTTTTATGACACAAATCATTTTTTTTGTTTGTTTAAAAATGTCACAAATTAGGATTAATTAATTAATTACTATATATATATATACCTGTATTATAATAATACTATTAATATTGTTGTTTTTCAATGTTTTTTTTTAAATGGACACACAATTTTATCAAAATAATAATAATAATAATTTCACCCAATTGATTGTCATTACAAAATAATACTAATATTAAAAAAAAGTCCGTCCAATAAAAAAAATAATTATATAATATAAAATATTAACACCCCATTATTAATTATATATATAAATATATAGATATTGTTTATATAATTATATACTGTATATTTATAATCATAACTAATATAAATAATAGACTTATAATAATATTAATTATATTGTATATCATTGATTTTATTATTATTTTCACACTAAATTGTTTTGTAATTATATTTCCTTTTTTAAAAAAATATATTAATATATTTAGTACTAAACTGATATATATTATAAATAATTGATAATTATTTTTTAATTAATAAGTTTTTTTTTAATTATAGCAACTATTATGTTATTTTATGAACACAATTTTGTTAATATATAATATAAGTGTTTTATAAAAATTAATTATTAATTTTAAAATATAGATATATCTATGCAGTTGTATTAAATATAAATTTAGTTCTAGTATATTAAATGTAAATTAATTATAAATTGTAAATCACATTTTTAAAAAAACCTAATAAAATATTTGTTGTAACGGTATATATAAAAAGTTAAAATTATTTTCAAATACTATTATTAAAAATTAATTAAACTTATTTATTAAATATTTTACATAATTTATAAAATAAATTATAGTAATATTGATAGCATATCACATGTAACTACAATAAAAGCAATTAAAAAAAATTCAATAAGATATTAACATTAAAAAAATAAATAAATTTTAATTAGTTTAAAATTTATTTAAAACAATTGCTTAATATCTTGAATAAAATAATTGAAAATATATGTTTAAAATATTGTGTAATAAAAAAAAACTACAAATCAAATAATTGAAAACATTTTTTTCATATTTTTAATTTATTTATCCCATTGTTTTTATATACTGAATAACTAACATATTTTTTAATATATATTATATATTTTTTTTAAAAATTGAAAGTCAACCTAACCTCACCACCAATTGAATCCGTTACAATATATATAATACAATAGTGATGATATAATATATGACATTCACAATGTAAATGCAACACAAAAAAACACAATTGAAGATTTCAATGGCCACAAACAATATGCTATTATTTTTGTTTGTTTGTTGACTTTTGTGAAATATATATATATATAATATAATATAAAATATAAATAATAAAACAATGTTTGTGTAAATTTTTAATTTGACTACCACTTAAACACCTATTTCACACACTTTTAACTTTTAACACACACACACACACACACATACATACATACACATCACACAAATTTACTCACAATATACAGCTATATACAAGTATAATCACCGAAAATAATGTAACATTTATTTATTGAAAAACTTAAGTCCAGTGTTTATGTCAAACATATTTGAATCAAACATTTGATATATTAAATATATTAATATATGAATTATATTGAATAAAAAGAAATTGTTTTTAAATATGTTATTAGAAGACTATCTAAAATATTTGCTAATATTGACTACTATTAATATATCGCTTATCCTATCAGCTTATGTACCCACTTCTAGTCATCAATACTACGGTGAAAGTTATCCAAACTATGAATCAAACTATTATCCATCCGATGAATTGGACAGTAAGTCCGACAATACATACAAACCAAACATTTACTACAGTGAAACACTACAACAGTCAGCCAACCCTTATTCGCGGTATTACAACAGTTTAGGTGAACCCAGGGAACCACCCGAACCTGACTTTCCGTATATACCGTAAGTACAGTACATTATATTTACAATTTTAATTGTATGTATTAAAAAAACTATATATACTTTTATCAGCAAATATACTGTATATTGAATACTATTTTTTTTATAAAATTAGATTTTTGGATACTAGTAGTAATAATAATAATTTTGATATCGACTTATTTGCATTTTCATCGGAAAGACAAATGGCTCCGTAAGTTATAATTAATTAATTAATTGTAATTTTAATTTATTACTATAATACTAATAGTATTACTAATAAAAAAATATATTTTATATATTGTTAATATTTAAATATTTTTTGTTTTGAAAAATAATTTTTAAAGATTATATAGACATAACCCGGATATTAGTAGCAAAACGGACCGATCGGGCAATCTATGGTATTCAGGGTATTATAAAAATGGATATTTTTAGCTAAAATATTTGTACAATATATATATATATATACTGTTTTATTCAACAGAAAAAATATTTTATTAATTATTTAACATTTTTTAAGTACTGTATCTTATCGACAATTATGTTATTACATTATAATTAAGATTAAAAAAATGTACTAATATGTAAAAAATAGTGTACTAATTGATAAAAAAAATAATTTTTATTATTGATTATACTAATACTCAATACCCAATGTTAGTATTACTGTAATTATCCTGTTTTAGAAAAAATTATTACTATTTTTAAAAAAATAAAAATATTTAATTACACAATTTAGCCTTCACAATTTTAAACTCTATTTTACTGTTTTTTTTAAATTGTTTTAAATTATAATTATTTACAAATTAAGTGTATTGTAATGTATAATTTATTTAAATATTATTATTATGATATAATGTATATTTTTAATTAATCATTAAGATTTAATTACAATTTCACAACATGTTAGCACAATTAGTGTATATTATTACTGTATTTTATTAATAACACAATACAGTAGTTTTTTATGTATAATGTATTTAAATATTTTGCATAAATTAAATAATAAAAAATCATTAAAATGTATAATTTATTTTTTTCATAGTATTTTTTCAATATTTATTTATTTTTTCATTTTTTCAATAGCTATAAATCAATTATATATATTTGATATTAAATCTTTTTAAAATAATAATATTATTAATAAGTAAAATAATAATATTTTTTATGTTAAATAATTGTTTCGCAATTGATTTTTAAAAATATTTAATATAAATGTCATATTAATTATAATTTTGTTAAATCTGTCAAATTTTCTCAACTCACATAACATTTACACTATTAATAAAAATATTTCTACTATGACTTTATACACTAATATACTTTTTTTAAAATTATTATCAAAATAAATAATTATCAATTTTTAAAAAATATAATATATTTTATATAACACATGGAAATAATTCAAGGCAATGATTACATTAAGTTATAGTAAAACTAAATTTTTATGTCCCCACAAAAAAAAAAATATTAATTTTGATTTGTTATATTATAATGATTGTAGAAACTAAATGACAAAATAAAATACTTACTCAAAAAACATAATTTGATTGTCAATTATCTATTAAAATAAAATTAAACAAAAATTGATAAACAAAAATTTGTAATCATCATATATATATAAAAATGAAACTTAATATTTTAGTTTTGCCATTCAAACTAACATTTTGTTTGTGAAAACCCAAACCATACGGACTTAAGAAACTATTGGCACAATCACTGGGAGTACAGTACAGTAGATATGGCATCAAATACTGAGGGAAAAGTCATCAAATGTCGGGCACCGGTATGTTGGGGACCGAAAAAAGGACAAACCATTGTCGAGGTAATTAAATATTATTAAACAATTAAGTAGTATTATTATTATACATAATCACATCAATCAATCAATCAGATTGAAGTGGATCCGCCTAAAGATCATGAGGTGAGAGTCAAGATTGTGGCCAACGGTGTCTGTCGTAGTGATGCCCATCACTTGGACGGCGACTCGTGCGATGTGGCCCTAAAATATCCGCTAATCTTAGGACACGAAGCATCGGGTATTGTCGAAAGTGTCGGTCCGGGAGTTGAATCGGTAGTACCGGGCGATCACGTCATACTATTGTATTGTCCGCAGTGTTTGCCGGGCAAAGAGTGCGAGCGTTGTTCAAGCGATAAGACCAATGCCTGTAAGTACGACAACTTCAATACGACGTCTACTATGAGAGACGGCACTACACGGTTCCGACACAATGGCCAGACTATCTACCATTACTGCGGTATTAGTACGTTCAGCGAGTATACAGTGGCCCGAGAGGTGCAAGTGGCCAAAGTAAGAACATTTCAAACTAACAATAGCTCAGTTATCTCATATGTGTGTCTGTTTTTAACTAAACTATTTTCATCTGTAGATTGATCCGAAAGCACCGCTAGAATTGGTCTGTCTTATTGGCTGTTGTCTGGGCCAAGGGTTCGGTGGTGCCCAGCATATGGCTGGTGTAACACCGGGCAGTTCGTGTGCCGTATGGGGATTGGGTGCTATCGGTTTGGCCACAGGTATGATCTATATAATATAGATTGCTAAAAAACTAATTAATTGTACAGTAAATCAATCACAAATATCTTAACCACTTACCCCCCAATAATAATCACACAGCCATGGCCTGCAAGGATGCCGGAGCCAAACGTATTATCGGAATCGACACCAATCCCGATAAGTTTGAGTTCGCAAAGAAGTTCGGTTGCAATGAGTTTGTAAATCCCAAAGATCTTGATATACCAGTGCAACAGTACTTCCAGAATGAGGGTATTTTTATTATAGATAATCATAATTAGTATTATTATTAGTTAAACAAAATAATAATAATAATTATTATTATTATTGTGAACCTGTAGGTGGTCTCGACTATACGTTTGAGTGCGTCGGCGGCAACCAAATGGTTACACTGAGAGCCGCCTTCGAGTCGTTGGCTCCGTGGGGCACCTGTATCTTTTCAGGTGTAACCAAAGCGCACGTTGAACTATCCATTAAGCCCAACATGTTTTTGGACGGCCGTACTATTCGTGGTTCGACATTTGGCGGTCTCAAGAGTCGTACCGGTGTCCAGAAATTGGTCACAAAGTTCCAGAACGGCGACTACCAATTGGAACCGTTTGTTACCGGCCGCTACACCATCGATGACATACCCGAGTGTTTTGATCTGTTAAGACAGGGAAAGGCGTGTCGATCGATAATACTTTATAAACAATAATTGTTTTATTTTTTATAATAAAATCTAATCATTTTGTTATTTGTTTTTTTTGCTATTAAAAAAATTAATTAAATAAAACAAAATTAATTGATAGAAAAAATTAAATATTATTTTTTTAAAAATGTTTTAACATTATAAAATTGAAAATTGATATATAATCTATGAATATATATATATTCATATAAAACTTTCAGGTAAACTTTTTAAAATTATATACTAGTAAACGGTCAGTAATAAAATTATTTTCCAATATTAAAATATAGTAAACAATTTGTCAAATTAATAATATTTTTTTACAATAAAATAAACTCTACTAAATTGATTAAACAAATTTACAATAGGTAATTAGTTAATAACAGAAAAATAACCTTGATAAATATACTATTAATATTTACATAGCTAATATATAATGATTAAAATCAATTTTCAATTTTTTTTGACGTTAGAGGCGCTAATAATGTTCACATATTTAATTTAATTTAATTTTATGTTATTTTAATTAAAATAATGATACTAGAAATTAGTAATTTTCATTATTATTATTATTATGTTAATTTTTTTTGCATTTAGTAATTTGATAATTGTCTGTGTGTTTAGTTGATTATTGTGTATTAAATCTAAATTATTTTTAAACAGTAATTTGTTAAATAATTTTTTAAAATGTATAAAAATAATGAATCTTATAATTAATGTAATTTAATAAATTTTAATTTACCATTACATTTAACAAATATAATACATTTATATTACATAAATGTCGTAATAATAATAAATTTAATAACAAACAAATTAAAAAAACATGTATATTTATCTAAACAAATTGATTTATTTTATTTATCACAATAATAATAATAATAATTTAATTTTACTATTATTATCATTGGCAATAATTTTGAAACAATTTCAGCTAACAAAATGCGGTAATCAAAAAAAAAATATTAGTGAAAATTATTTATTTTTAAATAATTGCTAAAATAATTTAATTTATTATTATTTTTTCTTTCCATATCTTTGTATAATATTACACACTCAACAACAAACAAAATCATAAATTAATTATCACATTAAACAACAACAACAACGACAACAACATAAAAACAGCCAAAACAAGTGGCTATAAAAACGATGCCAATTGTGGCCTCAGAGACGAAGACAACGACGACGACAACAATGATAAACCAAAGTTTTATATTGTCGGCGGTATTACTGTCAAGAAGACAAATGAGATCCCGTTTTTGGTGGTAATCAAAAACGATGGTAAAGTGATTTGCGGCGGATCTATACTCAATGAACAGTGGGTACTGACGGCCGCACATTGTTTCAAAGGGTAATTTGGTTATACATATTACTGTTTATATATATATTGTATATAAATTATATTAATAATAATATTTATTTATTTTTGGTATTCAATTATATATATATTACACACGTCATCACCAAAAAAAAAATTATAATAATTAAATTATAGTCGAGAAAAAATTAAATCAAAATATAGGCTACACGTGGGCACAGTTACCAGTGAAGGCGGTAAAGCCTATAAAATTAAGCGCATAATAGTGCATCCAGTGGTAAATACAGTACTTTAACAAAACACCAACAATACACCAGTTTTGATAAAAAAAAACAATTTTTTGTTTTTTTAATTAAATTTAATTTTTTTTCAATACTAAGTTTAGCTACGAAACAATGAACTCGGATATTGCTTTGCTTAAGATTGACGGCAAAATCAAATTGGGATCAACTGTGCGAACCGTATGTTTGCCAACTGTTAGCCATTCAAAATCAACCGGCGAAGTAACGGTTGCCGGTTTCGGTAGAGTTGTCCATCAGGGAAAACAAGCCGATAAATTACAAATGGTTAAACTGCCTATTATTACTAATAAAAAATGTCAGAAAATGTATGGCGATTTGTCATTAGAGGACCAATTGACTATCTATGATACCAATATGTGTACCTGGTTTAAGGGTCGCGATAGTTGTGAGGTATGAGTTCCCCTAATATATATATGTATCGTATAATAACTAACTTTATTTTGTTAATATCCTGGAACAGGGAGATTCTGGTAATAGTGTTTTTTATCATCATATATACTTCATAGACACGCTTATCTATGTGTCTATTTAGTTTAAAAATTTATTATTTTGTTTGTTTGTTCAAAAAAAATCAATGGATAGGAGGACCGGCATTTCAAGTAAAGAATAATAAGAATATATTAGTGGGAATCATATCATTCGGTATATATATATAATAATAATAATTTTTTTAATTAATATATAATTATAATATATTGCAATATATTGTATTTATTAATTTTGTAATTATAATATTTAAAATGTAAACTAGGCTGGGATTGTGCTGATCATCATCCAGGTATTTATTTAATAATCAAAAAAATTAGTTATTAAAATTTAATTAAAATTTGTTGTTTTGTTATTATTATTATTTTTTTTTGAAACAAAACTTAGGTGTCTATACAAGAGTTTCCGATTTTCTCGATTGGATTAAGACTAATATTAAAAAATAAAAGCTATTCAACTATTATTATCATTTTATTTTAGTATTTTTTTAAATTTTAGTATTTATTATTATATTTTATTATTTGTTAAATTATACTAAACAAAAATGATGATTTTAAATTATTTTATTTTATCAATTAATATTTATGTTTAACTGATTTTTTGTTGTTGTTGGTGTTTTTGTTTTACACATTTTTTTAGGAAAAAATACAAACAAAAATAAGATACTAAATGTTTTTTTGATAAATTATACAATATTTAAACAATTAAATAATATAATTATAAAAATAACAACATTAGATAATAGATTTATTTAAGGAAAAGTTGTTAATTATAACTAAACTGTCAAATGCTTGTTGACCTTCAAAATAACCATTTTTTGAAAAAAAACTATTAAATTATTAAGCATTTTGATACTAATTCAATGTTAACTATACTATCATATAATATTCAAAATTAATTGTATAATATTTATAGTTTGATAAATTTTAATAATAATAAATCTAAGTTTTTTAATATAATTTAATTATGTTTTTACGGCATTTATTAGTCAATCTATGGCTGATTTCTATTAGTATATTAGTTATCTGTGTCTATCGTAGTGATATAACTGTAGTTTGGATGGGAAAGACTACGGCCTGCGATACCTGTGACGGCGTTGAAACCAATTCAGTCAGGAATGTCATCTGTTGTACAAAATTTAGCAAATGCTGTATACCTGATACCATCGACGGCTATTATCGACAATTAGATAGGGAAAGTAGTGTCAAAAATCGTGGTATTGGTCCACCATTTTATTACGGCGACAATACACCGGAATCGGTTCCAACAATTATCACAAGAAAACCGTCAAACAGGACAAACAATTCACAAAAGACAAAGAAGAAGACGACAAAAAAGTCTCGCAATGGTTCCAGTAATAGACAAAACAGTGGTCAACACACCAACAACAACAACAACAGTGGTAGGACTGGTAGTCAAACAAATGGAAAGACATATCGGACTATAAATGAGAGACAATTTGTTCAGCAATTGTTTGCTGCAATCGGTTTGCAAACTCAGTAATTATTTATTAATTAATAAAAATAAATTTTTTAAAAATCTATTAATATTAGTTTATATGTTTAAAAACATTATTAATTGTTAACATAATTATTATTGTATTGGAATTTAGTAAATTGTATATTTTATTTTATTTTTACTATAACTTATATAATTATTTTTTTTATTACTTTGATATTTTTAAACTTATTTTATAAACATAATATTTTTATAAAATATTATTAAATAGTAAAAATATGACACAATACAGTCATTTATTTTTGTATTTTATAAGTAATTTATAAATAAATTGATTAAAATATTAATTAATAAAAATGTTTTGTAATTTGATAGTTAAATAAAACTTTACAATACTAATGCCATTATAATGTGTGAATATTGATGCTAAGTGTGTGAAAACATGATTTATTTGACTACTAATTTAAATTATATTATATTGATTACATTATTGATATATCAATTATTTTATAATCAATTTATATTATGTGGTAATTATATTTCATTAAAAATAATTTAGTTTTATCATTTTATTTTTTTATGACTTAATTTATAATTAATTTAACTGTAGATTAACTAAAAATTAATACCTAATATATATATTTTTAATTTACATATATATTTAAATAACATTAGACAATGGTTATGATTTGAACGGGATGAATTGTGGCATTCAGGCGCCATTTAATTATATAGTAGGCGGTTTAACCCTCAGTACAATGGAGTTCCCATTCCTGGTCCTAATCAAGTTTATGGCCAGTACTGTATGCGGCGGTACCATCATTAATAACCAGTGGATCATAACGGCTGCCCATTGTTTTAATAAGTAATTTGAACTTTTTAAAAAATATTTAAGTATTAAAAAAATAATATTAAATATCTTAATTTCAATAATTAGATAAAATAAAAGTTTAGTTTATTTTACTATAATAATTTAGTACTAATATTTAGTTTTTATATATATTAATATTTAGTAAAGTATTATAATTACATTTAGTTTATGATGAGTTTATTTTAATTATTTATTTATTATAATAATTTTCTAAAAATTAACATACATAATTAATATTGTTTAAATTGTTTTGTATAATTTTTTTTGAATAATAAAATAAAACAATTTACCTAGGCGTTTAAATAGAATATCTGATTTTACTGTACATGCTGGTTCAATACATTTATACGATGGTGAGGTTTATCGTATGGAGTTTGCCCTAGTACATCCTAAAGTAATTATTAAATTGTTTAATTTATTATTATTTTAATTTTACTAATTATTATGAATACAAAAATAATTATTTTCTTAATTATATATTATTTTTTTTATTAATTTTTTTTTATAAAAATTTATTAATTGGTCCAATTGACAGTTTTCGATGCTAAAAATGACCTACGACATAGCACTGGCCAAGTTGACGACACCGATAAATTTTGGTCCAAACATCGGTACCATATGCCTGCCTAGTGTTCAGCGCCAGGAACCAAGCGGTACGATAACAGCGGCCGGTTGGGGACGACTCAAGGCCCATATGGCTGCCTCGACAGTAGTCCAAAAGGTCAACCTTCCCATAATCAGCGATGAAGAGTGTGCCCATAAATATCAGCGATTGGGAGTTACCATTTGGAACTCGCAAATGTGTACATGGCTTAAGGGACACGACACCTGTGAGGTATGTCCTCTATATACACAGTATATACTGTATCTCCCTGAGCCTTGTATTGGAACAGGGATGTTATTATATATATATGACTATCAAATTGATAATTGTTTTGTTTCGTTTTTTTTGTTGTTGAAAAAATTTACTACTTCAGGGAGATTCAGGTAACTATAAGATTAATAACAAAATTATTTTAAAAAAACATTTTAAAATAAGACCGTTTGTGTGTGCTGGATAAAATTATTAGTGAAAAAAATAAACAGTTAAATAATAAAAATAAATAAATTGTTGAAAAAATTTTTAGGCGGACCAGCATTTCAATTTAGTGGCGGTAGAGCCCATCTATTGGGAATTGTATCGTTTGGTTAGTTTGGCATAAATATATAGTTTTTTTTATTTAAAAAAACCTCAAAAAAAATTAATGTAACTTTTATTGACATTTTTTATTTACACAAAAAAAGGTATGGAGTGCGCTGATGCTAATCCAGGTAATTATTAATTAAGATTAATGTAAAACTTTAATAATTTAATAAATATAATTTGAATGCTTATATATTGTATATTTAATTTATACCTTTTTTTATATAAAATTTAGGAGTCTATACACAAGTATCATATTATTTAGATTGGATTACAACAATGTTACATCAATATGGCACTAATTATTTATAATAAAATAATTATAATAAATTAGTTGTACTTTTTTTTTATTGTTGGTATACTTATATAATATGTTTTATAGATTAATTTTTTAATTACAAATTATATTTAGTATATAGTTTTTATAGGTTTTACAGTTGAAATTAAAGAGTTAATGCATGAATTTTTTTTAAATAAAAATACAATACCAGTATTTCCGTAATAATTTTTAAAAAATTGGGTTTAAATTTTTTAATTTATTAGTTAGTTATATATTGAAATTATTAGTTAGTATTTAATTTTTTTGTTAATTTAAATTATACGGGATATATTTTTTTATATAAGTCTATATATATATAAATAAATTGTTAACCTGTTGTCTCTTATATATGAATTATTTGTAATTTGTTGTGAACACAAAAAAAATTTAGTTTTTTATTAATTTCATTTTTACTTTTTAAAAAAAAAATATTTGGTTATTGAATTGGTTGAGAAAATTAAATCATGAAATTTACGGCAACTATTAGTTTGCAACTATTGATTGTGCTATTATCGGTAGCCATCAGTTGGACAGTCGGCTATCGACCGAAACGACAGACCAGTAATGCAAACAATTTGGAAAGTATTCAAAACTTGTTGCGCGAACTGGAAAGGGCTAACGTCAACATCAATGAAATAAGCAATCAGGTTAGTCAGGCACAGAAAATACAACAACAACACCAACAACAACCACCACCACTACCACAACAACAACAACAACAGCAACCGATGCCGGGTAAAGACACACCGGTCAGGGATGCACTGACCCGACTGTTCAGTGCTTTTCAACAGGTATTACACGATTGATTGATATGACATATTATTTTTTAGGGTGTAATTTATTTGTTAATTATTGTTAATAAAAAAAACACATTAGATGGCCAGCGCTTATGTAGGCGTACTGACCAGTGTCGGCAAAAGTATAGGACTGCCGTCGATTGGTATCCAAAATGGCATAGAATTTATGCAGTCATCGCCTCCGCCACCGCAGCCAATAGGTATCAAACAAATTGGCGAAAATATCGATCAGTTTCGCGATTCTGTACAACAAGTGTCCAAAAACATACAGAACTTTTTCACTCGTGAGGCACCGGTAGAGAACAGTGTCCTTACAAAAGAAATTCGCAAATTTCTACAACTCTGGTCCAATCAGATCCAAGAAGTTGGCCAACAGGTCACAGATCAGGTCAGCCGAACGTTCGGCGGATTACAGGCCACAGGCGGCGGCGGGCCATCGGAAGGCGCATCCATTACAATACCGTTACCGTTCATGGACTTCATCTCAAATATGATGCTCGTCCTTCAGGACACGTTCAACGATCTATCCGATCGGGTGACCCGTTTGTTTGGCGGCGGTAATCGCGACCGACAGCCAAACAGCGAACTGCTGTCGGAAAGAGACGACCCGTCGTCGAAACCGTCGTCGCAATTGGATCTAATGAAAGAGTTCAAAAATCTTATTGAAATCATACAGAAGCGCATGAAATCCCTGTCCCAACAATTGGAGAGTATGATGGGTGCCGGCAGTAGCAGTGTAAGCACCGGTGCCGGTGGTACCACACCGTCCGATAAATTAAAAGCCGAACATAAAAGTCCAGTTTTTTATTAGTAAATTTTTAATGTATTATTTTTTATAGTTATTTATTTATTTATTATGTTTACAGTAATAAAACAAATTTTACATTAAATATGATTTTGTATTCTTTAATTGCATTATTATATTAAATTATATTATAATTTTTTTTATCAGTAAATGCAAAATATTAATTTTTAAAGTTTTTTCAATTGTAATAATGATTATCATTTAATATAGATTTCATAAATAAGTTTTAAAAAAATATTCTACTCTTAAAGCTTTAATAATTTAAAAGAAAATTAATCAATAATATTGTTTTAACTAAAAATTATATTTACGATTTACAATTTTTAGTTAAAACTACATTAAATGATAATTATAAATATAAAATGAAAATCATGATTACAATTTAAATTAATTAAAACATTGATTTCAAATTAAGTATAATATATTATACAGTATATATATGTCAATAAAACAAATAAGTGTTAAAAAAATTATTATTTAATATTTTTAATAAGTCTCAATTCTAACAAAGTACAGTGTATAATAAATAAAATTAATAAACAGTTAATTTATTTTTTTAAATTATATAAATTAATAAATTAAATATATTACAAATTAATATATTTTAATTTTTAAAAAATCTATTAATTTAAGTTAATTTTCAATAGATAATTATGTCGTTAATAAAAAAAATTAACAAATATAAAACAATTACAATATTTGCTAACTATTAGCACAATATTATTGTTAATGAATTTTTTGTTGTTTTATCTCAAACTTGTTTCAAACAATAGGTTTGTTTGCATTTTTGTCAATCATTTTGTGGTTAATCACCAAAAAAAAGATAAGCAAGAATTATAACAATAATAAATTTGTGACTTCATATAAAAAATATGTTTTTGATAACATGTATATAAAGTTTACTATTAGATTAAATTATGAGCAAAATATATATTTTATAACTCAAAAATTTATTTAACTAATTATTTAGACATTTTACAGTACTAATAATAAACTTATAACTTAACTTTGAATTTGATTTTTAAAAATTAGTAAACTTTGCTATAAATTTTTACACTTATTAAATGATGATAAATTAATATTACACTATTCAATACCAACAACAAAAAATGTTATTTAATATTATAACTATTATTTAACTGTTTGTTGAACTGCTTATTTGAAAAATGAGTACTAAATTAACCTTCAATTTGTATTAAGTTTATACTGTATATAAAAATATAACAAATAGAAAAATATTTTTTAATTCTTGATAAACTAATCTTTTATATAAATATTTCATAGATATCACAATTATTGTTTAAATTAGATATTTTATCAAATGTTATATAAAAAAATTGTTAAGTTGTCAAAAGTAATAATAATAATAATTTTTATTATATTTAGAATTGCATTTAGTTTTTACTGATAATTATTTAATTTTTTTCATTAAATATAATAAATTAATTATGTTATCAAACAAAAAATCATTACTAAATTGTTTTGTAGTACAATATGTGTTAACATTTGTCATATTATTATTGTTAGTTTGTCTGAGTTGTTGTCTCAATGAAATTGTCACAACATTGGGATCAATTGTATTACTAACAATCATATCGTGGTTTGTCACCAAACAGATCCGTAAAAGTTTAAACAATGAATTTGTGACTTCATATAAAAGAGCTGTTTTGATAACAGGTATATAAAGTTTACTATTAGTTTAAATTATGAGTAAAATATATATTTTATAATTTATTTAATTTGAAAGGTTGTGACAGTGGTTTCGGTAATGCATTGGCTCAGACACTCAATGAACATGGATTCAGAGTCTATGCCACAGTATTGGACACCGATAGCGACGGCGCCAAGAAATTGGTAACCAGTGCTCGGTTTGATGGTATGACTACAGTGTTGAGGATGGATGTGACGAATGATGAGGAAGTGAATGCAGTTTACGAACAAATTACTAAAGAATTGCAACAAAACGGTGAACAACTGTGGGCTGTCGTCAACAATGCCGGTATCATAACATGGGGACCACTGGACTGGGGAACTGTAGATAAATATAAACGTATATTTGAAGTCAACACTTTCGGCACCGTTAGAGTCACACGAACTTTCTTACCATTAATTAGACAATCAAAAGGTTAGTTAAAGTTGTCTTTGTTTTTTATATAATTAAATAATATATATATATTTCAGGTCGTATTGTAAATTTGGTTTCAATGAACGGTCGGCTGACGTTCAATAATGAGACCATATATTCAATGAGCAAATACGCGGCCATATCTTTCTCGGACGCACTCAGACGCGAGACTCGCAAATGGGGAGTCAAAGTGTCGACCATTGAACCCATGGCTTACAGGACACCGTTGTCCAGCAATGAATATTTTACACATGAATTGGACAAACAGTGGACAGAGAGTACACAACAAGTTAGACAACTGTATGGTAAACAGTATTATGAAAATCTAAGACACAGAGATGAGTCCACTTCGACGCTATCCGTCGGCAACAATATCTACGAAGTTATCGACAAATTGGTTGACGCTGTCCGCAGTACCGAACCTCTGGTCCGCTATGTATCGGTTCCGGGAACACCTTTTGACAAGTTTTTGACATTTCTAATACAACTAATGCCAACTGAATTGTATGACTATTATATTGAACTGAAAAACAGCCGCAAAAGTATCATTAAACCGGCAGCTCTTCAAACAAACACAGATTGATAATTGAAAAAAAATTGATGTTTTATTTTATTTTGTTTTTTTTAATAAATTTTTTTGAAAAACAAAATTAATTTTGAGAATAGCACAACAACAAGAATTATTTACGATTATTTAATTAATTAATTAATTAATTATTATTAATAATATTTAATAATTCCGTTATAACGGTATCTCTAAAGTTTAAGCAAAGTCTAAACGACTAAAATTATTTTCAATAATTATTTTTGTCATTAATTATAGATAAACATTAGAAAAAATTACTTGAAATAACATTACATTTATAATGTATTTGTTTAACACCAAGGTAATCAAGTTTTATTATATATTATTTATACAGTGATTTGAGCGCTTGAGAGAGAGAGAGAGAGAGAGAGAGAGAGAGAGATCAACACTTATCAATAAATACTATAAATGTATTTTTGCACTAAACTGTACGGTTAGTTATGCTCTTTGAAATGTACTAAAAAATAGTTAATTAGTTTGAGAGTTGACTTCAAGACAGACAGCAATTATTGTTTAAACTTTATTTTATTTTTTGCTATACAATGTCTTTAAAATCATTATTTTCGCTAAAATGTTTTGCCACTCAATATCTATTGTCGTTTTTGGCACTTTATTTGATTACTAAAGTGAGCTGTTGTGCCGGTTGTCTGTTCTCATGGTTGGGCGGACTACTAGTGTTGTCGGCACTTGCATGGCGTGTGACCAAAAAAATCCGCAAACGTATGAACAGCGAGTTTTTAACGTCATATAAAAGAGCCGTTTTAGTCACTGGTATGTCATTTATATCTGTATATTATATTTTGTTTTGAAATAATTATTTATTTAATACTAAACTTTTATTTTGTAAGGTTGTGACAGTGGTTTCGGCAATGCATTGGCTCAGACACTCAATGAACATGGATTCAGAGTCTATGCCACAGTATTGGACACCGATAGCGACGGCGCCAAGAAATTGTTGACCAGTGCTCGGTTTGATGGTATGACTACAGTGTTGAGGATGGATGTGACGAGTGATGATGAGGTGAATGCAGTTTACGAACAAATTGCAAAAGAGTTGCAACAAAACGGTGAAAAACTGTGGGCTGTCGTCAACAATGCCGGTATCTTTACTATGGGACCGGTAGACTGGGGGACAATTGATAGTTATAAACGTGTGTTTGAAGTCAACACATTCGGCACCGTCAGAGTTTCGCGAACTTTCCTACCATTGATTAGACAATCAAAAGGTTGGCAACACTTATATAATAATAAATTTAATTATTATTATGTAATATTTGAGTCTAATATTTAATAATTATGAACATTAGACTCAATATATGATATTTATAACTATGTTTAGTCTTTCTTATCAATTAAGTATTAAAAAAAACTATTTTAGTTTAACTTTTTTAAAAACAACTGATATGTTTTTTTTTCGCTAAGAGATAATTTTTAATCAAATAATCTAAACATTTATTTATTAGTAGTTTTTCTAAGGGATCTATACTAATATATTGAATTAATTAATCAATTGTTAGGTCGAATCGTAAATTTGGTGTCCGTTGCCGGCCGTTTTACGGCCCCGAGTCTGGCCATCTATTCGATGAGCAAACACGCTATCATATCATTTTCCGATGCCCTGAGACGCGAGTCACGCAAATGGGGTGTCAAAGTATCAACAATTGAACCGACAACGTATAAGACACCAATGTCTACGGCCGACTATCTGACCGACCAATTGGATCGGCTATGGAATGAAACGACCGAATCTGTTCAACAAGTTTACGGTCAAGAGTTTTACTCGAGTCTGAAGGGCAAGAATGCCAAAGCCTTGTCGTCGTACGGTATCGGAGAGGATATCAACGAAGTTATCGACCGAATGGTCGATGCCGTCCGTAGTCCCGATCCGCAGATCCGTTATGTTTGTGCTCCTAAACTATGGAAAATCAAACTGTTTCTGATAATAGCCCAATACTTTCCCACCGAATTCTATGACCTGATATGCGAGCACCGGATGGGCCAACAGTCGCCAAAACCGGCTTCACTGATGACAGTCAGAAATGAAGAATAAATTTAAAAATTAATTAATTAATGACAACACATGTGTTTGTTTGGATTTTCATTGTTGTTGTAATTTTTTTAGTTATAATCAAATTTGTCATTTTTATATAATTAAATAATTACGATATTATTGAATTGAGAAATTATTATTTTAATGTTACATTGATCACCAGTTTTTTATTTCAATGTAGTTCAAAACTATTTCAATAGTAAACATATTTATTTTCCAGTGAACATAAAGCTATTTCATTGATGAACATATTTATTTCAATACTTACTAATATATTTGCAATACATTCAAAACCAATTAATTAAATTTAATCTAAATATTAATATGTTTAGAAATGGTAAATAAATAGAGAATAATTTTATACAATTTATTTAAAAAAACTGTTTAAATTAATTAGTAAAGTGACCAACTTGGTTTAGTTTCAGGGTCAGTTTTAAATTAGTCCAAAATCCAAAATCATTGATAGTTTGATAACTTTATCTACTATTTAATTATCATTTGATTATTATTAGTTTATTTTGATATATTAAAGATACGGTTTCAGTTGTATAAAAAAATGGTTTCAATTTAAAAAATTTTCTTATTAAACTTACTTTATATTATTATTATCATAAGGACATTAAATTAATTATTATTATTATTAAAATATGTTAGTATTACTACATTAATTTATTATTATTCTAATAATTTTATTGTATATTTTTATATAAAATAAAAATATTTGTAAATTATATGATGTGAACTACGGTTCGTTTACTGGGTTTCGGTTCGGGTCCCATATCTAATTGAAGATACATTTAGGATATTTATTTGTTATATAATATAGCTAACATATATCTAAATTATACTAATATTAGTTTATATAATATTAAAATTATCTAATATTACGATAATATTTTTAATAAGTTTCAATTCTAATAAAGTCAAGTATAAATCGAAGTCATAAAAAATTAATTTATTGAAAAAAATTTGATTAGAAATTTAAACTAATTTTCAAGAGAAGATTATGTCGATAATAAAAAAGTTAACAAATATAAAACAATTACAATTTTTGCTAACAATTGGCACATTATTATTGTTAATGAATTTTAGTTGTTTTATCTCAAACTTGTTTCAAACTATAGGTTTGTTTGTTTTATTGTCGATCATTTCGTGGTTAATCATGAAAAAGATCCGCAAATATTATAACAATAATAAATTTGTCACTTCATATAAAAGACCTGTTTTGATAACAGGTATATAAAGTTTACTATTAGTTTAAATTATTAGTAAAATATTATATATTTAATTTGAAAGGATGTGACAGTTGTTTCGGTAATGCATTGGCTCAGACACTCAATGAACATGGATTCAGAGTATATGCCACAGTATTGGACACCGATAGTGACGGCGCCAAGAAATTGGCTCGGTTTGATGGTATGACTACAGTGTTGAGGATGGATGAGACTAATGATGAAGAAGTGAATGCAATTTACGAACAAATTGCAAAAGAGTTGCAACAAAACGGTGAACAACTGTGGGCTGTCGTCAACAATGCCGGTATTGTAACGTTTGGACCGGTAGACTGGGGAACAATTGATAGCTATAAACGTGTATTTGAAGTCAACACATTAGGCACTGTTAGAGTCGCGCGTACTTTTATACCATTGATTAGACAATCAAAAGGTATTTAGATTTAGTAAATAATTTTAACTAAATGTAATAATTATTTTATATTTAAATTTTCAATTATTAGGTCGTATTGTAAATCTGGTGTCAATTTGTGGACGCTTTACGACACCAAATGCGTCAATATATTCAATGAGCAAACACGCGGCCATATCTTTCTCGGACGCACTCAGACGAGAGACAACCAAATGGGGAATCAAAGTATCGATTATTGAGCCAACAATTTATAAGACACCGATGACCACCAGTGACTACCATTTCCGTGAGACTGAAAGACTGAGACAAGAGATAGTGTCCAACAACTCTACGGTCGCCAGTATTGTACAGGTTTTGTAAAAATTTGGTCAAATAAACGATTTCAAAGTATATTCGGTCAAAATATCGACGATGTTATCGACAAATTGGTGGACGCCGTCCGTAATGTCGATCCGCAGATCACTTACGAAGTCGGACCCAGTTATCTGTGGTCTGTCTTTCTGTTTGTCGAACAGTTTCTACCGTACGAGTTGTCCGATTGGATGAACACTAATCGGTTAACTAATTCATTATTTCCCGTTCCCAATGAACTCAAAAATCGTCACTAATTAATATACTAATTATTTTATTAGTAAATACTATATATATATATATATATAAATTTTATTATTAAGTAATTATTTTAACTTAGTTTAATAAAAATGTATGTAAAAGCATTTTGATATTGTAAGTAAATATTTGTTTCTCACTTAATTTTTTATAAATTTATTTGATAATAAAATAAATAAATTTAGCGCAAATTGTTTTTTTAAAATATAAATTCTATAAAAAAAATGATAAACTACTGTATAAATAAAATTCATTTAAATGCCAATTATAGCAATTAATAATATATTTTTTCTAATGTTATTGAGAATATATATATAAATAGCGTTTAAATAAACAGTAAACAATTTTTTACAATTTATTAAAAAATTGTATATATATATTAATTAGTAAAGTGGCCAACTTTGATTGTAACATAAGTTAGTTTTCAGGGTCAGTTTTAAATTGTTTTCGGCTAATCCGTGATAGTTGATAACTTTATTGTAAAGTTTATAAAATTATGTTTATATTTAAATTAATCTAATATTTTATCATTATATAGATATTGAAAGTACTGAAAGTACAGTACATTTATTTATAAGTTAAATAATTTGTTGACTTATAATATTATCTTATAATGCTTTAAATTTTCAACTATAAATAAATACAGTATAAAACAAAGTTAAAAATAATTTTGTTTTTAAAACTTACATCCCTTAATAAGTTAAATATTTTATCAATTAATATTTAAAAATTTTAATCAAAATTTTTATTAATTTAAATTAATTTTCAATAGTTAAATATGTGGTTAATAAAAAAGTTAACAAATATAATACAATTACAATATTTGCTAACTATTGGCACATTATTATTGTTAATAAATTTTAGTGGTTTTATCTCAAACTTGTTTCAAACAATAAGTTTATTTGCATTTTTGTCGATCATTTCGTGGTTAATCACCAAAAAGATCCGCAAATATTACAACAACAATAAATTTGTGACTTCATATAAAAGAGCTGTTTTGATAACAGGTATATAAAGTTTACTATTAGTTTAAATTATTAGTAAAATATTATATATTTAATTTGAAAGGTTGTGACAGTGGTTTCGGTAATGCATTGGCTCAGACACTCAATGAACATGGATTCAGAGTCTATGCCACAGTATTGGACACCGATAGCGACGGCGCCAAGAAATTAGCGACCAGTGCTCGGTTTGATGGTATGACTACAGTGTTAAGGATGGATGTGACAAATGATGAGGAAGTGAATGCAGTTTACGAACAAATTGCAAAAGAGTTGCAACAAAACGGTGAACAACTGTGGGCTGTCGTCAACAATGCCGGTCTGTTTACTTCGGGACCATTAGACTGGGGAACTGTAGACAGCTATAAACGTATATTTGAAGTCAACACTTTTGGCACTGTTAGAGTCGCGCGTACTTTCCTGCCATTGATTAGACAATCAAAAGGTAATTAGGTTTAGTAAATGATTTTTGTAAAAAAATTTAATAATAATTTCATTCAAATTATTAGGTCGTATTGTAAATCTGGTGTCAATTTGTGGACGCTTTACGTCACCTAACGTTTCAATATATTCAATGAGCAAACACGCCGTCACCTCTTTCTCGGACGCATTGAGACGAGAGACAACCAAATGGGGAATCAAAGTATCGACTATTGAGCCAACAATCTATAAGACACCGATGGCTACCACTGACTACCAGTTTCAAGAGACTGAAAGACTATGGTCTGAGACCAGCGATAGTGTACAACAAGTCTACGGTCGCCAGTATTGTACAGAGTTTATGAAATTGTCGGCAAATAAACGATTTCAAAATATTTACGGCCAAAATATCAACGATGTTATCGACAAATTGGTGGACGCCGTCCGTAATGTCGATCCGCAGATCAGTTACGAAGTCGTACCCAATTATCTGTGGTCTGTCTTTCTGTTTGTTGAACAGCTTCTACCGTACGAGTTGTCCGATTGGATGAACACTAATCGTTTAAGTAGTTTATTATTTCCCGTTCCCAATGAACTCAAAAAGCGACACTAATTAAGTCACTGATTATTTTATTTTTTTAGTTAAATATAATACAAATTTAATTATTACAATTAAATTTACATAACTATTCAAATTTATTCACTGTATAATATTTAAGTACATATATTATATTTATCACTTAATATTTATGAATCTATTTGCTAATAGATTAGATAAATCTTGATAAATATTATTTTTTTTTGTTTAAAAATATTATTAAATTTAAGTATAAATAAAATTATTACTTTTTTTAATTTACATAAGAAAAATAAGTCTAGACATTGAATTTGTAGTCAAAATGTTATTATTTTCTGCAATTATTGTATGAATTGATGCATTTTTTCACGAATTTATATTCAATGATTAAATAAAGGCTATACTACTAATAATAAACGATTACAAATAAACTGATTTTTAAAAAATTTATTCATACAATAGTCTATAATTTGCAATTTTATCACTGATTAACTATTATTAATAATTATTGGTAACTTACTATTTTTTTTATTCAAAACAACAAATTTAATCTATAAATACGTCAAATTTTATACAAAATATTTTTTAAAAATAATTTTATGAATCGTATATTAGTAAGAAAAAAATAATTTAATTGATTGTAATATAGACATAAAATAATTTTTTTTTAAAAATATAACAGTGTTGTTTACATTTATTTTATATAATATTTTTTCATATAATATTAAATAAAAAAGATAAAATTAGTTAAATATAGATAGCTTTTTATCATTTATTATTAGAAAATTCAATGTTTTCAATGTCTAATTAAATATAAAACTTATTTATTAATAAACTTATAATATATTATATGATATGTTTTTTTTAGTTTAAACATTGTGTAGTGTCCACTACATTACCTTAAGCTAATTTAGTTATAAAGTATTTTTGTATTTAAATTCCCAATAATTTTGTATACATTTATTTTATATCCTATTTTTATGCTAAATTCTTAGTATTGCTTTTCAATCGGTTATACAGTTCCTTATACTTACCGGTTGCTGACCTCAGACCTCTGGCACCAAACTAACTGTTCAACGGTTCCCACATTCAAACTATCCAATGATAGCTAACCATTCCCTATAACTACCCGTCCTCTCTCAAACACTATAAATACTGTACTACAGTATACACATACTTTAGTACAGTGCCAGCCGTCATACACAACAGTCATACCTGACTCTCACATATCATACTGTACTCACATCATACATGTGCTCCACTGATAGCACCATTTTAACCATACAATCCATTGTATCCTCAATTGTCTTAAACTAATCAATAAATTGTTATAATTATCTTATACCTGTGTTAATCATACGATTCATTACCATCGCTATTATCATCATAGAAACGATCACTTCAAGAGTCCAACCGGTTGTTCACATCATTAAAGACATACATACAACCCGGTTGTCCATCAACTCTAACCTACCGTTCCGTATCGCGTGATATCAAGAGATAGTACAGACATCCAGATTGGGATCAGCTCTAGCTTTACGCTTGGCCACCACTACTGCAAGTGATCTACCCTTTTATCATCCGATAGGTCTCATACCGACCCTTCAGGTGATAATCTATAAGGAATTGGTTGATAATCGGTTGTAGGCCTCATACCGACCCACGCATAACAACCGGTGCTCTCCTATTCCTCTAAGTTGTGTCCAAACATACAAACTCAGGCACAACAATTGGCGCAGTCGGTAGGATCATTAAAAGATCCATATCTTCGCGTATTGGATGACGACTATCAATACAGGGTTCACTAGATACGGAACTCCATATCTTCGACGAGATATCTCAACTAATAGCGATTCAGACAACACAGTAACCAACAACACATCAGACATGTCCATCAATGGTGAAGACAACGATACACTAAATCTGGTTAATGCCATCGCAGACAACACAACCGGTATCTCATCTAATTGTGTACCAATCGGTACAACCGGTAACTCAGCCACCAACGGATCCTCTACCACTGGCTCAGCACCGATGCTCTCAGTGAAGATACCAAAGTTTAATGGTACTAAAGACTCATCTCTACGTATCGAAGCATTCCTCTTAATCTTCGACAGAGTCTTCGCTCATCTCACAGATGATAACAAACTCATCAAAATCGTTGAGTTCCTCGAATCAGACGCAGCCAACTATTACGGCTCAGACCTACTCATCGACACATCCATCAACTGGATCAAAGCTAAGCAACTGCTTACCAACAGATATACCCGACTGGACATTCCTCCAGAAGTGGCCGCCAACCGCCGGCGCCAACAACGATCGGAGTCAATCCGCGCATACTTCGATGATAAAATGGAGATTTTAAGACGCCTCCAAAACTACACCGACAATCAAAGAGCAAACCTACTCACGGAAGGCCTACTCCCTGAATACCGTGAATACTTCTATGGCCGACGCTTCAAGACTCCCAGTCAATGGCTCGAGATGGCTCAGGACATCGAGACCGACAAGCAACGAACCGGTAACCGCATCAACCGACCTCACGGATCATCACATTACACAGATGACAAACGAAATGACAACCGGTTACCTAAACGCGACAACAAAGACAAACTACGTCCGCCCTATTCCTGCCGCATCTGCAGAGATCTTGGCATCACTTCATGGCATTACCATAAAGATTGCCCAAATAAATCTTGTCCTCCAGCAGCCATCAATCCAAACACAGGATCCACAGACGGTCCACCTACTCGTATAACAGCCGCATCATCACATATAATACGTAGTAAAGTCATGGCTACCGAAGCCACACCACTGGATATGATATTGATCCCGGGCCGCATCAATCGGTTCGAGTTATCAGCATTCGCCGATCCCGGATCAACTGTAGACATCATACCATTAGATGTCGTCAAACACCTCCGACTCCATATCGACCGCCGCCGCTCTACCGACGTATCACTGGCGCGTGGATCAGCTCGTACTCTCGGAGAAGTCACATTTGACTTAACCATCAATCGGATGACCCGCACCATCAAAGCACAGGTCATCAACGGATTTCATTACACATTACTGCTATCTCTCCAATCTCTTGGCCAATACGGTGTCATCATTGACACACAGACACAAACCGTATCATTCAAATGGCAACAACAGAGAAACTCATCCACTTCAGGGACATCAACCGGTTACTGCAATCTCATCAGTCGTATACCTTCTCCAAACCGGTTGCCTAACAAATCCAATGGCCATATATACAAACAAAAGCACCGCATCGTAAAGATAGACCAACAGTCCACCGCACAGCGCACCCGTCAATCGCATCCATTTGCAGCCAAAGCTGCACGTCAAGCGAAGGATCACCAAATCCATGTTTCTCGGGACAGCCGTAACGCTTTACCGATCACTTCGACGATGAATACAGACGGAAAACCTCGCTTGTGTAAAGACTACCGTCCAATCAATACGACTTCTAATGCCGCAAAACCATCGCATCCATACAAACATCGGCATTACTTAAGGGACATCACACCTACTATTACCGTTACACCACTACGCGCTGTACATCCGGTTATTCGCCCTCAACAGTCCCGACTCTCACGCATCGATACATACAACAAACATATTTCCGGTAATATCCATCGCATCCCATCCAACTCTCCCAATCTACGATTCCGTAACACACGACTCCAATTACCGGACTCTCAACGCGGACATCCATCACAACCGGCTAAACGTCTCACTCCTGGTCCACATCGTCTCACTCAACCGTTTAACTCTTTGACCAGTCTTAAACCGCCGGGGAGTGTAGTGTCCACTACATTACCTTAAGCTAATTTAGTTATAAAGTATTTTTGTATTTAAATTCCCAATAATTTTGTATACATTTATTTTATATCCTATTTTTATGCTAAATTCTTAGTATTGCTTTTCAATCGGTTATACAGTTCCTTATACTTACCGGTTGCTGACCTCAGACCTCTGGCACCAAACTAACTGTTCAACGGTTCCCACATTCAAACTATCCAATGATAGCTAACCATTCCCTATAACTACCCGTCCTCTCTCAAACACTATAAATACTGTACTACAGTATACACATACTTTAGTACAGTGCCAGCCGTCATACACAACAGTCATACCTGACTCTCACATATCATACTGTACTCACATCATACATGTGCTCCACTGATAGCACCATTTTAACCATACAATCCATTGTATCCTCAATTGTCTTAAACTAATCAATAAATTGTTATAATTATCTTATACCTGTGTTAATCATACGATTCATTACCATCGCTATTATCATCATAGAAACGATCACTTCAAGAGTCCAACCGGTTGTTCACATCATTAAAGACATACATACAACCCGGTTGTCCATCAACTCTAACCTACCGTTCCGTATCGCGTGATATCAAGAGATAGTACAGACATCCAGATTGGGATCAGCTCTAGCTTTACGCTTGGCCACCACTACTGCAAGTGATCTACCCTTTTATCATCCGATAGGTCTCATACCGACCCTTCAGGTGATAATCTATAAGGAATTGGTTGATAATCGGTTGTAGGCCTCATACCGACCCACGCATAACAACCGGTGCTCTCCTATTCCTCTAAGTTGTGTCCAAACATACAAACTCAGGCACAACACATTGAATTAGTAGTCAAAAAAAATGTCATTGAAGTCATTATTTTCGTTAAAAAGTTTTGTCTTACAATATTTGCTATCATTTTTAACACTTTATTTGGTGACAATTGTCAGCTGTAGTATTGGTTGTCTGGTGTCAGTATTAGGTCAACTCATTGTAGTGACGGTGTTGTCGTGGTTTGTGACCAAAACAGTTGGAAAATATCTAAATAAAGAGTTTCTTACGTCATATAAAAGAGCCGTTTTGGTCACTGGTATGTCATTATAATAATCGAAAAAAATAATACAATATTTAATTATATATAAATTTAATTTGAAAGGTTGTGACAGTGGTTTTGGCAATGCATTGGCTCAGACACTCAATGAACATGGATTCAGAGTCTATGCCACAGTATTGGACACCAATAGCGACGGCGCCAAGAAATTGGCGACCAGTGGTCGGTTTGATGGCATGACAACAGTGTTGAGGATGGATGTGACGAATGATGAAGAAGTGAATGCAGTTTACGAACAAATTGCAAAAGAGTTGCAACAAAACGGTGAACAACTGTGGGCTGTCGTCAACAATGCCGGTATCATGACTTGGGGACCACTGGACTGGGGAACTGTAGACAGTTATAAACGTATATTTGAAGTCAACACTTTCGGTACCGTTAGAGTCACCCGAACTTTTCTACCATTGATTAGACAGTCAAAAGGTTTGTACTTAAAAAATAATAATAATAATAACTACCAGTAGTTAGTGTTTATGTCAATAAATTATTTATTAAACAGAAAAAAACTAAATTATAACTATTTATTTATTTTTTTAGGACGAATCGTTAATTTAGTATCAATTTCCGGCCGCTTTACCGCTCAAAATCGGTCCATATATTCAATGAGCAAACACTCGGTCATCTCATTTGCCGACGCATTGAGACGCGAGTCCCGTAAATGGGGTGTCAAAGTGTCGACCATTGAGCCGACAGCCTATAACACAGCAATGTCTACACCGGACTATTTGAATCGTGAATTGGATCAGTTGTGGACGGATAGCTCAGATAATGTTAAACAAATCTACGGCCAAGAGTTTTATGATAAGCTCAGAGTTCAGACGTCCGATACACTGGCCTCGTATAGTGCCGGCGATAATCTGAACGATGTTGTCGACCAAATAGTTGCGGCCATCAGATCAGCCGAACCGGAGATCAGATATTTTGTATCGCCCGACACCTGGCGTATCAAATTACGATTGGCCATAGCTCAATATCTACCTGGCCAATTTTATGACTGGCTAAGCGCTAGAAAACAATCGCCTAAAACTAAACAATAACTTTTTTTTAATATTATTTTTTAGTAATTTTTTAATTGATCTTAAATTTGTTTGATTATAATATTTTTAGTAATTTACATAATAAACTAAATTTTTCACATTAAACATTTCAATTATTTTTTATTTTTTGTTTCTATGATAATTAAATTATTAATATTATTGAAAATAATTTTTTAGAAACTTTATTGATTGCTTAAAGTTTAACTAATTATTATTATTAAAAATTGAGATTTTTTATTTACTAAATTTCTATTAATTTAATCATTTAACCAGAGAAATGTTAAAGTTTTTAAATTGTTAAAGTTTAAAGTTAAAATCTTAAAGTTTAAAAATTTATTAAATTAATAATTAATTTTACTAATAAAGTAATAAAATTATGCATAAAAATTATTAATATAATATTAAATACAAATACAATTGCATAAACAATACATTTATTTATATTAATATACAAAAAAATAAGTTATTAAACTTTTAATTATACATAAAAATTATATGGGCTATGAATAACTGTATAATAGAAACTAATGGGTATTTTATATAATATATATTTTTGGATTAATTAAATACAGTTAATGTTAGTCAACTAACTTAAAAATGCAAACAACCCGTACATTCAAAACGAGTATATAAGCCGACAAATTTTGCTAACAAAATATCAAATCAAAATCTCATCTAATAATATAAAAAATTAATAATTGTAAAAATAATTTTTTTATTACAATTTTTTATCATAAAAACTATTATAAAAATGAAATTTTCTGTCGCAATATTATTAGCTGTTTTGGCCGGTTGTCAGGCTCTCAGTGTTCAACCAAGAGGTTAGTATAGTTTATTATTTTTATTTTTGGTGATATAAATTTTGGTGTATAAATTTATTGTTGTGTCTATACTTATAGCCGACCAGGACCAGAACAAGGATATCGGCGGTAACTTGAATCGTATTATCGGTTTCAAACAGTTTGAGGAATGGCTTCGTCTCATCCAATCCCAGATGACTCGACTCACCGACCAATTCAACCGATTGCTGACACCCCGTGAGGGCCGTCTCGAGAACAAAGAGTTGGCAATTGTCAAACAAACCGTCAATGATATCGACTCATCAATTACACTGTTGAACGGCCAGTTGGCCCGAAATGCCGGCGCACTGCAGGCCAACAACGACCAGAATCGCGACTTTTCTCTATCGAGAGTACCGTTTCTCGAACAGATCGAAGAGATGCTCAAATTGGTTCAGAAACAGATCACTGGTAAACAAAATAATCAACAAAAAAAACACTAAATTAAAATATTAATTAAATTATTTAATTATCAGATGTGTCTACAACTGTCACCCGAGCGCTGACCGGCGGTCTCGATCTCAAGGGTACCACTGCTGACGAAATGAACAAAGCTGTCGACGGCTCAGTCATGTCTCAGGTGCCGTTCCTCAAGGAGTTCGAAGAATATCTGGAACTGTTCCAGAAACAGATCAACCGATTCGGTGGAACCGTCCAACGGATCATTCAAGGAGGACAACGCAAAGATTAGGTGGAAATAACCAATCAGTCAATTAATTCATTGATTGATTTTTTTGGACAATGAATTTGAGATCATGATTAATGATAAAGTTATTTAATTATTTTTTTAAAAAATATTAGATTAATTGATTATTTTATATATAATTTATTTGTAACAAAATTATACAACAATTTGACCAAAAAGTATCTTATTTTTCTCAATATATATTTAAATTTTGGTTTAGGAAATTAATGAAACAAATTATGTGTTAATTTTTTGTTTTGTTTTAGTTTTGTTTGTTCAACTATTTTGCTTATTAATTTTTTTTAATAGACAAATTACTATTTATTTGTTAATTAATTATCTCAATTTTTTATTTGTAATTTTTATTTTAGGTAATCGTATTGTTTAGCGTCTAATAATTTTTATTTTTATTTTATTTTTTTAAAAAGTCTTCCCCATACATGTAGATTTTGTATCATTATTTTTTTAATATATAATTTTATTTTGTTTATTTCAAATTGATAAATAAATTAAACATACTTTTGACAAAAAACACGATTTTTAAAATTTTATTATTAATTTATTATTTTATAAAAAAAATCATTATTTAAAAATCTAAATTTAAATATTAATGGTTTATAATAATAAAAAAATATTATTATGTAAAAAACATCAATAAAAATATTTAAAAATAAGAAATTTTTAGCTATTTAATATAATAATATTATCTACAATAATTCATTGATACTAAAATTATTGTTATTAATTTTCATTATATATTATTGAATTAATATTAAATATAATACATTTAATATTTTCTTATTTATAACTTTATATGACTACAAGTTTATTGCAATATTTTTTATATTATTACAATAAATAGATACCAATATATATATTGCATAAGGTACATTGAAATATTTATTTAAAAAAACAAAATAATTTTGATTTAAATAAATTTTGATACCATTTTTTTCAAAATCACTCAAAATATCAGATAAATATGACATTATTTTTTCATAACTTAAAATAAAATGTAGTCAATATTTTGAATTAATGAAATGAAACTAAAGTTGGTTAAAACTTTATTAATTAGTAATAATTTTATTTTATTATTAATAATGTTTTATAAACAAATAAATATGCAAATTTAGTTTTATTAAATAAAATATAATAATAGCATTTACAATATTTTTTTTAAAAAAACCTATTATTCTTGTATTTTGTTAAAATTATTTTATATAACATTTTCTAGTTGTGATGTCAATTATAGAGTTGTTATTGCAATACATTTATGACATTTATTGTTTTTTTTGTATACAGCATATGTGTGTTAAAAAATAAGTTGCATTTATTAATAATCTATTTAATATATAAATCATTAAATTTAAAAAATAATAATAATTTCATAAAAACAATATAAGATTATATATAATAGTAAATAATGAACAATATTCTGGCAGAAAATCAGTTTTAATTTTTGTTTAAAGTTTAATATATTGCAAAATATTGTCAATTATAGCAATAATGACATCTAAACAGTGATCGGTTTGTTATTCATATAGTAGACTATAAATATATATATATATATATATATATATATATAATATTATTGAATTAATTAAAACTATTTAATGTTAGTTAACTGTGTTTAAAATGCAAACAACCCGTATCTAAAAAAAACTAGTATATAAACCAACAAATTTTTGTATCAAAATCTTATTTAATAATAATTATTTTATTTAAAAAAATATTAATATTATAAAAATGAAATTTTCTGTCGCAATATTATTAGCTGTTTTGGCCGGTTGTCAGGCTCTTAGTGTTCAACCAAGAGGTTAGTATTGTTTTGTTTTATAACTATTTATAACTTTTTTGTAAATAATAATTATTTTTAATTTTTATTGTGTATATAATTTTTTTTAGCCGACGATAACCAAAACAGTATTATCGGTTTCAAACAGTTTGAGGAATGGCTTCGTCTCATCCAATCCCAGATGACTCGACTTACCGTCCAATTCAACCGATTGCTGACACCCCGTGAGGGCCGTCTCGAGAACAAGGAGTTGGCAATTGTCAAACAAACTGTCGACGATATCGATTCATCAATTACACTGTTGAACGGCCAGTTGGCCCGAAATGCTGGCGCACTGCAGGCCAAAGACGACCAGAATCGCGATTTTTCTCTATCGAGAGTACCGTTTCTCGAACAGATCGAAGAGATGCTCAAATTGGTTCAGAAACAGATCACTGGTAAACAAAACAAAAATATTTGAATTCAAATCTACATTATTAGCAAATTTTATTATCAGATGTGTCCTCAACTGTCACCCGAGCGCTGACCGGCGGTCTCGATCTGAAGGGTACCACTGCTGACGAAATGAACAAAGCTGTCGACGGCCCAGTCATGTCTCAGGTGCCGTTCATCAAGGAGTTCGAAGAATATCTGGAACTGTTCCAGAAACAGATCAACCGATTCGGTGGAACCGTCCAACGGATCATTCAAGGAGGACAACGCAAAGATTAGGAGGAAATAACCAATCAATCAATTGATTGATTGTTTGTTTGATTTTTTGCGACAATGAATTCAGATGATGATTATAATGATAAAGTTATTTAACTATTTGTTTTTCTTATAATAACCAATTAATTGATTTTTTTAAATATAATTTATATGTGATATACTGTATTTATGTTACAATTTGACCAATATTTTTTTATTAATATCTATTTATTATTTTAGGAAATTAATTCAAAAAATTATTTAGTAATTTTGTATGTTTTTGTTTATTTGTTTAACTAATTTGCTTATTATTATATTTTTTTTAATGACAAATTGCTATTTATTTGTTAGTTTTTTATATATCAATGTAATTTTTATTTACAGGTAATCGTATGTTTGTATTATTATTGTTTAACGTCTAATAATTTTTTGTTTTATTTTATTAAATTAATTATAAAGGACTATAATTTTACTATTGATAATAAAAGTATTTATACTTCTGTTTAACTAAATATTTATATATAAAAAAAAACTTTAATAAAATAAGTTACTTTTAAAAGTTATTCAATATTTTAAACAATAATAATAATAAAATTAATGATGTAAATACTATAATAAATATAATAAAAATTTATAAAATATTTTAATTAAATTAATATATAATAATAAAAATAATAAATTATGTATATATTTAACAAATATATGTTATAACTGTTGATAATTATTTCAAACAAGTTTTTTAAAAATTTAATATTACTAATGATAATAATTTTAGGAAAAATAACAAAAATTAATTAAATATTTAAAAATTAGTTTTTATTAATAATATTAATGATCCAGTTAACTTTAGTCGATACCCTTACAAAAAATGGTACATTTGGTCGACCAGATTTACAATGATCTTGAGTTTGGGCGCCTTTATTAATACCAATAATAACAGCCCTGCCTTTTATATACTGGATTAATGGACCGCCAGAATCACCCTTTATTTTAGTATAATTATAATAGAAATATAATTTGTATTCATGTATTGATATGTAATATAATGTAAAACTTATACTGTATTTACTTTACAAAGGAATGAACCGACAATTGGTGGAAATATCTGACTGATTATCAAATCTTTTTCATTTTTACTATTAGTTTTGTTGGCAATCTTAGTCCAACCCATTTGCAGTCTATCTTTGAGTGAGTTTTCATCAATATGTCCAAAACCGGTGGTCAATGCGTACTCATTATAGGGAATGTTATCATTTGGTTGCGGCAAACAAATGGCATTAATTTGTCGATCGGTTTGTTGTTGTTTAAAGTCTAACACATCATTCAATTTAATTAACGCCAAATCATATTTATCATTACCTTTCCTATAGTTTTCATGTATAATAATTTTGTCGTAACCGTAATCCTGACCCTTATTTGACTTATCAATGAGTCCTACATTTACCTTATAGTAAACATTTTGTTGTATAACACAATGGGCTGATGTAAGGATCCATTGATTAGTGATAATAGTGCCAGTACAAAAACTACTAAAAATTATTATTATTTTATTAATTTTTTATTATTACACACATACACACACCCACACATATACACAAACATACATAGTGTGAATAGATTTAAGATTTTAAAATAATATTATTATATCTTACATCATATCATCGGGAAACGGCCAAAAAGATGATTGCCATTTGGTTATGAATGCTATGAATGGCAACTCTCCCGGTCGGGCGTCACACATACACATACACATACACATACACATACACATACACATACACATACACATACACATACACATACACATACACATACACATACACATACACATACACATACACATACACATACACATACACATACACATACACATACACATACACATACACATACACATACACATACACATACACATACACATACACATACACATACACATACACATACACATACACATACACATACACATACACATACACATACACATACACATACACATACACATACACATACACATACACATACACATACACATACACATACACATACACATACACATACACATACACATACACATACACATACACATACACATACACATACACATACACATACACATACACATACACATACACATACACATACACATACACATACACATACACATACACATACACATACACATACACATACACATACACATACACATACACATACACATACACATACACATACACATACACATACACATACACATACACATACACATACACATACACATACACATACACATACACATACACATACACATACACATACACATACACAGTCTTACATCATATCATCGGGAAACGGCCAAAAAGATGATTGCCATTTGGTTATGAATGCTATGAATGGCAACTCTCCCGGTCGGGCGTCTCTACCGTTGGCCAAATCGGCCATCAGGTCATCCTTTTTGTGCCATTCAAAGCACTGGTCATTAATTATCTACGATTGTCGTCCAATACCGCACTCATCGATGTTTGTGATGTTAGGGTAAACACCGATTCGTATGGCATTACAACACAATATAATAGCATTTAATATAATTGAAAATATAAATAAATTCATTGTTAATTAACAAAAATAAAATAATGTTTTACATTTTTAAAACATAAATATAAAAGTAATATCTTATAAAAATAAATTATAAAAATAGCTTTACATATACTGTACACTATGTAAACTTAATATTAAATATAATATTACTTAAATATTAAATTAAGCAATCTCAGTAAATTATATAAGTCTAAAGTATAAAAAAAACAATTTAAAAAAAATTATTATTAATATGTAAGAAATTATTTTATTAAAATATTAACTAACTTTAATAAATTCTTGTGTGTATTATTATCAAATGTCAACAGTTTTTATTGTTTTATACATTTACATTAACTTTAAAATAAAATAGTATATTTTTACATCATATTTAATATTTGAATAAAAAAATTTTTACAATTTTTTTTTATCTAATTACATAATATCTACAGTAATATAATTTAACTATAATTTAATAATAAGTATTTATTTACTGTATAAAACAATAACTATAAATGTTGTAAATTATAACAATGACATCTAAACAGTGACCCATTTGTTGTACAGACAGTAGAGTATAGATTTGTATCCAATTTAGCATTTAGTTGTTCAATGAGACTATCCATTGATTTTTGTTTAACTAAATTATAATAAACTATAAATGCAAACAAAATAGTCGTCACAATGAATATCAATATGAAAACAATTGCCACTAATTTCCATATAAACACATCCGACATAAGTTTTGCTATAATTTGTTGATAATCTGATGATACAATTTCTGGCATTATTACTGTAAAATCAAATTAATATAAATATAAATACAATTACAAAATATAATTTATTTTTATTATAATATAATTAGACAAATATATCATTAAAATATTAACTAACTTTTAGAAATATTGCTTAAATAATAAAAATTGCAAATATCAATACATATATTATTGTTAAAAATTAGTTGTTTTAATCTTTTACATTAACTTTCTAATGAATAATATACTTTTATATTATATTTAAAATATTTAATGTTTAAATAAAAAATATATTGAGTAATAATTATCAATATAACTTTAATTAATATTCATAAATAGAGTTTCATAAAAAAATAACTAAAACTATAATTAGAAATTGATTTATTGTTTCACGTAAATCAAAGTTTTTTTTTGTTATTTTAAATCATAAAATATAATTAAATTATATATTATTTATTTATATATAGCACTAAAAATATTAATCATATTATTAAATACTTATACTATAATTAATACAGTGTAATATAAACATAAAAAACAATATATTTAATAACTAATGTTAAATAAATACATAATACAAGTATTAATTTACAGTACCTTAATATAAGTAATTTATTTTATTTAAAAATTGAATTGATTTGTAAAAATAAAATTTTATTAATAATTATAAAAAATGCCTTTTTTATTTGAATCATAGTTTTTTTTGTTATCTTTTAGCATTAAGTATTAATAAATAGACAATTTTTATTTATTTAGATAAATAATTAAAAATATTAAAATATTTTAAATGAATCATTAAATAATTATACTATAATTACTACAGTATAGTGTAAACATATAAAAGTAATATAATTAATAAATTGTATTAATAATACTTAATACTGTAGTTATATTAAAATCCAGTAGTTGTTACTATTTAAAAATTGGATACAATTAGTGTAAAAATTAAAACAATTTATTATCAATTATTGTTTTCAATAATCAGAACAACAATTAGAAAAGATGTTAATCAACAAGTATTACATAAATATATTATGTATAATAATATTTTATTATATGTTATTGACATTACCTGTGCTAAACCAGGTGATGATGGAGGAGGAGGAGGTTTTATCTACTGTGACCGGTTGTAAGTGTTTTTTATAAAATTTATTGCTAATCTGATAATAATATTCAATGAAAGTTGTTTAATATACAGCATGTAAAATATTAGAAACTTAATATTAATAATTTACAATAAAACTATATATATTTTTAATTATAATAATTAATAAATCTATGCAAATATTTTTTTAAGTGCTAGAGATTACCAGTACAGTGCCGTATATTAGCGATACAGAGACTACAACTACAGGAACAACTACAACAACTAATCAGACAATTTGTAATTATATTCAAATATTGTTAATAAACTATTTTTTAATAATTTCTATCTATTAATAGACTAAAAGCTATACCAATAATATGTAATTTTACTTATAATTTATTTATTTAAATAATTATTGAATAGAATTTAATGAAATTGAAATTGATTTGATGTCCCAAATATTTATGTGGCGATTGGTTTCTATTGTATTTATACTGATATCACTAGTGATGACAATTTTGTTGGTTTTTATGTTTTATTACTACAAAAACATTAATTACAGCAAAAACTTAGAGATTCAGACTTTGAAAGAAAAGTTAGGTATTCAACCCTATAGTGTTTGCTATTATAATCATTAATTGCAACAATATATCAATATATTGTATATCTAAAGCATACTTTATATAATTGTATTATTAATTAATAATTTATAAACTATTAATAGTTAACACAAACAAATTATCTTAGAAACTAATTAAATTTATTAAACTATAATTATTTAATACTAATTATAAAACTTATTTATATTAATATTTAATTAATAAAAATTTTTATAAATAATTGATGTTTACATTTTATTTTATTAATATTTTATATAATTAATATTTTTGTTTATAATTTTTTATATCAAATATTATATTAATAGACAATATTTTAAATAATAATACTAATGTATAATGAATATAATAATATAAAAAAAATTATAATAAATTGTTATAAACAATAATAAAATGACAATAAAAATATACAATAAACTCTATAATCATAAGTTTTAGTACTAAATATCAAAACAATATAAACATTAGTAAAATAAAAAAAAATTAATAATTACTACTTAACTAAAGTAAATATGTTTTAACAGTTAAAAATACAATATATTTGCTGTTATATTATAATTAGCTCAAATAAAATAATTACAATTTTTAATTTAAGCTAGTTTTTATTAATAGTATTAATGATCCAGTTAATTTTAGTCGATACCCTTAAAAAAACAGGTATATATAGTACATCAGATTTACAACTATCATTAGAAAGTACTTTCATATTTATGCCAATAATAACAGCCCTACCATTTATATACTGGAATAATGGACCGCCAGAATCGCCCTGTTTATTATTATTATTATTAAAATTTATTTATATATATATTTTATATCTTTATATACACAGAATATAAAATAATTAATAAAACTAAAATATCAAACATATATGTAATTACTTTACAAACGAATGAACCACCAAATCGTGGAAATATCTGACCAATTATTAAATGTTTTTGATTGAATTTATTAGTTTTGTTGGCAATCTTAGTCCAACCCATTTTAAGTTTATCATCTAAAACATTGTCGGAAATTAGTCCGAAACCGGTGGTCAATGCGTACTCATTATAGGGAATGTTATCATTTGGTTGCGGCAAACAAATGGCATTAATTAGTCGATCGGTGTGTTGTTGTTTGAAGTCTAACACATCATTCAATTTAATTAACGCCAAATCATATTTATCATTACCTTTCCTATAGTTTTCATGCATAATAATTTTGTCGTAACCGTAATCCCGACCCTTATTTGACTTATCAATGAGTCCTACATTTACCTTATAGTAAACATTTTGTTTTCTAACACAATGGGCTGCTGTAAGGATCCATTGATTAGTGATAATTGTGCCAGTACAAAAACTACTAAAAATTATAATTATATCATTAATATTACTATTATTACACACATACACATACACATACACATACACATACACATACACATACACATACACATACACATACACATACACATACACATACACATACACATACACATACACATACACATACACATACACATACACATACACATACACATACACATACACATACACATACACATACACATACACATACACATACACATACACATACACATACACATACACATACACATACACATACACATACACATACACATACACATACACATACACATACACATACACATACACATACACATACACATACACATACACATACACATACACATACACAGTCTTACATCATATCATCGGGAAACGGCCAAAAAGATGATTGCCATTTGGTTATGAATGCTATGAATGGCAACTCTCCCGGTCGGGCGTCTCTACCGTTGGCCAAATCGGCCATCAGGTCATCCTTTTTGTGCCATTCAAAGCACTGGTCATTAATTATCTGTGATTGTCGTCCTATACCACACTCATCAATGTTTGTGATGTTAGGGTAAACACCGATTCGTATGCCATTACAACACAATATAATAGCACTTAATATAATTGAAAATATAAATAAATTCATTGTTATTTAACAAAAAAAATGATAATAATTTATAGTACATTTTAAAAAGATAACTGTAAAATTAATATATTATAAAAATAAATTATAAATATATTATTTTATAACTTAATAACATTACATATACTGTACACTATGTAAATTAAATACTATTAAATATAATATTACTTAAGTATTAAATTAAGCAAGGTCATCAAATTATATAAATCAATGAAAATAATAAAATGGCTAATATCTCACAGAAAAATAATTAAATTAAAATTAATATTCATTTTTTATTTTATTTTTAATAGAATTTTCTGTTTATAACAAAATATTTTTTCTAATTTCTATTTCTTTAATAATTTAGTGATTGCTAACTATTAACTTTAAATTAGATTTTATTTTTTAATACTTATGTTTTAATAAAGTAAAATAGTAATAAAGTAAATTTTTATATTTATATTTTTTGTTTAATATATTTAAATTTGACCAAAAAAAACATTAGTGTAGTTGGGGGGGTGTGAAATTGAAAAATTTTAATGTAAAGGGGGTAGAGTGGGCGAGAAGTAAAATGTCATAACAACTCTATATATATTTTTTGCTTAACCCTAGAATTAAAGTAAAATAAAAAATTCATAATCTTTATATTTAATAATAAAAAATATTTTTTAATAAAATTAGATTTCAATTGATCTATAAATTATATGCTATTATATACTATATAATAGCATATAATTTATAAATCAATTGAAATCTAATCTTATTAGAAAAAAATATTTTATTATTGAATTTAAATATTATGATTTTTTATGTATAATATAAAAATAATTTTGTAATATTATACATTATTACAAAATATTTTTTTTTTCAAAAAATTACTTATTTCTATCTTTAATTTTTCAAATTCTTACTAAATATTTTGTATCAAAAAAAGTCTAAAATTATCAAGGTTATTTAATTTTATATAGTAAATACTTTGTAATAGTTATCTAATTAAAAAATTAATTAATTAATAAAATAATTTAAATATAAATTTATTTATTTATCATGATTTATATATATATATAGTACAATACTAAAATTTATGTTGTGCAAATTTTTATTTAAAAAATATCCCCGAACCTAAATTAAATTCAATCCCTGTATAAATAATTAAGTTTATACTTACATAGTTTACACAAAATTCACCAGGGGGATCTTACTTAATTTTTTCCTGTATTTATAAGGCTATTATAAACTTTTAGTTTATAATTTTTATTTATTTTTTTTTGTTAATTAAATTCAAAATTAGACAAGCTGATTCATATTTATTATTAATAATTTTTTAAATAAATAATATTATAAAATTATAAAAATTATAAATAATATTGTTTTCAGTAATAATTTACTAACTTTAACACTTTCCAAACACACAAACACACAATAATTGCACTAGTACATTTTATAATATGGCATTTAATGTAATTACAATTTATGTATATTTATTTATTTAAAAAAAAATATTTAATTTATAAATTTTTAATCAAATATAATAATAAATAGTTTTTCAATATTTTATTATACCGTATATATAGCGAGCTTTGACTGTAAACGGTGTTTGTATTGTACTGTAAAAGCATGCGATCATTACATCAGATGTTTGTTTGTTTGTTTGTTGTGTTGTTTTCAATGTTGTGTTCATTCAATTCAATTGAATTCAAAAAAAAAAAAATACAAAACAAATACAATACTAATTAACTAATTATTATTGTATTAATTAATTAATTAATGTTTTGTTGTTTTTATTCAAAAAAAAACAAAACAATTTATCTGCAAATCAATGCAACGATTCATTGATTTTTTTTTTAGTTAATTGACTACAAAAATAAAGTATTGGATTTGACTCTACAGTTGTAGTCAACTTAAGACAGACAGAGAGAGAGAGAGAGAGAGAGAGAGAGAGAGAGAGAGAGAGAGAGAGAGAGAGAGAGAGAGAGAGAGAGAGAGAGAGAGAGAGAGAGATCTGAAGACAATATACACGATGTTTGACGAGAACGACGACTCAAATGACGAGCCGAAGACCATCGATGACGACTACTATGCCTTTCTGAATGTCGCCAAACAGGTAGTGTAATAGTAGTGACCAAATATGTTACTTCTTATTCTTCTTCAGTATGATTGACCACTTTTATCAGGTTTTTGTAATTTTTATCTCTCTTTCTTTTTCCAACGACACCTCCGCAGGCATCGCCCGACGAGATAACCCGGGCCTACAAATCGATGTCCAAACGTCTTCATCCCGACAAACATCTAGATCCGGATCACAAGAAAGAGGCAGACATTATGTTCAACAAAGCGAAGAAGGCGTACGACGGTTAGTGTTAGTGTGGGATACGGTGTGACCATCGATGAGACCATTGATTGTCTTTATTATAATGTTTTTGTTTGTTTCTTGGTTTGATGAAACAGTTCTAATAGATCCCCATTTGAGAGCCATCTACGATACCGTCGGCACCAAAGGACTCGAAACGGACGGTTGGGTTTTGATGGAGAAGCGAAAGTCGCCGCAAGAAATACGAGAAGAGTACGAACGATTGCTTCGCGAAAAAGAGGAACGCCTTCTTCAGCAGCGGACAAACCCGAAGGGCAACATTAGTGTCCAAATAAATGCGACCGATCTGTTTGACCACTACAACGAATGGCAGGCCATCTACTATCCAACCATTGAGGTGTCGTCGATGTCTATATCGCAGTCGATTGACGCGCCACTGACCATCAACGATACCCTAACGCTAAGCGGTTCGCTTAGTTCGCATAACGGTACCGGCCAGGGTACAGTGGCCACTGCACTACGTCATGTAGTGTCGGCCAAAACGTGGTGCGAAGTTGAGTTGGCCGCCGGCCAGGGACCGATCATTGCGCTAAAAGGATTTCGCAATTTTACCAAAAAGATGCACTCAAACTGTCACCTATTACTTCACTTTAGTCCCGTCGGTGTTCGTCCAGGACTGCAATGGGGTATTGTTTTTGTTGATAACCGTTAAATTAGTTGTCAATTTGAATACTAATTATAGTTTTTATTTTGTTTTCTCTCTCTCTATCTCTTTCTCTCTCATCAGTTGTAAGTCGACATCTGGACAAACATTTGATCGGTTATCTAACATTGAAAACAGGAATGCAGTCATCCATCAACACAATGGTGGCCTGGGATCACCAAAAAGCCCGAATACTTTGTTCCATTCAATTAGGATTTCCTCACTGTTTCGTAACCGGCAGTTATTCGCATAAATTAGAGCAAAACGATACCAAACTGAAAGTGGCCGTCAAGTATGTGTTGTGTTGTTATTATTAGTAATTTTACTGATAATTTATATATATTTTTAATTAATATACGGCATATGTTTTTTATTTGTGACTTTTTTTAAAGGGCCGGTACTTTTGGTGCCGTTTTCGAGTATGGATGTGAAACACGTCTATCCAAACATAGTATAATCGGTGCTTCTATTAGTATAGGTGTGCCATCCGGTGTCTCACTTAGACTAAGGTAAGAAATAATAAGACATGATTAAGAGTACCGTAATTATGATTTTTTTGTTTGGGATAATAGGTTGAGTCGGGCCAACCAAAGCTACAACTTTCCCATATTGTTGAGCGACGATGTACTGCCAAACGCCATATTCTACGGAACAGTTGCGCCATTACTTAGTTTTTATTGTCTGCAAACGTTTATCATAAATCCGTATAATAGACGAGAATCGGCCAAAGAGAAGGAACGGGTGCGCAAACAAAATCGGTCCAAAATAGTGGAGCGCCGTAAAGAGGCCGAAGCTGTCATTACGCTAATGCGCGAACTGTACGCCCGCATTATGGACAGGGAAACCGAGAAAAAGGGATTGATTATCGACAGAGCATTGTATGGGTCCGAGTCGGCCATTGACCGGTTCAAAGACAATGAAGAGACGTTGTCATTAGATGAAGAAGCTTTTGATGTGGTCCTACCGTTACAGTGTCTGGTGAATAACGACTCGACACTGACGCTTACCGATGCCAGTAAAGCACAGTTACCCGGCTTTTATGATCCCTGTATGGGTGAGGACAAGAAACTCTATATTAGATACAAATATAATGAACGCATTCATCAGATACTCATTGATGATAGTCAAGCACTTCATATACCAGCAAAAGGTTTGTTTTATATATGTTATAATTACCGGTAAATTATATATTAATTAAAATTTATAATTATTTTATTTGAATTTTATAGTTCATCTCATAGATTAACTGAAGTCATAATAACAGTTTGGATTTGTTGCCATCATTTGCTTTTATAATTATATAATAATAATTATTATTACATTAGTATTACAGTTATAAATTGCTTACCTAAACGAGTCATTTAACAAAATATATATTTCATAATTTTCTAGTAGTTATCTGGTTTATAGTGTTTTTTTAAAAACAAATCAAATTGATTATTATGATTATATAATTGTATATTTAAGTAATAATTTAATAAATAGTATTTATATATTATATAGTTTTAATATTTTTAAAAATAAATAAATATGTATTTTTAGTTATCAATTTAGTATTTTAATAATAAAAAACAAAATTGTCATTTATTGATAAATAATAATTTTATTGATATTTAATAATTTATTATAAAATTTAAATGCAAGCTTTGGTTTTATTATAATGTTTTTCATTGCGTTTCTAAAAAATATCATTACATAAAGTATTTACCGGTAAATTAATTTTATTTTTTAAATAATTTAATTTTAGTTGTATTAAAATAGTTACTAATAATTTTTTTTAGTTAAAAATATTATGTTATCACTATTAATGAAAAATTATTATTTTCTAATTAATAATAATAATTACATTATCACCTGAATTGCTTTGTACTATTTATTAACAAAAAAAAATATTTTCATTATTATAACATTATTATTAGTGGTGTGAAATTGATTAATAGGACCCTGGATATTTTTTAAATAAAATAAGCATGCTAAGTTTAGTGATTATTATTTTTGTTGTTGATTAGCGTTAAGCATGTCTTAAAGCGTATAATTTGTTTTTTGAGATTAAAACTAAAATCTAAAATAATATTAATTTATAATTTATTTTTTTCGGCAATTAATCTAATCTAAAGCAGAAGCTATTTTTCATTTTTTAATTAATAAGTTATTATCCATAATGTTATTGATTTTATTTAGGGTCTGTCCTCCAGGTCTTCCTCATCGACCCGATTCTTGTCCGGCTGTGGCGCCAACAATACCTTTCCGCCCAACACCGAGTCAATACGGGACGAGATAACCGTCAACGTGTACTCCATACGGTCGACCCGTTTGGTCAGTTTGCTGACGTCGGCACCGCCGCCGCCGCCGCCAGCGAACCGATACATACTGCGAGCGCTTTCCGGCCGTTTGTTTTCGTTTTCGGCAATCTCTTTCTCGATCTCACTTTTCTTGCCCTCCAAATCGGCAAACATTTTCTGCAATTCTTGTTCGTCGAGTTCCCGATTCTGGTCGCAGTCATACTTGGAGAACAGCATTTCGATTTCCTGGTCACTCAGACCACGTTCCTTGAGTTTCAATCGGACGGACGCAAAGCTAACCGTTTTCGAGCCGTTAAGTCCTGAATCCTAATAATATCGACCAAAAGATTTTATGGATAAATATCAGTGCATCTAATCTAATGAATGAATGAATGAATGGATAGATGGATGAAATTGATTACTTTGATGGCCTGTTGTATGCCTTCGATCTGTTCCTTCTGAGCGCCCAATTTGGTCATAATCTGGTTGGAGATGTTCTTGAAATAGTCCATTACTGCAAACTCTTCGTCGTTGCCGATCTCGGCCTTGACCTCGGCGTACGTGTCGTTAATTATGGCCAAAAACATGTTCTGTATAAATAAGTAATTAATTAATAATTTTTTATATTAATTTCAATTTATTAATTTTTTTTAGTCAAACGGCTTTCAGACCATCAGCACGAAGAACACAAAGAATATGTAGCTCAAGAAGAATATGGGTCCCAATACACGATTGGCCGCCTCCAGGGCCTGGAAGTCAAAGTCACCCAAAATCAGTCTCAATAGTGTAAACCTGATATTTTTGATATATCATTTGAATATTGAGTTTTTTTTAATTAACAATAAAATTAACATAAAATTTGTTAAAATTACAGTAAGAATCAGTGATTTATTACTTACACTGATTTACCGAAACTGCTGTAATCTTTTACTTGAGTGCCAAACAATAGATAACCCAACTGTGCAAATGCAAAGAATACGATGAAAAACATGACACCGAAACCGGCCACATCTTTGGCGCACTGGTAGCCAAAATTAAAACAACAAAAAAACAGATAATTAGTGATAATTCAGTGTCTGATATGATATTTGATTGTATGAATCAAATTGAATACCCGGCTTAAAGTAGAGGTTAACTGTGACATTGTCTTATTAAAGCTAATATATTTGAATAGTTTGACCCAAGCTATAAACGACAGTACGGCCAACATATTGCTGAACTGTGCCGACCAGAAACCCAATGTATCGAACTGGTAGGTCTCGATCTGGAGGGCGGCCGACGAACTGTTCTGCATCGGTGTCTGTGTCTCGCCGTCGGCCGATGACTCGTTGTTGTCGTTGTTGTCAGTGTCTGCTTCGTCGAAGATCTTATTGATGACATACTTACGATAGAACAGGAAGAATACCAATAACGATGATATAAGTATCGTAAAGATGTCCAACAGATTCCAACCGGAACTCGTAAAGTACGGCCAAAAACCCATTGTCTTGATTTCGACCAACTCTTCAATGATATAGTAGATGATAAACATGACAAACAATGTAAAGCACATGTAGAGTGCTATCGGTGCGTCCGACGAGTTTTCCAACAGGTTTAGTGTACGAAATTGCCACGAAGTCAGCATACCGCCGGTGGCAGGAAATTCGGCAATCAGTTTGGTTACCACATACAGGTTGATGTTCGGGTTATAGGTGGTAAAGTCGATGAATATGGCTCGGGTACCCCTATCGATCCAGAGATTTTTTTTCAAATCCTTAATTTTGGCGGCGGCCACACTCTTGTTGAGTGTCAGATCGACAATATAGCCGCCTTCACCCGAATAGGTGCCCAAAATACCTGTCCATTTCCACGAGAAAAGTAATGATTAATTTAATTGTTTTTTCTTAATTATATATTTGTTTTGTTTTTATCTTTCAATTACTGACCCCAAACATCGTTCTTTGCAAACGACTTGATCTCTTGCCACTGGAAACTACTATCGTTTTTGCCACCACTAGCCTCCCTGTCCTCGAATACCTGGGCATAGAAGTTATAGCACGTAAAGATTGCCCGCTGAAAGTCCCGGTGCACTTCGCACGAGTCGTTTTTGACTTTCAATTGTCTCAATCGAGGCGATCCCAGCAAATAGTTTTCATACAAAACTGAATTTTTCGTAATCAACGAGTCGTTATTATACCAACGTTCCCAATACAGGCCGTCCATTAGTGGTCCCTCAGCGAACTGGTAGGTATTAGTAACACACACATAATTAACAATAACTTAGTGGGGGTTTAGTGGGGGTTACCAACTATGGTTTAGCCATATATTATTAAAGATTATAAGTATATTGTATTATATTTTGTGTTAAAAATAATAGACTTATAATTACTTTCCAGAAGTCATCCATCTGTGAGGCCGACCTGAATGTTACGCCACTGCTGTCGGCCCTATCGAGGAACAGGTCACTCATGATTTTGGTCTGATAGTACATTGTCGGGTTCATCATCGAAAAAGTTACTATAATTTATGGGACAATTTTTATTTATTTTTAAAAAATATTTAATTTAATGTTTTTATTTTTGGTTTGAATTTTTTTTTTTTGAAAACAATTTGTCACTTACTATAGGTTATGGTTGTTAGGAAGGCTACGTAAATCAATAGCTCCCGGAGCGTAGTCTTAATAATGCTTCCCTTATCGGCATCTTTGGGCAAAATTTGTTTTGTCAACCAAAATACTGTACACACAAAAAAAATATTGAATAAAATTTTTTATTTTGTATTGATTTTCATTATATTTTTTTAAAAAAATGAAAATACCTCCAAATGTCTTCTGAAAGCGATTCCAATAGTTGTTGCCATCGATCATATCATCGGATGTTACGGAGTAGACCTCCGGATCCATCTTTTTTTTGTTGATACCTTTGAGGGACAGATTGTTATTATCAGTGCTGACCGACCAGATAGGGTTACTCATTGTTTTTTATATGTTTTTTTTTGAAAAAAATAATAACTGACAACTAATTTTAGAAATAAATAAAACTTATTATTATTATTATTATAAGTAGTAGTAGTAGTAGTATTAGTATATTACTAAATCACAAAATTAAAAAATAAACTAAAAAATCTTAAACTATTAAATGAAAAAAAATAATAATTATTTTATTCAATAATAATTTACAGAATATTCTGTTTAGCTATATATATATGTGTGTCTTTACTATACGACCGATAGTCCAGCACTGATGATATATATATTTTTAATAGTTATGGTATGCCTTTTAACAATAATATATTGGTATAGATGCATGGTTAACCATCCAGTACATATTACAGTATATATTATATATGTTTAATTTTTTATTCATGTATTTATCATACATACAGTACAAGTATGTATGAGCTCTAAGTTTTTTTATTTTTGTGATTTTCGTATTCAATATTAATGAAATTTTTGTTAAATATCATTATTATTTATTATGAAAAAACATATATATTTATTTATTCGGCTATTATTATAATAATGTTGTTGTTGTGTACAATAAATATCTCTACCATAAAGTTATGGTTAAAAAAAAGAGTTGCTATTAGAGACATAAGTTTATTATTATTATTATTATTTTGTTTATTAATTATTAAAATATGTTTATAAATTTTTTCCCAATGCATTAATTGATATACAAAACACACTTAAACTAATGGTTTTACTACATATAATGTATATATATTTAATAAATGTACGTATATTTGTTTGATTAAAATTAATAAATAATTAGATGTATTTTACGTAATAGTTAGTTGTTTATAACGTTATAAATATATATATATATATATTTGTTTGATTTTATTGATATTCATATATCCAGAATTTTTTTATGAATAAAAAATATTATCTCAAAGTCAAAAATAAACTAAACTACTAACTAATATTAACTCATATTTAACTCAATTAATATAATATATATTGTAATTGACATTTTTGAAACTTAAAAAAATAAAAACATAATATTTATTTACTAATATAACTAATCTATATTAAATAATAAGTAAATAAATAAACACAACTAATAAAAGATTTTACAATAATTACTAAAATATAGAAATAAATTTACATCAATTAAAAAAAATAATATTATTTATTAGTTTAATGATAAATCATATAAAAAATTTAATAAACTTTTGGGCAAATTTGTAAAAATATTTTGTAAATTATCAAAATTTATTGGTTTACTACTAGTAATCGTTAGATAAATATCACGTATTTTTGATCGACACAACTGTTTCAATGTCGGCACTACTACTGCTACTCGATGTCCAGTCAATTGACAATTAATATTTGAACAGTTTTTAACCATCACCTGAACCGTCTGGTCATTACATTTTGATGCCAAACGCAACACATCTTCGTCGACAACAAACCCAATGTTCAACAATGTCTTAAAACAGTCAACTCTTCCCTGATTTATATATTTTGCTGATAAATACAACGGATTTGTATCTCGTTTGAGAAAACTCTGGCAATTCATCGAAAAACTCTGATGTCGTATGAGTTGGTCAACAAAATATGGTCGTCGCTCGCGAACGGCCAGCCATACCGGGGTTTGACCAAAAAAATCGGTTACATTGACGTCAATGTCGGGACAGTCGAGCAAAATATTTAATAGATCTAACTTTCCTTTATGTTTGAAATATTATATAAAAAAAGTTATTTAAAAATATGAATATATTTAAAATATTATTTATTTTCTATCACAAAAAACCGTACCTAACCGGACAACAGAGCACAAGGGTGTCTCATTTCGACCGATACTATCGGTGGACAGTCGGTTGGGATCGGAACCCGCATTCAACAGTAGGCGCACACAATCAATCAAACCATGACTGACGGCCAAACTTAGCGGACTTGACTTTCCTATAAATGTTATACAATTTAAGTCAATTTTATTGACAGTCAATAATAGTTGTGTCAATTGCGACAAATTATTGTCAATTATAGCCAGTTGTATGTCAAACACAAATGATTTTTTCAATGATATTGATTTTGTCATTTTTTTAACATTTATATATTTTATATAACATTTTATCTAATGAGTTACTCATCATATGAGTTGTTAATTTTAATAATTAATTAAACAAAATAAAAACCAATTTTCAACTAAACTGTTGCAAACTATTATTATTATTATACTGTATATGATATGATATGATATGCAAAGTTAGGGTGTAGTCTAAACACACTAAAACTGATAGTATATTACTATTAATATTATTATTATTACGTTATGTCATAGTATGGGTTAGTTGTTAGTATGGTTTTGGTTAAGTCGTGTTTTGGCTGATTATCTATTTTTAGATATTTTTTTTGCTGTAAATAAAAATGTTTTAAAATTTTTAAAATAAAACAAATGTTATAATAAACATATTATCAATTTGACAGTCAATAAGAATAATTAGATACAAATAGATGTCAAGTTTGTGATGAAAAAATTTATTTTATCAAATTTTTTTTTTTGAATAAAATATGTTTCAATAATTATATAACTATTTATTTTTTGATAAAAAATTGTAATTAAAAAATATGATAGAATAGTATAAACCAATTGATAAACAAAATTATTTAAAAATTATTAGAATGACAAACAAATTATTTAACATAATATTTTTTTATTATTAAATTTTAATAATTTAATTACAAATGTAATATTTTTAATAGTTTTTAGATAATAAAATTATTATCAATAATAATAATAATAAATATAACTATTACATAAATTTCTAATATCATTATTTAAGCTAATAATTGTAATAATAATAATAATAATAATATTTAACTAAAACATATATTTTACAATAAATGACTAAAACTATTTGCAAATGTATTCATTGATAATAACTGTATTAATATTTTTTAAGACTTAAATAGTCGTTAAATTTGTTGTCGTAATTAACAAATGTCTAAAAAAATTTTATTTTTTCTCATAAATCTGAGATTAATAGTCAAAATTTCAAAATTGTTTTTTTTGTTTGTATTAAATATACAAATGATAAATAAATAAAGTTTTGCTCAAATATTTTTATATTTATATAAATTGAGATTCAATAGTTTTTTAAACACTATTTACAAACTATAAATATTTTTTTAATATAAATATTAGGTTTAAATTAGTTATAATAATTGATAATTATTTTGTATCTTAATTTTGCAAACAATTAATTCATATTTTTTTTAAGATAAAAAACTTTTTGTTGTTGAAAATCTTGTCATAAACTCAATTGTGTTTTCGTTATTAACATTTGATTATAATATTATAGTATTTATAAATTAAACATAATCTATAATTTATAATACAATATATATATATATAATATAATTAAATTGCAAATTAAATTAGCATAATATATATAATTCAATAATCTCTAAAAAAATAGTATGTATAAAAAATTATATTATAAATAAAAATAATTCATACTAAATTTAAAATTATATATATATATATAATATAAAAATCAATTCAAAAAATTAAAAAACTAATTAACAAACAATAATATACAATTAATTGTAATTAAAATAAACCTAAATTATTATAATAAAAAAAATTATAAATTATTTAAATTAAAATTCAATAACAATTTAAACTCTTAACAAATATTTAGATACAGTAGTAGTCTATACTGTAGTAGTAGTAGTTATCAACAAAATTGATTGATTGACTAAACAAAAACAAAACATATATAGATATATGAATTGATTGATTCAAACAAATTCATTAGTTCCGGGACTTGTCAACGGTTCCAGACTCGATGGATATGATGATAAAGAGTCGTCACTCTTTTCAAGAGCAAACTGATCTTCGGTGGTCTTCCGGTAAACAGGATTATCGAAATTCATTGACGTTATGCTACGGCTATTAAAAGTAATAATAATAATAATTTTAAAAATATAATTATTTATAATCTCTTTTAAATTTAATATATTTAAAATACAATTACCGTTGATATCTGCGATAAATCATTAGAGTTGTGGCCGCTATAAACAACAAAACACACAACAATATAACAGTGATAATGATAGCCAGTTTGCCATCGGATTCGTCAACAATTGCCGGATAGTCCTTATCATCGGTGGTGTGATTCTTGTGATTTTCTTTATAGTGTTTTATCTTATTCTTGTTGTGTGATTTCATTAGTTCAATATCTTCTATTGATTCCGTAGTGACCGACGAGGACGACGACTTGGTTGTCACCACTGGAGGCACCAAAGAGTTAGTGCCGGTCGATGTTTGAATCGCCGAATCAATAACCGATTGTGCCGTTGAACTATCAATTGGTTCACACGTTTGATTATCTTTTAGTTGCATCGCTGTCGGACAAACACATCGATAAGATTGGCGACCGGTTGGCAAACACAGATGAGAACAGCGATGATCAGCGCACCGATCGTTTGAATGCGGTTTCTTGTACGAGTGGACAATGGAGATGTCCATTACGGAGAATACACCGCCGACTAATGTGTCCACTTTGTGATTATCAATACCTAATGATAAATGACAACAAAATAACACAATAATTATACGATAATTATATTAATAAGTAACTACTGGTAAAATGTTTACCAAATTTATTGGTGGCCAATACGGACTCCAATTCCCAGTCTGTCCAATAAATGTTGTCCTCAAAGATGTCCAACGAAAATGGATGTCTGATAAAGTCTGGTGAGTGTAATATTTGTCGCCGACTACTTCCGTCAAAGTTAACTGAGTTAATAGTGTTCATCTTAGCGTCCAACCAGTAGATCTGTTTGGTAATCAAATCAATGGTCACACCATTTGGCCAAATAATATTACGGTCGACGAGTGTCTTGCGATTACTACCGTCCTGTAGGGCCCTCTCAATCCTTGGCCGCGAACCCCAATCGGTCCAAACAATCCACGACTCCAACACATTGACGGCTATACCTCTCGGCTCTTCTAAGCTATCGCTGATAATTACAGCTCTTGAATTCGGATCCGATATATTGGCCACTTCTATGTGATCTTTGGACGTATCCGTCCAATAGACAAGTCGATGAATCCAATCGACAGCCAACGCGTCGACCACTCCTTTGTTTTCAATCAGTTCTGTCGGTTCGGTCAGACCATTGAATGTCTTGTGGCTGTTGTTCAGCGGTGCTATAAACAGCTTTTCGTTGGTCACATCACTCCAGATGATGTAATTATCTTTAATGCTGTAATCAATGCCAATAGTCGACGCCAGACCCGCATACAGTTGCAAATAGTGTTGGTGTTTGTGTTTGTGCGATATATCCAGTGTCCGTATATCGTGACGATTGGCAAACACGAGCAAAGGTTTCTCTTCGCCTTTAATCTTACAAAATCGATGATCTTTGACCTCATAGCCATCGAAACACTGGCATTTGTAGTGACCTTTTTGGTCGAAACACATGTGACCCGAACACAGACCATACTGTTCGGCACATCTGTTGATCGATCAAATCAATCAAATAAACAAACAGATAATTAGTAACAAAAATAAATAAATAAATAATTTTAACATAAGTTTTACTACTAAAATGATAGCTCACTCGTCAATATTATCACATGTCTTGTTATCGGATCCCAAACGGTAACCCTTTTTGCATTCGCAATGATAGCCGGATAAGTCGTCGACACAGTTCTGTGAACAGTGATGTTTGCCCAGACATTCATTGAGCTTACAGTTTGGCGGCTCATCGGACCAATCGTCGCAATCGTTGATACCGTCGCACACTTTGGACAACTCTATACATTTCAATGGATTGGTGGAAACGCATCGGTATTCAGACGGCTTGCAAAGATCTGTCGTATTGGTTGAGTCCGACTGTTTGGTTAAGAGAAAAGAGATAAGTATTTTATAGATATTATATATTTTTTATCCCATAAATTAACTAAACAATTACCGTGTGGTCAGTCTTTTCAGGACAGTTGTTCTCGTCTGAACCGTCGGCACACTCCTGTTCGCCGTTACATAGCATTTGTTCGGGTATACAGTTACCATTGTTGCACATAAATTGGTCGGCACGACAAATATAGGTACAGTTAACTTCATCGGAACCGTCGGTACAATCCTTACTTCGGTCACACCTAACGAAAACAAAACAATAGACAACAAAATAATTTAGTATAGTATTGATATCACATTACAAATCAATCGTTACGATTCAATACCTCCAGCGACTGCTTATACACTCGTGACCATTGAAACACTGAAAGTCCGACGGCCCACAAATGGTCTCATTGGCCAATCTGTCCAATAGTCGACAGCCGCGTTCATCATCACTGTCGGGACAGTCCCGGTCGCCGTCACATTTCCAACGATCGGGAATACATTTACCCGAATTGCAGGTAAACATATCGGATCCGCATGTCTTGTTGGCGCACAGATGCTGCGATTCATCCGATTTGTCGCCGCAGTCGTCCTCTCCATCGCAAACCCATCGATTGATCAGACATTTGCCGTTATCGCAGGTAAACTCGTTTTGACGACACGACACCAAATTGGTTTCTGTGAGGTAAGAGTGTGTTATAAATAATTAAATTTAATAAAAAATAAAATGAGATTTAAGTAAAAATCATTGACTACTAACTGCACTGTTTCTCATCGGATCCATCGGTACAGTCCTCGGTGTCGTCGCACACCCACTCGCCGGGTATACAATTATTGGTGGCCACACATTTGAACTGATCATCAGTGCATGTTTGGGTGGCTATTATTATTATTATTATCAAATTGAGATAATTTTCATAAATAAATTGTTTTAAATGATTAATATTTTTTTTAAAAAACAAATAAAAATAAATATCTTTAATAATTACCGCAATTTAATTCGTCACTTCTGTCGCCGCAATCGTCTTCATTATCACAAATCCATCTGAAAAATAATAATTAGTTTGAAAATTAAAAAATTACAGTTAATTTGTAATTATGTCGTAAATTTTGTTTAATAAAAAAAATTAAATAACAATTTGAATAACTATTAGAAAAATAAAATCTGGATTTTTATTGTATTGTAGTTACAAAAAAACAATAGCTATTATAATAATGACTGAATCAAATTGGGACTAATTGTTAAATAAATAAATAAAAAAATCCAATTAAACTTTTATTTTATAATAATAATAATAATCGTAGCATTAAAATGTGTGTTTAATTGATTAATTATTTTCTAAATTGTAATGACTTCAGTAGTTATTTTGTAGTAAATTTGATTTGAAATGAAAAATAAAAAGTAAATACTTATAAAATTGAAAATTAAAAAAAACAACTAAATTGTTGTACTAAATGATTGGATGGAGGGATTGCGTGCAAACAAATTTTCAACAAATATTAAGTATATATATACTGTATATTTAATAGTATTAAATTTTTTTCTTGTTTTTTTTATTAAAATAAAAACGATATAATCTTTCAACAACAAAAAAAAACTTTGAAATATGTATTTATTATTATAAATATATATATATAAAATGATAAATCATACGATAACTTACTTATGAGGCAAACATTTTCCGTTTTGACACTTGAATTCATTTTGAGTGCACAACTTGACAGCTATTAATTAATTAATTAATTAAAATTAATTATTAGATTTAATATTTTTTTTATTATATATTTAGTAAATTTTTTAAAAATTGAATATATAAATTAAAATACAGTATATTATTAAAATATACATTAAAAAAATCGGAAATTGAATTGATTATATAATACAAATCAAATTCAAATAATAATAATAATGTGAATACAAAAATATTTATAAAAAACAACAATTATTAGTATGATTTATGTATACGATATTTGTAAAAAAAAATAAAAATTAATTAATTAATAAAACTATAAATTATTGAATGTTTGCAAACGACACAAAAATATATAGTCTTTTATTTTTTTAAATATTTTTTTTGTTGGTTTTGTTTGAAAAACAAACAAAATAAATGACAAACTCTTGTAATTAATTATTTTATCTCAAAACCAGTTAAAACTTCATGTTTCGTTAAACTTTCATTCAAATTATAATTAAACGAAAATTTAGTATAAAATACGATTATAAATAAAATCATTTACTCACTAATTGATTAATTATTTGCAAAGTTATGAAAAATAAAATATAATTGCTGTCAAAATTTATTTATTTATTTTTATCAGTTGAAAACATTTTATTTTTACTATTTTTGAATACTATTATTAGTAAACTCGTAATGAAATTAACTTAAAATTTTATTTTATTATTTAATGTTAAATATAATGTACTATATATAATACAAAAATCTATTGAATGAACTTATTATTATGATTATTATTATTAAACAAATTTTATGATAAAAAGAGTTAGAAAAATATGTAATTAAAATAGGATTATAATATTCAACAAAATAAGAGATGATAATTATTATTTTAGGTATACATTGTATATATACTGTATAATTATGATAAATAATTTAAACTCATTATTATTATTATTATTTTATTTACTGTATTATACTATATATATATATATTTTTTTAATAACCTAAAACAACCCTTTAATAAATCAATAAAAATAAACAAATTTCATGAATTTCATGTTACTTAAAGTAATCAAATATAATTATAATTAATCATTTTTCCAACAACAAAAAAAGTTAAACTTTTATATACAGTATATATATATGTAGTTTATATATATACTATGTGTTTTATTTAGAAATATTTTTTATTTTAAAAATTATTTTAAAATAATTAATTAACAATTTGATTTGCAATTGTTTTATTTTGTACAATAGATAAAACAAATTCATAAATAATAATAATAATTGAAAAGTCAGTATTGATTATTATATGTATATTCAGTATTTAGTTTTTGACAAAATAATAATAATAAATGAAAACAAAACAACATATTTTTCAATTTTATACGTTTATCACTCTCACGATATGCTAAAATAAATCAACCTACAGGTGCTTTTTTAATCATATACCCGACACCTACACACACACACACACACACACACACACACACACACACACTTGAATGTTAACAAACTTTAGTTAACAACAACCCATACAAAAAATATCACACAATATCTATTCAAATATTATATATACTATAATAATAATAAACAGTACATTTCATATGACAAACATAATTATAATAATAATATTCATAATAGCAATAATAGTAAAAATAATACTTTTATTATCATATTATTTGTATCACTAAATAACAAAACATAGTAAACATATTACAGTAATAAATGAAAATAAAAATAAAAGTTGTTTTTTGTTAGAATATTCGTATGTTTTTCATTTGAATAATAAATATTAAATAATAATGAAAAAAGTGAAATAAACCAAATTCTCTATAAATTTTCAATAATAAGTTTTCAAAAAAATCAAATCAAAATCAATTTTAACTGTAATACAAGTTATTTTAATTCAAATATATACTATTTTGTCACATTTTGTTAATATTATAGGAAAATAACATTTAGTAAATTATAATTTTATTGACAATTTATTTGATAAATATTATAAACACAAAGTTACTAAAAAAAAGATTTCCATCAACTTTAATAACTTTTGTGATTATATAACGCTATTCAACAACAAAATATCTAAAATAACATTAATATAAATTTATATTAATGTTATTTTAGATATATATATATATATATATATATATATATATATAGAAAAAAATATATATTTATTATAAATAAAATTGTCACGTATTAATATTTTTATTTTTTTCCAAAATATAAATTCAGCAAAAATCGACATTTTCATAATCAACAAAACTTAACAAACAAACAAACATATAGTTGATTGAAAATTGATAGAAAATTGGATGTGAATAAACAATATTTTTTTATATATAAATAAAAATATATGTATATATTTTTTTCCTAATCAATAATTTCCTTTCAACAACAAAATATATATTTAAAAAATGTAATTTAATACTTAAATTCATGTGATTAACAATATTGTACATAACTTATAGTTAGAAAAAAATTTTACGATTATTAAACTACACTATAAAATTGAATTTCATGAAATCTCTTATTTAAAAAAAATTGTGAATATTTATATTTAATAATTCAATTCAAGGCAATATCAATACTGTATAATGAAATCATATTATGTATGATATCTTTAATACAAATCAACAACATTTCACATACCATATGCATGAATAATAATTTTAATTTAAAATTAGATGTAAATTATTGTATGAAATAAAATTAAATCCTTAATTGAATTTATTTAGCCACACATACTGTACATACATATACACACACAATATTACATAACACCCCATAACACTAACGACTTAATAAATATTTTAGTTTTATCACTAATTTCTAATATCAAATACAATTTATAGATTTTAATTTAATAATTTTTATATACTAGAGTTAATGTATTCTATAATATAATAAATGTTTTACAAAATCAAATAAAAACCATTGTATGATTTATGCTTTTATTTTGCTATTATAAAATTATAAATGATTTACAAATGATAATTTATTATTGGCAATAAAATTTCAAGCAATGTCAAGGCTGTACACATACATACAAACAATATTGTAGACAATTTATGGCACAATTATCTAATAAAACGAGACAACATATAACATATAACATACATATTTTATTAGACAATAAATATTGCCAATAAAATGCTGTTTTATTTGGTGCTATTTATTAACTTAAAAGTTGTGTGTGTGTGTGTGTGTGTGTGTGTGTGCTGCACCTAATAATGCATACCTTTCCTCTCACACTATATATAAATTTATATAATAAATATATACTATAGTTTATATAAATTTGTTATTATTATATAAATTGTATCATCCTGGGCATCAATTTTGTAACATTTGCCGCACATATAAGGGGTGTATGATATTGGCAGGCGCTCAGCTCAGCACTGGTACTAACTGCTGCTGCGATAGACTATTGCCGATAGTACAGGTCTGAGCACATATACAGTACATTAATGGGTAGAAAGTGAGAGTAATGTCTAAAACAGTTGAAAAATCAATTGGAAAGTCGTATTTGTGATGAAAATCAATAAATATTTCTATATAACTGTAGAGAGAGAGAGAGAGAGAGAGAGAGAGAGAGTTTTATACGGTTGCAAACAAAACGGTTGTTTGCGATATACACTCTATATTATAGTATAGTATAGTGAAGTATATATTGTATATAAAATGTATTTCATATACTATATTATAGATAGTATACTACAGTATGGTATACTATAATAGGAGAAAAATCGGTTATTGAACTAAACACTTGACTTTTTTTTTGTGTGCAGCACTTTCCTAAACACCCGCCCGATCATCAATATTTGGTTTTAGCTACCGGTGCTAACTATGCTAAGGAAGATAAATAATAATAATAATAATACTTGAATAAATCTATTGTGTGACACAATGTGACCGTATAATTATAATATATTGTATATACTGTACACTGTTTTTTAGTAAACATATTTCTAGTCTAAGTTTTTGCACACAAAAAATCGATAATTGTATCGAAAAAAATATAACTAAAAGTAAACCAAACATATAAATAACAACATACTGTATATTAAGATAAATTGAAAAACCAATTATAGAATATTGTATTTTGTATTTTTGAAGATAAATTGTTTGACTTTTTAAAGTTAAATACATATACTATATATATATATATTTCAAAAACCATAATCATATTAATATCGATTATTTTTGCGGCAATTTTCATGTTGTTATATCCATTAAATAATAAAAAGGCCAAAAACCTCTGACATTGAATTTGTTAAAATAATTTTATCTCAAAAAAACCACAAAATATTTAAAAAAATAAAATGGCATTTATTTTGTCTCAAAAAATAGTTTTTATTAAATTCATGAATTATTTCATGAACATTATTATCTTATCAAGTGATTTGCACTGTAATTATACATTTTTAAAAATAAATAAATTTTAGCTATAATATAAAATATTATATATATATATAATTATAATAAAATTAATGAATTATCGTCTATTATCTAATAATATAAAGTAGAAAAATAAACAAATATTTAGTCAAATAATCATTTATTTAATATATACATCATATGTATATATCAATAGCAATCGTTTGCAAGTGCTGTATAAATAAAATTTTAATTATTTATTATCATATATCACATATTAAATAATAAATTTTTGGATAATAATGTTTGTTTAAGACCAAAAAAATATGTGTATATAATATATATTACAAATTTGTCTGATACTGTTTATTTAAATTTTCACCTCCAAAAAAAATCATAACAAATTATAAACATTATAAATAAATACTTAGGATTATTATTATTGCGGAAATGTAATAATAATAATAATAATGTTAAGCACCAGTATGTTCATAAAGACCAGACATATAATAATAAAAAAAATGTTTCTGTAAAGTGATATCCAAAAATAGTTGGCATCAGTTTCAGACACTACTACATACATGTTTGATAATACTGTCTCTGATGCGCCAAACCATCGCCTGATATATTAGATACCAATTAGGCAATGAAATAGGAGGTGTTGTATATATATATATATATATGTATGTATGTGTGTGTGTGTCGGATCAATTTAAATATAAAAAACATCCGACAAAGTCTACAATTACTTTATCATTAAATACAATATAAATATACTGTATATTAACTTAATTATATAGACAATCGTTGTGTATAGTAACGAAAATTATTGTAATTTTCATATTAGTTTTTTATAACTTTTTTTTTATTTATTTATTTCATCATACGATATATATATATAGAAATATATTTTTATTGTGAAATTAAAGTCAAATTAACTAATGAAATATCACAACAAAAAGTGTTGCCAAATTAATGACATTAAAAAAAGTAGAAAATTCAGAGATATACAGTTTTGATGTAACTTTCCTTATACTACTACTACTACTACTACTAAACATTTTAACATTTTGCATTGTTTTTATGCAAATGAGATGATATGCCAAAACATGGTGATCACACCACCACCACACAAAAAAAAACTTAATAATATGTTATACCAGTTAATACTAATAATAGATCAGACAGTGTCTTCCGATTTTTTTTATTTAAAAATAACTATAAGTATATATATATATATATATAATACTGTATAAATAATTACAGTATTTATTTATTTTTTTAATAATTATTAATTCCGTCGCTGACACACATAATTAACAATACAATTAAGTAATTAATTTTTTTTCTTTTACATATAATTACAGTATCTTTTGATATAGAAATAAACAATTTTTTTCAGTTACGCTGTGTTTATGATATATATATAACATGATATCTAAGCGTCTAATTTATTTAGTGAATAAATTTTATTATATTCAAATAAAAAAATGTTTTTTTTTAAATAATAGTTATATTTATTAATTAAAATCATTGATTCTTTAGATAAACACGAGTCTAGTCATGGGTTATCAGTTTATAATATCGGAAATATTAAGATATAATTATTGTTAATATTATAAAAATAAAATCATTAAAATTATGTTATCATTATAATTATATATTATATTAGCTATAAATTATTTCAAATAATTTTTGTGTATTTATTAAATTGTAAATTTTTACAATTTATAATAGGCAAATACATTCATAAATATATTAAATGCAATATATTTATATTATAATTAAATTTTTTTTTCAATATATAACATAGATTTTAAATAATTATTGAAAAGCAATTAAATTCTACATTAATTATTGTACTTAAATAATTCATTATTTTATGTATAAGCTTAATGTGAATATTTTAATGGGAACGGTATATATATATAAATACAAGTATAATCGGAATATCCCATTGATGTAAATGCTATCAATGATTACATCAACTGATCATTTGATCAAAAAAAGATAACATTTAAAAAACAATATTATTATTAGATAACATTTTTAAAAGTTTGCAAATTGAAAAACATTTGCACAAAATAGCAATTAAAATCCTATTATAATTATAAGTTTATATAATTTACATGCACCCATTTAATAGCTTAATATAATACTAGACAAAAACGTAAGCATTTAAATAGCTGTAATAATTACTAGTATTTTTACTGTATTATTATTATTGTTGTAAAAAATTTATATATATATATATACGAATATATAGTATTTAAAACTTTAAAATTATAAGCTACTAAAAGAAAAGTTTTTTAAAAATAAAATAAATACTTAATATGAAAAACAGCTTATTTTTGTTCAATTGAAAACAAACAGGAAAAATATTTCTCAATTGATATTTATATAAATATATATATATTTAATGCGAAATACTTGTGTGAGTGTGTGAAAAAAAACATTGCTAATCAATTCAAACTATGCTTTAAAATATATATATATATATATATATTATTTGAAGTTTTTAAAAGAAAAATATGATATAAATTTCAAATATAAACAAAATATTTATCCAAAACACTTACTGCAATTCAATTCATCGGAATTGTCGGGACAGTCAACGTCACCATCACATCTATTTAGACAAAAAATAAATAAAATAAAATTTATTACAATAAATACATAAATATTATATTATAAATCAGTCAAAAAAAAGTGATTAAATAACAAATAAATTATCATTACCTCCACGTAAATGGTATACATTTGCTATTATCCTGGCATTCAAATTGTTGAAAACTACAGTCAGATGAAACTGTGTGTAAGAAAAAATTTAACAAAAAATAAATAAATAATTAAATTAAATTAAATTTCATTCAAATTAAATTTTTAATACCTAATAAATATTAAAGTTTTATATCCTATTTTCAGATTATAATCTTATTATATATATATAGTATATACAGTATAACTTATATATATATTTGTCACATTCCAGTGAAAATGAAAACATAAATTTTAATTATATTTTTTATGTAACTAAAAAGGAAAGTTGTTTTTTAAAAATAAATATCAGCCTATAATTTAAAATTGTTGGTAGATTTGTATTTTTCGTATATATTTAAAATACAACAAAATTTAATATTAATATTAGTCTAGTTATTATGATATAAGATCTCAACAAAACTATAGAGTTTTTATATTTATACTGTATAAGTATTTTATTTTAGCAAATATAAGCCAATTTAAATTTTTTTTATTGCAGTTTACATATATGGTTACATAAAATTGTTTTTATCATTTGGGTCTATTTTATTATAATACTTTAGATAAAGTATTAATACACGTTATTTAACAAAAAAAATATGTTTCATTTTCATATATATATATAYATATACCGTATATAGTTTATATTTATAGATTACAATAAAGTAAATAATGTGTGCTAATTGAATTGAATATAAGCTATACTTTAAAAAAAAGTCAATAATTTAAAATAATAAAAAGTTAACATTTTGTTAAACTTTAAATAACTTTTTTTTATATATACGTGTATATATATATATATAGTAACTATATATTTGTAACTAAAAAACGTATATTTTTTTCCACTTCAAACAAATGCAAATAACAACTAACCTAACTCTGCAGTCATCTAATAAAAATGCAAACTTTATTTTTCTACAAAAAAATATAACTAAACTCAGAGTCAAATAACAATTTTGTATTTCAAGATTTCTAATAAAAAAAATCAAATTAAATCACATATACTCTAATAAATATTGTGTAAACACATTGAATGTTTGAGTACTCATTTAAATACATCAAAATCAATGACACAAACATTTGATTTTGAATTTTCATTCATCGCATTTTTCAAAAAAAAAATATTTTATTATTTATATAATGTCTGCAAATGTGTAATTTGTATTTTTTTTCCTTTTAATATATTGTATTAAAAAATGCAATTTATTTATTTATTTTTTTTAAATAACTAAATAAAAATAAATATATTCAAATCAGCTAGTATAAATATATTCAAATATACTCTATGTTTTTTTTAAAAAAAGTGTATTTTTAATTAAATGTCAATCAATTTAGTACTTTAACGCTTGGTTTGATATCTGAAATAAAAATTCAATGGGAGATCTAAGCATTGATAATAATTATAACTAAATGGTTTTTTTTTTGAAAAATAATTATCCAAATAAAATAACATCAAATATATATATATAATTATATACCGGTATATACTATATACAGTATATATATATATACAGTACTATTAATAGATAGATTGACACAAAATATTAATAAACAGATAAAAACATTTTTAATATATCATGTAAATGATATATACAAATTTTATTTTTACATATTTTATACATACATAAACACATATTATTATAAAAAAAGTATACATATATTTGCAAAACTGTGTCAAAATATTGAATAACAAATAAAAATAAATTATATGAATAATATTTTTTTCACATATAATTAAATGTTATGTTAGTTACTATTTATTTTCATTATTATTATTATTATCAATAAATAACATGTTCTAGTATTTCGTAAAATATGTTTTTTAATTTTGATAATTAATTATACAGTACATATAATAATTTGCTTTAAAAAAATATTATTTATGTTTTACTTATGTACTAAAAGTATTAGAAATTTATTAAAAAAAATTTAAAGGAAATAACTAGTATAGCATTTTTATAAAAAAAATCAAACGTCAATTTTAACCAAATAATTGATTAATTAATTAGATATTATTAAAATTTTATATATTTTTAAAATTATTTTATTTTATTTAGTTGCTTAAAACTTTTGCAATAATTTTTTTATGCATAAATTTATTTTACTAATTCAATAAATAAATTTCATATTAATCACTGTTAATATATTATTATTAATAAGCAAAAAAAATTACATATGTTTATAAAGTGATAGTTATTCAAGTAATTCAAATAAATTTTTTTCTAAATGTTAGTCTATTTGAAATAAACTAATATATATATGCTATTGTATATATATATATATATATCATATATTTATAAAACTGTTTATTTAAGAAAATCAATTAATCTTAATTATTATCACAATTATTATTATTATTATTAAATTAAATAAAAATTATATTTAATTATGACTGGGCATGCAATATAAATAAATATTGAATTGATGACTAATTTTTATACTACATGATAATTTGACAAAAAAAAAATAAATAAATAATACAATTATTAATAATGTATTGAATAGTTATTTTTTGTTTTCAATAGATTTGTATAATAATTGTTTCTATTATACTATTGTATATAATTATGGATCATAAAAGACTACAACAATAATAACAACAACAAAAACATTGTATCAATTGATAATAATTTCTATTTTTGTTAAAAAAATAAATTTATAAAAAATATTATTTTTTATTTATGAAATATGGGTTTTTTTTGTTAAATGAAAAACATACCAATGAATTGTTTTATATTTTTTTTGGTAAAAATTTCATTTCAAACAAAAATATTTCAACAACAATAAAAAACACATACAATTATAACAAAAATATTTGCAATATATTGTTTTTTGTTTTTATTGTGATAATAATTAATTTTTAGTTTTATAATAATAGATAGAAAATTTCTATTATTTCTATTATATATAGATATTAAAATAATTATATTAATAAAACATACATATAAGTTATAATTATAGGAATATATTATATATATATATATATATCATAATATTAAAAACATACAATACTTGGGTATAATTAAATATTAATAGATTTTTTTTTGGTTAATATTTAATTATTAACAATATATAACTAATCAAAATAATAATTTTGTTACCGTTTGTGATGATAAGCGATGCGACAATTGCTGCAATAATCATGTGTTTGATGGCTAATAAATGTCGGCAATTGTGGCCAATCGCCGATCGGCTGGACTTTTGATGATTAGTTGCTGTTGTAGTAGTAGTAGTAGTCCGCAGATAATTGTCACTCAAATCATCACTAGATTGTTGACAATTGTCTTGATGTCCAAACATTGTCTTAATATTATTATTATTACTACTATTATTATAATTATTACACATAATTATTACTATATTATAAAATTTAAAGTGATTATATTAGTTGCAATAAATTCAATCACACAATAAAATTGGTGTATTTTTTTAAATTAAAAATCATGTTTTCATATTATATATATATATATATATATACTGTATATGATATCATATAAATAATATATAAATAATTAATCAATAATTATAACTTATATGTTATGATTAATTTTTTTAAGCAAATAATATTTTTAGATATATCATACATATATTCATAGATATATTAATTATTAATATTTATTTTATCAATACATATATAAATATCATATAATATCATATATGATATGTAAATGTCATAACATTTTTTTGTTTTTGGTTTGTTTGCCAATAATTAGATGTCTATGAATATCATATATAAGTAAATAATATATCAAAATATATTTATTTCACACAACGATATCATGATATGATATATCATTTACCAGAAAAAAATAAATAAATAACATTATTATCATTAAAATTATAGACAAAAAACATTGTAATCACTGTTGTTGTTATTTAACTCAATAGGAGAGACAATATTATTAATTATTTATTTAAAAAAAACTAAAATTATTATCATTATTATCACTCAATATATATAATAATCATATGATTAATACCACTATTATTATTATAATTATTTAAACTGTAGTTTGTGTTGCTGTTTGAAACACTACTACTATTTAGTAGTGTTTTATAATCAATAGTGTTGTCAATAGTAGGGATTCAATATACAAACTACTATACGATTTGATACAAACAAACTGCACATCAAAAACAATGTATAACTTAACTGACAGTCAATGTATTTGTCTCTCTCTTTAGTTATAGTTATATACTGTAGTGAAAAATGTTTGATTCAAAAACATAACACTACTATTGTATTAAACCATTTGCTAAATATTTTCACTATACTATACAATGTGTATGAAGTCGATTGAGTATAGAGTAGAATGAGTGGAGAGAGAGAAATAGATAGATAGCTCATTGCACTGGTAGTTGGCATCCCAGGCCTCAGCTACGCGTATTGAGTGTGTGTGTGTGTGTGTGTATGTATGTGAGTGTCTACTGTACGTACGTATACTGTATGTGTGTAATAGTGTTTCAGTAATGTATTATGGTGAGAAAAAAACTACAGTCAAATCTCTGTACAATATAAATGTATTGTATGGTTAGGTTGTTGTTGTTGTTGGTGGTGTAGAAAATAAAACAAGTTATCAAAAGAGCACTGGTAGTCAATTTGTGTATAGGGAAGGGTAGTTCATGTTTTTTGTTGTTGTTGTTTACCATTATATTACTATAGCTATTGTCTCTAGAAAATTATCTAGTTTAATTAGTTATATAATAATAAAGTAAATGTGCTAGATCTTTTTTATATATATATATAATTTAAATAATTTTATAGTAATTATATTAAAGTTATTTAAAGTTTTTTTTAACAAAAAAATATATATATTAATCACAATTATTATTAATTTGTTATATTTTTATTAAATAACAAAAACATATGTTATAATAATAATATTTCTATGATTTAGGATATATTATTATAAATATATAAATTTTTTTATCATAAATATTTTATAGTGTGTCATGAAAATATTTTTAGATACTATCATAAATTAGTTAATAAAAATACAGAAAAATTTTGTAGTTTTTTTTTTGCACATTAAGTGATTGCAAATTAATAAATTGATGTGAATTTATGTAAATGATAATATTTTGTTAGTTATTTGCACAAATAAATATTATATACATTTTTATACATAATATATTAGTGTATATATATATATATATATATATATATATATATATATGTGTGTGTGTGTGTGTGTGTGTGTGTGTGTGTGTGTGTGTGTGTGTGTGAGTAAATGTTTAATCATAATATTTTTTATAGCCCTGGTATTATATTCCCATTCACAGTAGTAGTAGTAGTAGTAGTTGTAGTAGTATTCCCATGAATAGCCAAATATGACTGAGCTCTCTGTGTGTTTGTGTCAACAACCCTATCTTAACCCTATGTTTGTATGGATGGACTGTATATAAGTATACAGTAATATGAGTCAGAGCTTCGCTGTACCGAAAAGCCGGTAAGACTTCAGTGGATGACTATATAGACAACAGTGTGTTTGTTTGTATGTATGTATGTATGTATGTGTGTGTGTGTGTGTGTGTGTGTGTGTGTGTGTGTGTGTGTGTGTGTGTGTGTGTGTGTGTGTGTATGTGTGTGTGTGTGTGTGTATGTGTGTGTGTGTGTGTGTGTGTGTGTGTGTGTGTGTGTGTGTGTGTGTGTGTGTGTGTGTGTGTGTGTGTGTGTGTGTGTGTGTGTGAGAGAGAGAGAGAGAGAAAGGACAGCCTCTGTATTAGCACTGGTAGGTCTGCGGTGTGTATATTGTATAAGGTTTCCATAGAGAAGTGGTCTGATAGTGTCTGATCCATAAAAACTTGTGTTTTTAATGATATAATGCGGGAAAACATTATATATATACTGTATATATTACACTTGAAATACGGTTGTGGTGCACATGTATCAAACTATACTATGCGTGTAAAAAAATGGTATAATACTGTATAGTTAACTATAATAGTTTAAAAAATAATGGTTGTGCCACAGATTTACGAGTTAATTACTATTAACACATTCATTAATATCGTGCATACCTGTGCAATGAGCTTACAAGTTGATAGATATCACATTACTCAGTACAGTACATGTGCTAATTAGAGTGTTATATATATTTACATTATATTTACTATAATACAGATTTTATTTGAAATTACTTAAACATAAATAAAATAAATTTCATTGAAAATTTTTGAAGGAATTTTTTTCAAAAAAAAAAATAATTTATAATGTTTTGCATTTTTTATTGGTTGCAAACTTTTTGTTGTTGTTGTTGTTGTGTATATAATGTAAATTATAAGTAAACAAATATATATATATATATATATATTTATTATTTTTAGCAAATAAAATGTTGTCTCAATAGTAGTACGTAATCTAAACTATATGTATAAGAAAAAATATTATTACTTATACATTACATAAACAAACATTTACACATGTATTATATATTAAAAAATATATATATTTATATAATATAAAAAATTATAATATTCAATAGTATAAAATGTTTTTCAAATTTTTATTTGTGCATATATATAATATGCAAAACTTGGGATCAACAAATATATTGCACAACTTATATGAATATTTTTACATATATATTTTAGGGGGTGGGGTGGGGTAATATGTCACAACTTGTATACTCCCTGTGCTCTCAAACAGTACATCATTAGGGAATTTTTAGTGCCTAACCCTAGTTGTTGTATATGCACCAACAAAATACAAACAAACAAACATATAGCTTATCAATGCTTACTAATTAATTGCAATTATTATTTAAATTAAAGCATGTATTTACATAAACTGTGTCTATGATGATGATTATTATTAATAGCCCCAGTGATGATTAATTAATTAAATTTCAATTGGCACACATATAACACAACTCTTTTATTTAATTATTTTGGGTAAATACTTGCATATGACGTGTGTGTGTGTGTATGTGTGTGTATGTATGCTTGTATGTATGTATGTGTGTGTGTGTGTGTGTGTGTTTGTGTGTGTATTTACAGTATGTGTGTGTGTGTATTTGTGTGTATCTATGCTTGTATGTGTGTGTGTGTGTGTGTGTGTGATTCAGTACACATTTAAAAATGTGTGTGTGTGTGTGTGTGTGTGTGTGTGTGTGTGATTCAGTACACATTTAAAAAAATTAGGTCCCTGTCCAATGCACGTCATTTAAATGACAAGTCTATTATTGGTAAATTAATTGGGAGATAAAATCATCAAAAAAAAGTAAGAAAAAATAAATAAATACTTTTTTGTTGTTAAAGTTTTTCATGTAATCAGTAACAACAAAAAACTATGTTTCAAAATTTTAATTGATAATTAGTAGTATAACTTTCAACATCAACATTATAATTATATTTATTTAATTTATTGATAATAAAATAAAAATAAATAATTTTTATTTTATTATTTTTTTAATACTAAGATTTAGTACATTTTTGTAATTTCTACGGAAAAAAAGTTCACTTTAAGTACAAATTATTTTATTTTTACTTATAATTTTTGCTTTATATTTAAATATCATTTTATTGTTTGGTTGCTATCAAACAAACACCAAAAAATCGTACGATTTATCGATAGACTAATCATTAATATACAGTATTATTATTATGAAAAACAACACATTGTCTCGTATTTTTTTTGCTATTATTTTTGTTTGTTTTTTTATTGAATATATTTTTATTCAAGTTGTTAATAGTAGTAATAAAATTTATTATTATTATAACTATTAATATAATATATTTATAGAAAATAAAATGCATAAATTATTAGTATAATATTCTCTAAATGATTCTCTAAATGTACTATTATTACAATTATTATAAATTATTATATCATTATTTTTTAGTTTAAAAATAGCTAATAAATTTATTTATATTGTGAATATGCAAATAGATAATGATAATTAAAAATGTTATTCATGTACAATAATTTAATTATTTATAAATAAAATGATAAAGTTTAATTATTTTAATTTAATCCAATTATTATTTTATTATTCTTATAAATTATAACCTATAATACATATATACTGTATATAATTATATTTTTTAAAAATATTATTAATATCACACTAGTTTTTATTGATTAATTATTTTAAATGTTAATTTATAAACTTTACTAATTAAATAAACTAATTGCTAATTGTATTAAATTACTAACAAAATTATAATATATTTGTATAATTATTATAATTATATTATATTTAGAAATATTATCATATTTTTACAAAATTATATTGTTTTTTATAGTTTTTAAGCACCAAAGTTAGGTTTATTTTGAATATTATGTCTATTATTATTATGATTATTGTTTGGTTTTTTTCTCTGTAAATAAAAGTAAATAAAACATAATTTTAATTATATTTATAACTTATAAATTATTTTAAATGATTTAATTATTATTCACAATATATATATATATATATATATATATACTGTATATATATATATATTAAATAAATCTTTACTAAAAAAACATATTTTACTCACTCTTCTTAATCGTTGGCCAACTCTTTGAGGTTTTCTATGTTTTCGTCTTCTTTTGGATTTTTTTCTTTTAAATCTATTATTATTATTATCTGAATAATATTTTTTTAGCAAAAAAAATATATAAAAATAAAATTGTTTAAATAAATTGCACACAAAAAAAATTAATTACTCGTTAGTGATGATGTCTGGGTAACCACAACAGCTGCCTCTGCTGCTCCCGATGGTCCTACAGATGCACCGGTAGGTAGTGGCGGTCCGGGTGTGGGTCCTTCCGATGGCTCCGGTGGTGGTGGATGTGGTGGATATGGTGGCGGCGGCGGTAACGGGTGCGGCACTGGTATTATACTATTAGGTATACATGGACAACAAATACAAGTATTTTTGTAGGCATTTAGCCAAACAATTTGACGACAAACACGAATACATTGATTTTGATTTACATTGATTATAATTATTGTTAAAATTAAAAAATATTGTAATTTTTGCATAACTTTTTTATATATAAAGAATTTGTTATTTTATTTTTTTGTTTTATAAATAATTTCAAACTATTTATATGATATTTTACTACTAATATTATTATTATTATTATTATTAAAGTTAATAACCGTTTAATATACAGTATATCAAGATGTAATACAGAGATATATTTTTTTTATTGATTAACTTAAAAGTTTTAATTCATTTTTATATATATATAATTGAGATTAAATAAACAAATTGAAATGTTTAGTAAATTATTATTATTTATTATTATTTTTTAATACATACATTCATCTTAATAAATTAACAAAAAAATTAAATAGATGATAAATTATAATGTAAATAATTTTTTTTAATAATAATTATTATTATGACATAAATAGTTTTATATATTAATACAATATATTATAATATTATATAAATGTTATCTAATAAAACAATCTTTAATAATAATAATAATAATTTGATCTATAAATCTAATAAAAAAATATTGGTATATTTAATTCAAAAAAGCTATTTAAATAATAATTATTATTATACAATATTATATAACATCAATAATTATTATAACTTAATGTTGAATTAAAAAAGTTATATAAAGCAAAACTGTTGTATTAATTGACAATTAATATCACTCTTTAATCGATAGGGCGGCCGCTTCGGGATCAACTGCAGTGACATTTTTGGGCTCGCATTTGGTCCACGAAATGGTAACCAATTGGCAGACAGAGTTCATACTTCGCATCTCTTCCTCAAACTTGTCCATTGACTCCAAACCGCAATTAGATATAATCAATGGAAATATACAGCTCTGGTACTTACGTACGGAACAGCAAGTATTGAGACCCGTGTCCTCATTGAACTCAATCGACTGGCGAAGCGGTTCAAAACATTTGGTCACTCGTCGCGAATCGCGATACAACATCTTCAGACATGACTCGTCAATACAGCCCTCGCCGATGGCCGACCCAGGGATCAGATGATGTTGTTTTTGGCCGATTGTTGGCAGTGTTGTCATACTTAGCCATATTAACTCCAGTGTTATAAATATAGCAAATATTGATTGTTTAATCATTATTATTATTAACAAATAAATTTTTTAAATTAACACTATTTAATAAATATATTTATAAAAATTGAATATATTTTTAGTTTGTTTGTTTCACACATCTAATTCTAATATTTTTTAAAAATGTTTAGTTAGCTAACAATATTTAAAATATCATTATAATTAAGTATTATGTTATTATTAAATACCATTAAAACAATAGGGTATATATATTGTATTCAATTGTAATATTATATAAAAAAATATTTTAAACAATTATATAATGAGTATATTTTGTCTTTGAAGACAATATTATATGATTTAAATATTAATGAATTAATCCTTTTTTTTTAGTTGATAATAATAATTATTTTATTAACATTAAATTTTATTTGCATCAATGTTAATTAAACAAACAAAAAATGCCAATTAATTAAAAATTTTAATTAATAGTTTAGTAGTTAGCCTTACTTAGCAATTAATATGTTTTATTTTTTAAAAAAACTTAATTATTGTTAAATATTTAATCAAAATCTATGTCAATGTTTGACTTTTGTGAATCCATATTGTCTTTAAATAATAATAATATATGGCTTTTATATGGTTATAATTTTGTATCACTTTCACCATTGTTTATATATGACATTGAATTTTGTATCAAACTTTATCATATTTTTTTTAAAAAAATTTAATTATTAAATGTGTATAAATTATTTTTCAATAAATATTTAACATTATCTATTTTTATATTCAAATAATACTCAACTTTTACTTTATTTTATTTGATAAAATAATTTTGTAAAATATATTCATCACTATTATACTATAACTATTGATATATCAATAACTTCCTATTTAATGTAACATTTAGTAAACATAATATTCAATAATTTTTTAAATTTTTTTTTGTCTATTTGTTAAACAAATTTGTTTGTTTGTTATATTGATATATAAAACCTGTTTCATATACACACAGGTATGTGTTTTGTTGACAAAAAGTAATAAACAATTTTCAAAAAAATAATTTTTTTTGATGCACTATTAATCGCCAAAATAATAAAAATTTAGGTCATATTAAAAAAATATAAGTTCTTTAAATAGAAATATATTGATATAATTTTTAGTTAATTTTTTATTTTTAAAAAAATTATATTAAACAAAATAACTAGTGATTATTTACCATGATACTTTAATATATATACTGTTCGAATGCAAAACTATTTTCGCTTTATTTGCATATTATTAAATTTTATATAATTAAAAAACTATACAGTATATATTTATTGTCAAATATATAAGTTATAATTATTAAGTAATTAATTTAATACAATTTAAACTATTAATACTATGATGACTGTACAGATTTTACTTGTTTTTACATGAATTTAAACTAGTTATTAATAATATCTAAAAAAATAAAATGATTATATATTTGTGAAATATTAGTAAATTAATATTTATTTTAATATTAATGCAATTAATAACTAAATTAATGCAATTTAATAATACTGTTTAATACTGCTTATGTATTATAAAAACTATATGTTTATAATAGTAATATTGATGGTTACATTACACAAAAGTTTAGGTGATTTCAAACGGGTTTGCTATGTTAGACCTGAGCCCGAACTACCAGTTCATCGAGCAATTAGCGACAAACTGTGCACCCATTTGATCATCGGTTTCGCTATCATTGAAAACAATGTCATTCGTGTCGATACCAAAACCGGTAGTTTTATTAGCTATTGTAAAGCCCTACTGAATGTCACCAAAACCACCGGTGCCAATGATGTACAGCTGATGTTATCGATTGGCGGTTAATATATATATTTATTATATAACTTTTTTTAATTAAATTATTTTTGATTATAAAGATTTTATTTTTTGCAGTTGTTTATAATTTTATTTTATTGTCTGTTTATTTGTCAACTCAGGCGGCAATAATGATCAGGGCTTTCATCCGATGTCGTCTACGCCTACCAATCGCCGACAGTTTGCTATATCGGCACTGGAAATAATGCTAAAGTATGGACTCCATGGCCTAGACCTGGATTGGGAGTTTCCCGCTTGGGGTAACACTTACTATGAGGACAAACAAAACTTTTATTTAGTTTTAAAGGTTTGAAAACAAAAGTTTTTTATATATAAAAACAACTTTCAAAACAAACAATACTAACATTTTTTTGTTTGTTTTGTTTCTGTGATAACATTTAGGAGTTACGGGAAATATTCACAACATTTACTGTACAAACATCGCGACCACCGTTGGTCATAACAGTAGCGTTGGCCGCCCAGTACACCATCATTGAAAGGTCATACAATGTACCGGAGCTTATCAAATATGTTGACTTTATTAATCTAATGGCTTACGACTATTATGTCTATCACTGGTACTGGCCGTTCATCGATCACAATAGTCCGCTGTTCGGCCGACGCCGTACACAACATTTGTTCATATTTGGTACACTCAATACGGACTGGTCGGCCAACTATTACAATCGGTTAGGTGTACCAAAAGATCGTATTATTATCGGTATACCTACCTATGGTCGCTCATATCAACTAATGTTTCCGTGGTATCCACGACCCGGTAGTCTGGCATTGGCCAGCAATCAGGACATGTCGTTTACAGAGGTTTGTCGTTTTTTGAAAACTCCCGGAACTACTGTCGAATGGGATCAGGAATCAGGTGTTCCGTATGCCTATCGGGACAATCAATGGCTGACGTTTGAGAGTCGTGAGAGTGCGGCACAAAAAGTTGAATGGATTATCCGAAACGGTTTCGGCGGTTCAATGACTTTCAGTTTGAATGCCGACGACTATCGTAACGAATGCTATGATAATAGTCAGCCGTTTGCCATACAGTCAGCAATTAAAGAGATTTCACTTAAAATGTTGTCATAAATATATAAATAATTATTTATAATATCCTATAGTCAGTCATAATAATAATAATAATAATATTTTTTTATATCACATATTATACATAATATATCATAAATTTATATTTATTGTCACATTTTTTTAATATCATTAATTTTCTCCATTAGTTTATTTTTTTTTACATTATTGTTATATTTTATATTTAATTATTATTATAATTATCTAATTTTATCAAATTATATTATTATATGATTTAAATATTTTATTATTAAAAATTTTCTTAAATAAAAAATGTTTTTACAAAAAATAAGTTTATTCTAACATTTTTTTTAACCATATGAACAATCATATTCAGTATTATTTAATTGTATTAATTTTTTAATAAAACATGAGAAATAATAATAATAATTAAATTTTAACTTATTCATATTTTTTTTACAAAACATTAATCTAAATAATTTATTTATGCTATCTTAATTTGTATCTATTAAAATTTATATTTAAATAGATTTATAATTGTTAAATAAATTTAATAAATATATATATATATGACTATTTGAGTAGTATGAGATATAAACTACACGAACGGTTTCTATTGGCTACTCCTCAAAGACTTACTTAGAGGGGGAGCAAGACAATAGAAGCATGTTTATATTATTGTTTAGGATATTTCATTTATATATATATATATATTATACGATTTCAGTTACAGTACATCAAACAGTAAGAAATGGCATTCAATTTGATAGCTCTTTTAAATTTATAGATATTACTCTCTTTCTTTTTGATGGCACTGGTATGTCATCGTAGAAAAAATAATAGCCATTCCTTGTGGTGTTTCCATTAAAGTCACTTGTTGTTGTTATTATTACTATTATAATATCAATATACTATGATATTGTTGTTTCTATTGTTAATGTCTACTACTTTCCGATAGGTTTTACTACTACAGTTATAAACAAAAATTTATAAAATATAACAACAAAAAACATTTTTATATTAAATTAAAAAAAATTTCTGTAAAGACACGCACATTCTGAATATATATATATATATATAGTGTATCGCCAGTAGACACATCATGTGGCCCTGGGAGCGTATCGATGCGCTGTTTGTACACCGGTATTCACTCCAGTTGACGATTAGGCGTTGACAGGAACGGTCGCTATTTTGAAATTAAATAAAACGTTTAGTTAACGAAAACACGTGTAAGTTTTTACTTACTTTTACCGCCGATTTCCAGATTATTTATGTTGACCATCGATTGTCAGTCGATAGTCACCTCAATTGGCGCAGTCGCCGAGATCTAATAATCTAACGAGAATTTCGTCAACAGAAACAACAGACACGTTTTTGTTCATCAGTTGAGTAGCGAGAGTGACGACGACAACAACAGTGCTATTAAAAATATTAAAAATAATAACGAAGAAGACGGACGAAGATAACGGCGACTACGGATCACAAGAAGGACGACGACTGGTCGAACCTGACCTCCCAAAGTCTGACGATATGATGTTGGCCGAGGAGTTGGAAGCCGTATACGTGTCGGAGGAACCGTTTATGATGGCCGCACGCGACGAATACGAAGACAACGTTGTCGAGATCTGTGTCGCCAAACTCCAGACAACATCTCAGACTACCGGCCGGCGATCTATCACGTCGTCAGCGACATCGGTCCGTGTTATCGGCAGCGGCCGGTGATTGCGTTGCCCTACGACAGAGAACTCGCCTATGTCGTCGTATGGCATATTCGTGGAGTGAGTTCCGACGCGGAAACAGTCGACGCATAGGTGGGCAGAGTGCTAATGACCAGAGATGGCAGAGAGACCACATGTGGCTCTGTGAGCGTATCGTTCCGCTGTTTGCGCTCCCGAAGTCACTCCAGTTGACAATTAGGCGTTAAGGAACGGTTGCTATTTTGAAATAAAGTTAAACGTTTAGTTTACCAAAACACGTGTAAATTTTTACTTACTTTTACTGCCGATTTCCCGATTATTTGTGTTGACCATTGATGGCCAGTCGATAGTCATCTCAATGTATATATTAACAGCAAATATAATATACAACATAATATAATCTATTATATATTATATTTCTATTATAAATTAAAAAAATTATATGCAATAGGTAATATTTTAGATAATTTACAATACAATGAATATAAATAATAATGAGTATTTGTAATTTTAATAATTATATATTTATATACATATTTTATATTTAGTTAGATTATATACACAATAATAAACTTAAAAATGTGTTAAGAATTATTAGTTTTAGCAAATGAGTATAAATGTACATAAATTTATAGAGAGAAAGAGTGAGAGAGGGAGAGATAATATATAGGAATGCAGTTAAATACAACACATGTGGAATGTAATACCTGTACAGTCCAATACAATAAACCTGTATTGTATTATTCCCTCTCTATTGTTATTATTAACAATAGAGAGGTGAATACGATATATTTGTGCATAAACTTTTATAAAATAGTAATATTAATACTGTATTTTCAATGAATTCAAATAAAGTTTTATTTCAACAAAAACTACTTTACGACTGACAATTGATTTAAATAGTTTTTATAAATTAAAAATATATTTATTAATGTTTTTAAATTAGAATATATCCTACATATAATATTAAAACCTTAAAAAATATTAAAATATATAACATTAGTATAAGACAATTATACGTTTGTTGTGTATTATTTACTATTGAGACAGGTAACACAGGTAAGATGAGGTGTAAAAAATAAATAAAATAAATATTTTGTAGTTTAATATTTTTTATTTATATTAAACAAAGTATACAAATTATTTTTTTCAGTTTTTAATTGTTTGATAAAATAAAAATCAGTATCGATGCCATGAGTGTCCACTAGTTTGTCTTTATGCCTTTTTTAAACCAATCAATGTGTGGACATAAGGAGCAATGATATATTTGTTGTTAGTTACTAAAATTGTAATAAGTAAAATTAATAAGTAAAAAGTAATTGTTTGATTGACACAAATTTGACACAAACTTTTCCAAGTTATATAGTTGTAAAGATTATCTATAGAAATAATACTTTAAAATTAATAAAAAACAAATTTATTTTTTATCTGATACTACTTTTATCTGTCTCAAAAGTATACAATAGATAAAACATACGTTGTATATGAATAGTATATATTAAATATATGCAAAGCTATAGATAAATAATATTTGAATTTTTATTAAAATTTTAATGTTTTTCTTTTTATACAAAATAAAATCTTTAAATACTAAACAGTTGAAAGACATTCTGTATAATTGGGACCTCTTTAATGACATCAGAAAAATGTTTGAAAATAAGTGTCGCTTTTTATTGAACATTAATTATTATAGTGATCAGGAAGTGAAGATGAAAGTATTTATAAAAATTTTATTTATAAAAACATTAAAAAATTTTATTTTGTTTAGTTATTTCAACAAATTAAAACATATTTCCAGATGGCATTATAAATGAACAGTCAAGAAAATTCAGGGTCACATGCATTAGAATTTCTAGTATTGAGAATCATGTCAATACTCAATCAGATGCAGAGACTGTTATAGATGTCACAAATGTAAAGCCTGACCTAGAGATTGAGGCCGCAGTCAATACAATAACGCCTTCAGCCATACCAATAGATACAGATATATTGTTAGCATTAAAAGCTATAGCGACTACTTTAAGCTCAATTACGCCATCGCACTGACCAAAGGATCGCCTTATTTATCAAAAATCAATTATGCGATACAAGTGCTCGAAACGGAAGGATTTTTTTAAATATATATGGAATAAATAGTTTTCAAATAATTTACTCACTTTTGGTCATCTATTTTATTTTGCTGCCATTTTAAATTGCTAAATAGCAATTGTATTTATAAAAATTATGTAATTTAGTGTTTTAGAATTTTTATTTAAATTTACAATTAACATACAAATTTCCAATGATAATACTTTTTAATTAATAATTAAAGGTATAAAAAAACAAAAATACAAACAAATATGTTATAAAACAATGTTTTATAACTTAAGTAATAATAAAAAATTTAAAATAATAGGTGTCATTACATGAAAATAAATGTCGAGGACATGGCATAGGCTCGGCAGGCATTTGGCTAATTAGGATCTATTGTTTATGTCTACCATTTTTAAAACCCTGGTTATAATAGATAACTCAATACTTAAAAAATTTGTTGAACATTGAAATTTTAATTTTTTCATTTATTTAATACACTATGAAATGATTAATTTAATTATTTTAGTTTTTTTTTAATTATAAAAAAAATGTTTAACTAACTTATTATTTTTATACAATTTCAATATTCATCAATAGATTATCGGGTATTTGATTGTTATAAATAGTTAAATCAATTTCTAGTTCATTATTCCAGTTATTTTCAGATCCCATATGAAAATCAATTGTCTTTTTCGGGAAACTATTTGCACAATCAATCAGAGCATCGATTGTCTTATTAGTAATCAGTGGTCGACCATAAAAATTAATTGTTTGAATATGTTTTGAACAATTCCTAACTATTAGGCAAACACTTGAATCGGTTATTTTGTTTTGACTCGAAGGCCAGGTATGTAATTGAAATCTTTGCAAATATTTTAGTCCTGCAATATAGCCAATGGATTGATCAGTAAATTCAGTGTCTGAACAATCAATGATTAATGTCGACAAATGAGGCAAACAATTATCAATATTTGTGAAAAAGTTTTCAGTTATCAAATTTGTTGTAACCCTTAAATATTTCAAACTATTAGACATTGATTTCAAACAGCACTCGACCCGACTGTCCAATTGAATGGATTTATTTAGACCATCGTCTAGTAATTTAATATCAAAATGTTTCAAATTATTAAAACCCATATTAAATGATTGCAATAGTTTGCCGACATTTTTCAAATTGTTGCTAAAAATAGAAAATTCAAAATAAATTAATTGATAACATGTTTGCGATAATCTGGTTATAAAATCGCTCATTAATATCATATCGTTGTCATCGATGGCCTCAAATGCTAACTGCAATCGCTTAAGACATGTAAACTTTAACAACGATTTCAGATAACAGTCCAACTGTTTGTCATCGATACGAATGGCCAAAGTTGTGTCCAATCGATACAATTGTTGGCAATAGTTTGCGCTAAAATTATGAAATACCGGCAAATCGACCGATTGGTTGACCAGAATATCTGTTATATTTTGAAGTGACGGCAAATAACAACTATTGTCGGCGTCAGTGATATACTCCAAGCCTTTGAATCCAAAACCAAATGTTTTAAACTTTTCCAGTTGTTTGCAATGACATAACAACTTATCCAAATACAACTGTCCAGAGGATCGGCAATCAATTTCTAACTGTTTTAATCGATGGCCATATTTATCGCCAAACCTATAGAGATCATCGCCAGACAGTCCAATGATATCAAACTTCAGGCGCCGTAGTTTAGGACAATATTTACCGATTATATCCAATACTTCGTAATCAGTAAAACACACTAACTTTACGTCTTGAATGTGTCGATACTTTTTCAGCATTTGTTTTAAACTATATTTATTAATACATCGCAAACTATAGGCATCGGCAGCACCGGTATTAAAATCCGTTATTACTATTGGCTCAAGTAGTTGATCCAAATTATCCAATGCATCGTCAAATGGCCAACAGTCCAACTCCAATGATGTCTGTGTAGTTGTCACTGATTTCTGGAACCGTTTTGATATACATTCATAGTTTAGTTTATCACTAAACGATAGATACGATACAATTGTATCAAACAAGTGGTCATCAAATCTATTGAACGACTGAACAAACAGTTGTTTGTCATTCAATGTATTACTATTACTACTACTACTACTCGTTGACAACATTTTTGTTATAATAATTAGTATTATAAAATTAAATTGTTTTTTTTTAAATATTTATATTACTAAATTAATTAAATACTTGACAAATACATAAAATAATAAGTTGTAATAACATGTATACAATATTTCAATCGATAACTTATTAATATACTGTAGATAATATGTAGTACAATGTATAATATATTGAATATAAACTTTATGTTGAAAATTGCTATATTTATTGCAATATAATTTTAGTATACAATTGATATATTGATATAACGATTAATTATATAATGATTAAACTGTTAAATATCATAATACTTTATATAAATACAGTATTTAGCAAACCATATTTTTTTAAGTATAGGTAATCTAATGTTAACGTAATAGTAGTGTAAAAATACAATACATTGAATAATATACTGTATTATTTGGATTGCATAATGTATTTGTAAAAAATATATGTATTGCTTTTTACATACCTGTGCGCAATTGCATTGCTATAGTAATTATTTTTTTAAGAAAAAAGATAACACAGTATAATATACCGGTACTACAGTACATGTATATAGTAAATGGATAAAAATAAATTGAAATTTATTTTAAATGAAAAGCAAATATACTGTATATTTTGACAACAAATTTCCTATTAAATGAATTTTATTTTATAAATAAACAAAATTTTTAAAAACAAATTGAATGATTGACTAAAACCGAAAAAGTCTTTATGAAATGACACCATTTTTTTTCTTGTCGACCAAATTGAATGATGTGTTTAATTTGGTAGTTCTTCTGCTAATTCTTTGGCCCTCTTGTGCGCCGCTTCTACAGCACCGGCCACTCCTGAGGCGACATCTGCTTTGTCGAGCACATGGATGCCATAAATGGCGGGTCCAGATGGCGAAGTGCAGCTATCCTTTAGCTCTGACGGATGTTTACCCGACTCTAGTAGCGTCAGTGCCGCGCACTGTACGGTTTTGGCGGCAAATTTTGTAGCCGTTTGACGATTGAGACCCATCTTGAAGGCGCCGTCGGCCAGAGAATTGATAAAATAGTAGACAAACGCCAATCCGTTGCCTCCCAGAGCACAGGCCGAGTCCATCTGGCTTTCGGGTATGTACTCGAGCTTCGATATGGTTGACAGCATATCCCTTATTAGTGGACTACACTTTTTGCTGTCCGGTTCCACATCGATGGCAGTAATGCCCAAACCATAAGCACAAGCAGTACTGATGCTTAATCTGTGCATTTCGATCATATACTTGTCCGGGTGTTCGGGATTCAATAGACACGCCCGGATTTGATCCAACTTTACACCGCTGACCAGCGATAGCACATACAATGGATGTTTCATATTTGGTATGAAATTTGTGGTCAACGGATGCGGACGCGAACCACCAATTTTGTAGCACTCTTTGATAACTGAGCCGTGAAAACACAGGAATACTATATCGCAGTCATATTTGGCGAATATATCGTAATTCCGTTTCGTAATGTGACAGCCCTTCTGTTTGATGGTCTCCAAGTTTTTCGTAGTCTTTGCCGACACATGTATGCGCTTTGGATCTACTTTTCCGTATTGAATTAGACCGCGAATGATGGCATCAGCTGTCTTACCGGCGCCGAGGAAACCGATCTTCGCTTCCGACAGATCTACCTTTCCTTTGCGTTTAGTGCTTGACTTTGAGCCCGACTTTGATTCCTTTGATTCCTTCTTCTCCTTCTTTTCCTCCTTTTTCTCGTCTTTCGAATCAGTCTTTGTCTCTTCGGCGGGCTTTTCGTCCGGCTTTTTGTCTTCCGGTGCCTCAGCTTTCGGTTTCTCTTCGGTTGGTTTCTCTTGATCTGCCATTTCTTGTAATTGAGAAAAAACAACGACTGAAACAAATGAAGAATTCAATTGATTTTTTTTGTGGTGGTTTTGAAACAAAATTATCCAACGGTTTGATTGGTTTTGAAATTTGAAAAAAATATAACAATTTTTTTTCAAAAAAATAAATAAAACATTTAATTGTTGTTTTCACGAGAATTACTGATTCAATCATTATTTGTTAGCAATTCACGAGACAATCATTGATGAAGTATTTGTCATTGAATTTTAATGTACTGTTTATTATTATTAACTACAGTATAAAACAATAGCCAAATAAAAAATTTTAGCTAATTTTTATGATAAAATTCAATAATAATATTCAAACAATATATGAATTACTTTATAAGTATTTTTTTATTTGTTTGTTTTTTGTGTTTATATCTTAACTTTGATGTCTTAACAACAATAAGTTGTTTTATCAAATGTATGGATTAATTATTGATAATATTTTCTAAAAAAGTATAACTAAAATTATATACAGTTTACAGTATAATGTGTTTATTATTATTTTAAAAATAAAAAAATAAAACATAAATATTATACATACTGTAAATGTTTGAAATATTTTGAAACTTTTATATTAGGTTAATAAAAAAAGTGATGAATTATTTTAAATTGTATACAATTTTTCTATGTCTATCATGTGTTAAACATGTAGTAATTGAATGTCAAGATTTTGTAAAAGCTATCGAAAAAAGTGCGGCACTGGTAGCTAAATATCGAAACGATGAGTCGATTCCCGGTACTGTCATTGGTGTCCACTATAGAGGTCGTCCGGTTTGGATACAGGCCTACGGCTATTCGGACATTGAAAACGATGTCAAATGCGACATCGATACTGTTGTCCGAACGGGTAGTGTTACCAAAGCTATGGTTGCGGCACTGGTAGCTAAACTAGTGGAACAATCGAAAATTGTTTGGGACAACAATATTCACGACTATTTACCGACCAGTGTTTTCCCGATAAAACAATGGAAAGGTAGCTAAAAATAAATGTATAACAGTTTTTTTTGGTAATGTTCGTCTCTTTTTTTTTAGGAGAACCCGTTAACATAACTGTCCGTCAATTGATGTCAATGACTGGCGGTATCCGAAGTACTGAGGAATTACGTGACTTTCGCCAACTACACGACTATCACAATGTAACCGAAACGTTAGCCTATTTTGCGAGCGACCAATTGGTGGCCAAACCGGGCACTAAATTCTTCTACTCTAACTGGGGATGGCATGTAATCGGAGCGCTCATGGAGTCGGTTACCGGTCAGGATTTTGAGGTACTAATGAACTCACTGTTCGCTGAGTTTGGTATGAACTCAACCCGACTGTCCCGACAAGAGTTGGTCATACATAAGCGCGCCGAACAGTACTCGCGAGTCCGCAGTAATGATGACCAGAGTAAACATTGGACATTAAGATCTGCCCGAATGACACAAGACTTGGGTCGACCGCTGCCGTGGCTACCGATGGGCGGTGTTATCACTAGTGTCCCCGATTTGCTTGTTTTTACCGATGTTATGCTTAAAAGCTATAGTAGTAGTAGTGATGGTAAATCAGAAAATTTTTTTGTTATTTATCTAAACTATATATTGATTATCCCAAAAAACAAAAAAAAGGTTACCTCAAACCGCAAACCGTACGCCAACTGTGGACACCGGGATTAGGCCATTACGGTATGGGATGGTTTGTCGGCAACTATACCCAACCATCAGTCAATATCGCCGAAAAACTGTACCAATATATTCATTATTCGGGTTTAGTGGCCGGCAGTGTAACCACCATTGCATTGATACCTGAGTTGAACATATCGGCGGCAATGGTCGCCAATATGGGTGGCATTGATTTGGACGCAACGGTATTATCGGTGATCAACCAGTTTGTTGCTGCCATTACTCTATAGTTTTAGTTCCCGGAGTATTAGTTATTTGAAATTATTATAAATTAATATTTATATATAACTCATACTAATAATAATAATAATAAACATCTTTTATGAAAAATTATTTGAATTAAATAAATAATAATAATTTAAATAAATAATTTTCTATAACTAAAACCATAGGACGGAATAAAAACAATTAATTAAAAAAATATAAATCATAAAACTTTAGTCTCTCTTTAATATAAGTATTGAGAAAAGTGGAAAAATCTAAAAATAAATTAATAAATATTATTTAACAGTTAAAATATACTGTACTATCTGTCACAACCAGGGTTTTAAGAAAATAAATGCCTGCCCTGGCAATGCCCAAATAGATGCCATAAATGCCTGGCATTTTGGGCATCTATTTTATTTGCCTGCCAATTTAAATTGCTAAAAAGCAACTGTATTTATAAAAATAATGTAATTTAGTGTTTTAACGTGTTAATTAAATTTACAATTAATTTACTTATTTCCAATTATATTACCTTTTAATTAAAGGTATACAAAACAAAAATACATGCAAATATATTATAAAAACAATGTTTTATAAATTAATTAATAATATAAAATTAAAATAATAGGTGTCACCACATGAAAATAGATGCCCAGGGCATGGCAGAGGCAGGGCAGGCATTTGGCAAAATTGGCATCTATTGTTTATGCCTGCCATTTTTAAAACCCTGGTCACAACATAATATTTGCATTAAAAAAAACTTTAATTATTGTTTTTGTAGGGAAATAATGAAAATAAATCAGATTTGATTATCAGTCTGTTATCTTGTATTTATTTTTAAACTATTATAACTTATATTATAAGTTAAATATAGTATATTTAGCACACGTATAGGTAAACTAACCAGTGATACCAATAATTGAAAACAATTAATGATAATAACATTAGATGCAAATTTTATTTAAACATTTATTTAGTACTCAACTGTACTGTAATAATAATAATAATTATTATTATAGATTAAAATTTCACGTAAATTTTTTATTCAACAAAAATTAAATATACATTTAATTATATAACGTATTTTAAAATAAAAGATATAATAATTGATTTTATGTTTTTTTTGTTGTTGAATGAAATCTGTTAACCACTGAAATTTTATTGTATAAATTTAAAAACACAATTTTGTTTATTTGGGTTATAAATTATTGTTAACTAAATTGGACAGTCAGTTATCAAAACAGTCAGCCAGTCTACCATTTGCTATCCCACCTCAATCCCACCCCATCTACCCGTCCAATGTGTTTAGATTTTTGTAATTGGTGTTGGGCTTACGTTAGCGGACATCGTAAGGGTTCGTTGTCGTCCTCTTACGGTAGTGATGGACGAGATAAAAGAGGACAGAGATTATCATTGTTGGCCAGGGCTGCACAGATAACTCATACAACAAACAGTGTACGCGTCAATAGGAAAGTTGTGTCCAGTTTGCCGACCCGTGAACAACAACAACTCGATAAGATTGATTGGCCAATAGAGTGGCGCTACGCTTATAGTCGGCCGTTTGTCGATGTGTCGCCAATTACCGAAACGATATTCTTGTCGAGTGCCGGTGCCGTCAATGTTGACAATGTACGCGATTATGATATCAAATGTATAGTTAGTGTAACCCACGAAACACCGGTGCTTGCGATCGACGGCTTGGAGTTTATCAGAATTCCTGTATGTTTTTTATTGAACAAAAAAATGATATCAAATGATAATAAGATTTTTAAAACCAATTGTCTCATCAATTTACTGGTCGATTGGGATATCATAGGTTGAAGACACCGATGAAGAAAATATTGGCCAATACTTTGATGAACTAAGCGATAGGTTAAGCGCTTTGAGCGCCAAAAACTCCAAGTCTTTGATTCACTGCCAGTTCGGCAAAAGCCGAGCGCCGACTGTTGTCATCGGTATTGTTGGACAACAATTAAAAATCAATCAATCAATCAATTAATTGATTAAATTTTTAATTGATATGTTTTCTTCGTTTTTCATTATTATCTGATAATAATTAGCACATCTAATGAAATCGCATCGTATGTCTCTTAACGATGCATTTGATTTGGTAAAGACTAGACGTCCGTTCATTGGCCTCAACGACGGTTTCATCAAACAGCTGATCCAATACGAACAACGACTGTTTGGCCATCAGTTGACAAATGTGGCGACAATTAAACAGAAAAATCGCGATAAAGAGTCGTCTAAAGTATGGTTAGCAAAGTATGAGAGTTATGTATAATATGTATGTAATATACAGTATATCACCGCTCAGTTAGTTTTTTTTGTTATTGTTATAAATAGTTTTTATACATACCATTACCGTATAATATCGATAATATACCATATGATAACATACAGTGTTTTATACATTAATCTAACTTTTGAAAGACTAATTTCATTTTTATATAAAAAAAATTAATTTAAACATTTTAATTGATTTTGTTGTTGCTGTTGCTGTTACTGTAAATAGTGTATAACTTTTAATAATTAATAATTTTCAATACATATATTTATAGATAATAAAAAATTTTATTTAAAAATAAAAAACATTTATTGATAGGATCTTAAAATTGAAATCAAAACTAGAGTTTCAAAAGTCGGTTGGTTTTTATTTATAAACGTCAATCATAACGACAAATATAAGATTTTTTTTTTTTAAAGTTATGATTCAGTAAATAATAGTTAATTTAAGTATAGGCTGTATTACAGTAAATGATTGGAAAAAAATATTAATGTAATTTTTATAAACTTTAAAATAAAAATATAGTATTTCAAAAATATATTTATAGATACTATATATTAATTTATATATCATATTAATGTCTAAATATAGTACAGTATTAACATATGTTTGTAATATAATAATAATTGTCGTAATAATATTATATTATTAAGAATTTAGAGAATATATTTTATTTGCAATTTCCTCTATAAATTATTATTAGATTAATTTCATCTATTAATCAAATAAATGCTTAAATAATTTTATATAAGATAGTCTATAAAAATATTTTAATAGTAATTATAATTTTTTTTTAAAATATGAAATTTGAAGACTTACTCAAAATTGTAGGCGATTTCGGTATTTTTCAAAAACTATTGATCACATTGTTTCTAATACCAACGTCGACATTGATTACACTATACGACTACTTGTTTATGTTGGCCACACCTGACCACTGGTGTTATGTACCACAGTTGGCCAACTTATCGTCAAATTTACAAAAACAACTAATTAGTCCCGAAACTGTTGGTCAGGGATTAGTATCATTAGACAGGTGCCATATGTATGATATTGACTATGACTTAACTGATTATTACAACAACACAACAACAACATCAATAAGTTTAGCGTTTAATATAAATAATATAACAATTAAAGAGTGTAATAACGGTTGGGTTTATGATAAATCAATGTTTACATCAACGGCAACCACACATGTATAAGATTTTTTTGTTTAAATTGTGTTTATTATGTTATAAATTGTAAATTATTTATTTATTTAATTGTTAATTTATAGTTCAATTTGTTTTGCAATAATGCATATTATGTAAGTATTTTGTTATCAATAGGAACCATAGGACAGGTCATCTTAACTCCAATTTTATCATCACTGACTGATTGGTAAATAAATTATAAATATATTTTTGTATTAAGTTTTATATCATATTATGTCATGTGTGGTATAATATTTTTAAATTATTTTGATATGATATTACAGTAGTTTAATGAAATTTTGTATCATTTAATGATGAATATAAATAATTTGTAAAATATGATATTATTACGCTTAATAAAGATTATAAAAATTATTTTATATATAATTATATATTTATAAATATAAAGGATTGGTCGGAAAAAATCATTATTGATAATCAATATAATCATTGTATTATCATTTATATCACCCATTGTTTTACGCGATTATATTAGTTTTGCAATTTGTCGGTTCATTTGTATGGGTGTTGCAGTCATTTACTATCAAATACCATATATTATGTGTCAGTATGTCATATAATTTTATTTTTATTTATAAATAAATTTAATTGAAATTTTTATTTTAGGCATGGAGTTTGTGGGAATTGACTATCGATCCAAAACATCCAGTCTCTCATCACTGGCTTATTCTGGGGGCAGTTGTTTACTACCACTAGTTGTCTATTTGACAACTGGTAACTGGATATTGTTGGCTAGTTTTCAATTAGTCGCAACACTACCTATGTTTATAGTTTGGAGGTTTTAATAATTTACCAATTTATCAATTTATATATTTGATAAAAAACTATAAATAATAATAATAATAATAATAATTAGATATTTACCTGAATCTGCTTCGTGGCTAATAACTAAGCGCCGATATACCGATGCCTACAATGTTTTGGAAAAAGTGGCCAAAATTAATGGCAAACAATTACCAAATGATTTTATGAATCAAATTCAAGTATAAAATTATACTTATTGTATATAAATTTAAAATTTAGTATTAATTAATAATTTTCAATAAATTTGTTTTCAATAAAAAAAATCAAGAAAGTGGGCCAAAAACAGATGGAAATAAAATGGAGTAAAAAAATAAACGACTCGTCTCTCGACTTTCTTCGAGTACCAGAACTAAGAAAACAAACCGTTATTTTGCTAACAATTTTTGTGGCAAATGTTATGACAAATATAGGATTGTCGTTGAATTCACTTAATTTTCACGCAAACGAATTGTTAAACTATTTTCTTATATCATTGGCTGACATACCGGCCCTATTGTTGGGCTGGTATCTGATTGAGAGCCGACTTGGCCGTCGATGGACCAACACTTTTGCTATGTTATTGTGTGGCATAGCGTTATGTATACCAATATTGATAGATCCATCACATAAGCTATTAATTACCGTCCTATCGATGATTGGTAAATCGGGAACCGCTGTCTCGCATATGATTACATATCAACAATCGGCCGAAATATTTCCGACAACTCTGAGAAGTGCGGGAATGGCTATATGTTGTACTGTTTCGTCGTTGTCATACATCTGTATACATTATATATCATATTTGGTAATAAATTTTATTTTTCTTAGTAATCCTAATATAAATTTATATATAATTATGATTGAAATTTTAGGGTAAATATGGACTTTGGATTCCATTGTTTATAATGGGTTCGGTTTGTCTAATAGCTGGTCTGGCCTCTAGTTTTCTACCCGAAACATTAAACAAAAATTTACTGCAAAATAGTGCCGACAGTAAAAAATTTGCTAAAAATAAGAAATATTTTTCGTTGGCTAAAACCACTGTTAAAATCAGTTTAAAAACAGCTAATAAAGTGTCTCTATTAGAGACACCGATATCATAATGTAATCAATGGGCAAAAAAAATATTCACAGTTTTCAATATTTTACTGTAATATTATAATTTTCTATAATATTTTTGTTATTAAATTTCAAATACTTATCCCTAATTTATAAGAAAATAACTATAACTATAACTATTAATATTTGAATTTCTTAGTTAGATTTATATATATATATATATAAGATTATATATATTAAATATTTATAAATGTATTGTTTTAGTTATAAAATTAAATTAGTCATAAGTTATATAGAAATCAATGACACTACAAATTTTATTAATTTAAATTTTATACTAAAATTGTGTGCAATTATAAACGTTGAGTATAAATTAATATTTAAAAAAAATAATGATGCAGCTATTATGTAATAGTTAATTAAATTTATGGCTATTAATTTGTAAATAGAAAATTATTTGCAAATTATTATTATTTTTTGTTGTAATTAGTTTTTATGTAAAAAAGTGTATTTCAATATCTAATTAAACAAAAAATAAATGTATATAAATATTAACTTCTTGAAATAAACTAGAAAATATGTTTTTATACTTATTAAGCATTTATATTCAAGGTTACATACTGTGTGTGTGTGTGTGTTTATATCATTTAAGATATAAAATAATTATTAATTAATTAGTTAATCAAAATTATCAATTGTCTAAATATGATTTCAATAATAATAATAATAATATATTTTTCTAAACAAGTATTTAATAATTTATAAAAAAATAGTTTATTATTAAAAGACATGGAATTTGAAGACTTACTCAAACTTGTCGGCGATTTCGGTATTTTTCAAAAATTTTTGATTACATTTTTTCTAATACCAACGTCGACATTGGTTACACTATACGACTACTTGTTTATGTTGGCCACACCTGACCATTGGTGTTATGTACCAGAGTTGGCCAATGTATCCGCTGATCTACAAAAACAACTAATTAGTCCCGAAACTGTTGACCAGGGATTGGTATCATATGACAGGTGCCGTATGTATGATATAGACTATGACTTAATTAACTATTACAACAACTCAACAACACCAATAAGTTTAGCGTTTAATATAAATAATATAACAACTAAAGAGTGTAATAACGGTTGGGTTTATGATAAATCAATGTTTACATCAACGGCAACCACACATGTATAAGATTTATATTATTGTAATTTATTTATTTAATTATGAATTTATATTTATAGTTCAATTTGGTTTGCAATAATGCACATTATGTAAGCATTTTGTTATCAATAGGAGCCATAGGACAGGTCATCTTAACTCCTATTTTATCAATATTGACTAATTGGTAACTAATTTTAATTTATTAATAATTTTTCTATTAAATATTATATATTATGTGCCCATTATATATATATATATAATGTTAATCTCAATATATACTGTTAAAAATTTATATACATCAAGTTTATACACATCAAAAAAAATTATAATATAATCTATATATATATATAAAGGATTGGCCAAAAGAAATCATTTTTGATCGTCAATATAATGATTGTATTGTCATTTATATCACCCATTGTTTTACGCGATTATATTAGTTTTGCAATTTGTCGGTTCATTTGTATGGGGTTTGCAGTTATTGACTATCAAATATCGTATATTATGTGTCAGTATTATTATATTTAGTGTTATATATCGGTTATTTATTTTTCAATCAAAAAATAAATAAATAATAATTTTCTAACCAAATTTAAATGAACTTTTTTGCAGGCATGGAGTTTGTGGGAACTGGCTATCGATCCAAAACATCCAGTCTCTCATCACTGGCTTATTCTGGGGGAAGTTGTTTACTACCAGTAGTTGTCTATTTGACAACTGGTAACTGGATATTGTTAGCTATTTTTCAATTAGTTGCAACACTACCTATGTTTATTGTTTGGAGGTTTATAATAATATATTATTATTATTATTATAAAATTAAAATGTTTTATTTTTGCAAATTTATTAAATTATAAATAATTTAAGATATTTACCTGAATCTGCTTCGTGGCTAATAACTCAACGCCGATATACCGATGCCTACAATGTTTTAGAAAGAGTGGCCAAAATTAATGGCAAACAATTACCAAATGATTTTATGAATCAAATTCAAGTAAACTAATTAATTAATATTTTTTTAAATAATTTTTGTCAATTGTTTTCGACAACAAATCAAGAAAGTGGGCGAAAAACAGATGAAAATGAAATCAATGCAACAGAAGAACGACTCGTATATCGACTTTCTTCGAGTACCAGAACTAAGAAAACAAACCCTTATTTTTCTAACAATTTTTGTGGCAAATGTTATGACAAACGTTGGATTATCATTGAATTCACTTAATTTTCACGGAAACGAATTGCTAAACAATTTTCTTATATTATTGGCTGACATACCGTCCCAGTTGTTGGGCTGGTATCTGATTGAGAGCCGACTCGGCCGTCGATGGACCAATACTTTGTCTGTGATGTTGTGTGGCATAGCATTATGTATATCAATATTAATAGATCCGTCCAATAAGTTATTGATGACAGTCTTATCGATGATTGGTAAGTCGGGAATCGCTGTCTCCCATATGATTACATATCAACAATCGGCCGAAATATTTCCGACAACTCTGAGAAGTGCGGGAATGGGTATATGTTCTGCTGTTTCGTCGTTGTCCGACATCGGTATACCTTATATATCATATTTGGTAATAATTTTTTTATTAATTTAATAATTAATATCTAAAACAATATACAGTATATATATATATATATAATTATCATTGAAATTATAGGGTAAATATGGACTTTGGATTCCAATGTTTATAATGGGTTTGGTTTGTATAATAGCTGGTCTGACCTCAAGTTTTTTACCCGAAACACTAAACGAAAATTTACCGCAAACTACTGCCGACACTCAAAAATTTGCTAAAAATAGAAAATATTTTTCGTTGGCTAAAACCACTGTTGAAATACTTAATAAAGAGTCACTATTAGAACCATTATTATAATAAAAATAAATTATATATTTATAATTTAATATCAATAGAAACTTTTAACAAATTATTTTTCTAATTTTTTTTTTGACTTAAATTTACTTATAAATTATCAGTCCAGTAGATATTTAGACGATATTGTTATTTTTTCTAATTTTATTTATCTTAATATATAATTTATTAATTAAATTTATTGATTGTCTTTATATTTAAGTTATTTTTAGGATGAGGTTTTTAAATAAATAATATATATATACAGTATATAGAATAACAAATGTTTATTCAATCATTTGGGTTTACAGTCGATTAAAAATTTATTTTAAAATATATTTTATTTAATAATTTTTAAATAGTCTATAATTATATATAATTATATTAATACATCTATTTATGTTCATAATTAATTATAAAAAAAACATTTGTTTTTTCTTTAAACTAAATTTAAAAAAAAGATTTATATTAAAATTTATAAAAATATTTTTTATTAATATAACAATATAAAATATTAAAATATAGTTAATTATATATTATTGTTTAGGAATACAATATACAGTATATTATGCAAATATATCAAATTATATATATATAAAGTTATATTTGTTGTGTAATATTTAATAATTTTTAATGTAAATTACTTTTTTATATTCCTAAATGTGATTTAATAATTAAATAAGTTATTAATTATACAAAAAGACAACTTTAGTTATTGTTTAATTTCTGTTTTATTTATATCTTAATATATACTCTGTAAGAAAAAAAATAAAAAAAAATAAAATACTTAAATAATATTTAATTTAATTATAATTAATATAAAATAAAAATAAACGTTAATTTTGTATAACAAAATAGTATTGAACAAAAAAGGTTGTCATAATTATGCATTTTTTGTGTATAAAAAAAATTTGTCTAAAAAATTTAACTAAATGTTTATCATTAGCTCATTAATTAGCCATTAACAACAAAAATTGATTAACAAAATAATCAATAATTTATATATAAATCAATTATCTTAATAAGTTATTTTTTTAAAAAAATCATATCTATCTGTTTATTAAAAAAAACTAATTTTTCTATTTAGAAAGCATTTTTGGTCCAAGGTTACTCATTGTGTGAGTAAAAATTAAAAAAATATATATGTTTTTAATTAAATTGTCAATTACTTTGGTTGTCAGTTACTCCAATAAACAACTAAAATCGGTTTATGGAGACTAAAATAATTGAATAATTTTATTTTATTTATATAAAAAATTATTAAATTTTAAAATTATCAATAATTGTCTAAATATGATTTCAATAATAATATATTTTTCTAAACAAGTATTTAATAATTTATAAAAAAATAGTTTATTATTAAAAGACATGGAATTTGAAGACTTACTCAAACTAGTCGGCGATTTCGGTATTTTTCAAAAATTTTTGATTACATTGTTTCTAATACCGACGTCGACATTGGTTACACTATACGACTACATGTTTATGTTGGCCACACCTGACCACTAGTGTTATGTAACACAGTTGGCCAACCTATCCTCAAATTTACAAAAATAACTAATTAGTCCCGAAACTGTTAACAAGGGATTAGCATCATATGACAGGTGCCGTATGTATGATATAGACTATGATTTAATTAACTATTACAACAACACAACAACAACACCAATAAGTTTAGCGTTTAATATAAATAATATAACAATTAAAGAGTGTAATAACGGCTGGGTTTATGATAAATCAATTTTTATGACAACGGCAACCACACAAGTATATGATTTTTTTTTATAATTAAAATTCATATATATATATACTTAATTTTAATTTATGTAATTGATTAATTATTTGTTAATTTATAGTTCAATTTAGTTTTTCAATAATGCACATTATGTAAGTATTTTGTTATCAATAGGAGCCATAGGACCTGTTATAATGACACCGATTTAATCTTCTCTGACTGATTGGTAAATAATTTATTATAATATTTTTTTGTATTTATGTTATTTAAGAATTAAAATATATATATATATATATATGTTATATATACGATTTTTGTAACAACTAAACATATTATTGAATTATTGAATTCAATATATAAAATTAATTATTGATCTTTAATAATTTTCTAAATATTAATATTATATTTTTTTAATAACAAGTATTAATAATAATAAAATCAATTTATTAATTTGTATTATAATGTATATTATGATAGGATTGGTCGGAAAAAGACATTATTGATCGTCAATATAATCATTGTATTGTCATTTATATCACCCATTGTTTTACGCGATTATATTAGTTTTGCAATCTGTCGGTGCATTTGTATGAGTGTTACAATTATTTACTATCAAATACCGTTTATTTTGTGTCAGTATTATTTGCAAATTAATTAATTAATATAACACTAAATAGTATTTATTTAATAATATTTTTTAAAAAAACAAATAAATAAAATTAATTGTTATTTTCAGCCATGGAATATGTGGGAACTGGTTATCGATCCAAAACATCCAGTCTCTCATCACTGGCTTATTCTGGGGGCAGTTGTTTACTACCAGTAGTTGTCTATTTGACGACTATTAAACACTAAACGAAAATTTACCGCAAAATACTGCCGACACTCAAAAATTTGCTAAAAATAGCAGATATTTTTCGTTGGCTAAAACCAATGTTACAATAACAATACATTTATAATTATATAAATCTATAACTTATATAATATTTAGTAAAAATTATTTAAAAAATCAAATATTTTTATTTTGTGAATAGCATACTGTTTTTTGAAAACTAAAGAAAAAACTAAATAATATATTATTTTTTTATTTACTTAAATATAATTTTGCTGAAAAACATGACTTTATAATTTATATGATTTATTATACTGAGTTTTTAGTAAAATAATGTTATATAAATGTAATAATTATTATAAATTTTATACCATATATATTATATATATATATATATTTATATATCTATTATTTAATATATATTTTATTTATATGTCTATTATTTAATATTGTATATATTTTATTTATTATTAATTTATACTGTATAATTATAAATGGTACTATTAATGATAATTTATACACTATTTGAAAATTATATACCATTATCATTCAATACAAATATTTAAAGTTATAAAATAAAATTTTATTTAAACTAAATAAAAAAATTGTTTGATAAGATATTGATAGCAAGTCAACTAAAACTATTTAATTGATATAACATTTTATAAAATAAAAACTACATTTAAAGACATATGTTTTGTTGATTTTTTTAAAAACTAAATCAAATAAAATGTATGCAAACAATCAGTTTACTACTAATTTAATTAATAGTAATTCTATCGAAATTTGTGATCAATTTTATGAACATATTATAATATCGGGTAGTAATCCGTATGACCGGGGAGTTAGTTATGGCCGACAAGTCAAACAAAAAATCATTGCAAACATAGATTACTATAAAAATTGCGGTATTTTTGACGATTGGCCAGCCGTTAGGCGCTATATTGACGACCATTATGTCAGTGCATTGAAACAATACTATCCGTCCGGTTTGGCCGAAATGGAGGGCATTGCCAACGGAGCTGACTGTCTGGTCGAAGATATAATTATGTTGAATGCTAGGTATGATCTGTCGAGATGGAGCCGACACTTAAACTTACAGAAAAAACAACAACAACAACAACCACAAGAGTGTACCGGAGCTGTATGTCTATCGACGGCTACTAATGATGGCGATGTCCTTATCGGACAAAACTGGGATATCAATAGACGTATAATGGTTGACAACATTGCCGTACTGTTGGAGATATATCCCGATCCGGATGAAGGTATCGCACCGTTCTTTATGTTTACCGAAGCCGGACAGTTAGGCAGAAGCGGTATGAATGCCAATGGATTAGGTATTTATAGCTTAATTTATAGATTTAAAAAATATATATATAACTAATTATAATACATATTAAATTTTTTAAATAGGACTGGTAGCTATGGGCCTGTTCGCCAGTGATGAACAGTACGATGATAATGGTGCCCAATATCTACCGGTAACACTATTGAGACGAATGTTCATAGAGGCGCCTAGTTTTTCGGTAGCACTCAAACGCGTGACATGGCTTCCGCGACACGTGGCGGTCAATATGCTGGTGGCCACAGCCGAGGACGAGGCCATCAACATAGAGCTTACGGCTACTAATGTGTTCATATCATATCCGTCCATCAAAACCGGAATCTATACGCATAGCAATCACTTTAAATCCAAAGGATATCTTTGCAGCAGTTCTGGCGTTAAGGACATCAATCGGTTTGCGTCGTCGCTGTTCAGAGACCGGCAGTTAGAGAAAGAGCTGACCAAACGCTGGCCAAACATCGACGACCAGAGTTTTGTCGATTCGTTTAAAAATCATTTGGGTTATCCCGACTCTCTTTGCCTACATGTGCCCAATAAAGGCAAAGAACGGTCGTCTACGTCGCCAAATGAGTGTACGGTTGCCAACATTGTCTACAATTTAACGAAGCGCACAGTTAGACTATGTAAGGGATCTCCCTGTGCGGGCGTCTATAGAGAATATCGGTTTAGTAAATCAATAACAAACAATTAATAATAATAATAGACATAATAAGTATGTTTTAATCGCGTGATTTAAGTTTTCTTAATTATCGCCCGCAAAACAATTAGTTATAATAATAATAATAATTTTTTTTAAACACTATAAACAAAATAAAATAAATTACAAATTATTAGTACATTTAAACACAAACTAACAGTTATTTCTGAACAACAAAAAAAAGTCTATTAAAATTCAATTGTGATCTTAATTTTGAAAATTTACTGAAGAAAGACAGGAAATACCACAACAACAACAAAATTATGAACAAAACCGAAGAGTCATCAGAGAAAAACATCACTGAATTGTTGGTATCCGACAAAACAGATGTTCCATTGGTGGACGACATCACTGATGATGAAGAAGAAGAAGAAGAAAAAAGTGGTGGAAAATTCAACGAAAAGTTATCGTCGACTTTGATTGACGACAACAACACCGACGACAATATGTCTGAGGAAATGATGGATTTGTCGCAGACTGTCGACAACAAGAACCGCATTCTCGAGTCAATGCTTAGACATAGACATAAGCCGTTGACTACTACTACTGCTGTGGAGGACAACAGCAACAATGATTGTCTGGATGAAGACAAGTCAATGGTTGAATACCAATCAAATCCGGTGCTCAGTCTGCTTCAGACACCCAATCAGCACAACAACAACAACATCATTATCACCGCTGAATCAATGGTCTATCGACTGTTCAGACCTATTTCGTTTCTTTTGGGTCTCTATATACTTATAGGCCAAACCTTCAATCAATTGGCTGTACTATCGAGTCAATCATGGCTTCCCTTTCCCATTGGACTCACATACCTATCGTTTCGGTGTATTTTGGAAGTTCCGCTGGCATTCATTGAATTCGTATATCTGATCGGTCGGTGCGGATGTTTGGCCATTCAAATGATACTTTTGAAATCGGCTACAGCTACCAAACCGGTAGCCTCTAGTGCTGCTGCTGCCGCCGCCACCGTCGCCACCACCTCTCGGGTACCGTTCAATGCCAATCGGATCAGAGCACAGGTCGACCCCATCAAAGTCATGTAAAAATTGTCGGTCACTATTGAAACAATACAGGTTTGCTTAATTAGTTGATGAAAATTAAAACAATTGTTTCAAACAAAATAAATTCAAACAAAAAGTTATTATGAAAAAAACATTGTCTTATTTATTGTTTTTTTTCATAAATAAATAAAACTAAATATAATTAAATTAAATCTTATTAGAAAATATATATATATATATCAGGGTTAAGTAAGGGGGGGGGGGTAGGGGGGGTAAGGCCAAAATACCCCCCCTAAGATCGAGAAATTGGGATTTTACCCCCCCCAGACTTTTTGACCAAATGGGAAAAATTGTCGCTTAAAAACGAGGAGAAATGACCCCCCCCTAAAATTTCGGCGCCGAAGGCGCCGAAAATTTTTTTGAGATTTATAAAAATTTTAATTTTAGTTAATACTATTTTAGTAAGTGTTTTTATGTTTTTAAAATTTATATGATTCTAATTATTGATTAAAAATAAGTAAAAAAGTTAAAATAACGTTAAAACTCATCAAAAAATAACATAATTTTACTTAAAATATTAAACTAAAAAGTTAAAAAATACCAATTTGTTGAAAAGAATAATCATATTACAATATAAATAGAAGTTTGAGATAGTTTAAGAAGTTAATAAAAAAATAAATACTTATATTACAAGGTTTTTATTAATAATTTTTAAAATTTTAACTAAAAAATTTAAAATATTTTTAATTTTATAATTAGTATTCAATCAGTATTTACATAAAAATAACATTAAAAAATAAAAATATATATCTATAAACTATAAGCATTAAGTATTATTTAAAAAATTATTTTAAAAGTTAAAAATTACTAAAATACTAAAAAACTCAGTGTATCATTAATGCCTTTATCACCTATTTTTAAGTATTTAATACATTATTATTTTATTTTTTGCTAAAATTTAAGTTTTTATTAATTTTTAAAATTTTTTTTTAAAAATATTTATTTTTGTTAAAATTTAACTTTTTTTTATTTTTGTTAAAGTTTTTTTTAGTATTTTTGTAAATTTTACCTATTTTCCTGGGAACTTATGGGAATTTTATCGAATTTACATGGGAATATTCGGGAATTTAAGGGAATATTAGGGAATTTTCTCTTGACCCCCCCCTTGATTTTGGATTTTTGAAAAAATTGCCGTTTAAAAATGCAATAAAAATCTTACCCCACCCAATACCCCCCCCAAGATTTTTCGAGAATTTTGTAAATTTTACCCCGGTCTACCCCCCCTAAAATCCAAAACCTTGCTTAACCCTGATATATATATAAATTAATTTTAATAATGACATCAAATAGGTCTAATTAATTGAAATTTATGACAATTTATTTTAAAGTACAAAATTTATTATCTAAAAATTATTTTATTTTTTAAAAATTATATTTTATATACAGTTATATTGATGAAATTGTATTATACATTATTATCAATCAATATATATATATATAAACATTAATTTTTTAATAATAATTATTATTAGTTTATTAAAATCACTTTATTTAATTGTGTTAATCATGGCAGCACTGGAAGATAATGGATGACAATAATTTTTTTAAAATCAATATTAATGTCATCAATTTATTATATCACAAATAATATACAAGGTAAATTATATTAACAGCAACCATGTAAATTACTTTAGTAAATAGTATTATTAATAATAATAGTTTTAAAATAAAATATTGTAGATAAACATACATATTATTACATGAATTATATAAATTACATAATATTTAAAAAACAAAACGATTATTGAAATCAAATGTTTTAATTTTGTCGAAAAAAAGTTTTTACATAAATTTTTGTTTGTTAGTAAGTTTTTGTTGTTGTTTTTTTTATATAAATAACTATACAAATATATAAATAAAATTTTATAAATTAATGATAATTATGTTTGTTATAATGGGGTTTTTTTTAAATATATATAAAAATTTACAAAATAAAAATTAGACAAATAAATTAAAGATTTAATTTTTTATAGCAACACATGTATATATAAATACTGTGGTGTCTTACATATTGATGAAAATAAATATTGTTTTTTTTTAATATTTCACAATTATACTAATAATAATAATAATTAAAAATAATAATTGTGTAAATAGTGTATTATACTTAAACAACACAAAAAAAATTGTAAAAAACAAATCAATTACCGTAATAGCAGATTAATAAAGATTATTATGGCATACATTAAATCAATTAAAAAATAAAATAATAATTTGTTTCAATGTGTAATGAATTGAATTATAAGTACATTAATTAATTATTAATTAAAATTGAAAAATTATAATGGGTTTTATTTTATGATGTATGTTTGTTTTCAATGCTATGTTTTAAAAGTTTAAGATAATTAATAATAATTTATGTAATTATTTTATTGTTTGTAAACAAATCATATGGTATTTAATAATTAGATATAATTAGGAAATAATTAATAATAGAAATTGTAATAATATTTAAGTTATTATTATTATTATTATATCAATAATAAGTGGCAATTAAATGAAGTATCTATTCATTTCCGTCCAATGAATCGGCGTTTTATTCAATGATATATAAAATTATGTCTTTATTTTATTATTGGTTTTGTTTTTCGTCGATTTTTTAGTGACGACTACTTCGGTGATCGCGTTCCCGATCGCGCCGAGAGTCTCGTTCCGATTCGTGATATCTGTCCGATTCGTGATAGCGATCGCGACTGCGTTCCCGATATTCGCGTTCACGACTACGCGACCGATCTCTTCGCGATTTTTCCCGACGTGAGGATCGTTCGCGCGATCTGTCCCGCGATCGGGGCCTATCCTTTCGCGATGAACCGCCGCTGCTGTAGGACTTGCTTTCGATGCCATGCAGTGTATCCTGTAGTGAACTGATGAGGATTTTGCACCGTTCGTCGTTTGCCACTTTTGATTGTTTGATCAATGATATGGCGGTCACCAGTGTCTCGATAGCTGCGGCAAAGTCTCCTAAATATTCAATAATAATAATTAAAAAATTAAAACTGACATCCAATGTGTTTGTTTGTATGACTTACCCGATGATGCGTCCGTAACGGCCCGAGCAATGGCAGAGCTCGAAACGGTTCGATTTTTCGACATAATCTCTTCAAACTCTTGATCGCTAATCTGCATAGACATGGGTCCGCCATCCATGCCCGGCATCGGTCCGCCGCTTCGATAGTCGCCGTGTCCACCATATTGAACTGGACCGGGTGGCATACGATTGCCAAATTGATCGCCTTGCTGTTGCGGACCGGACGACATGTGATGTTGTGAATTGAAAAACGCCGGATTAACATGAGGTGCCGGACCGGGTGGATGAGGACCGCCGACGGGCGGCATTCCAGGAACCTGGCCGGAAAATTGATCTCTGGGTGGCATTGATGGCGGTGGCTGTGCCTGTCCTGGTTGTGGCATAAGCATATTTTGAGAACCTGGCGGTCCGTGTGGATGTGGCCCATGCGGATCGGCCCAGTCGGGCATCGGTCCGCCCTGATGTGCCATTCGTGGATCGTTTTGAGTGCTCGGACCGCGCAATAGTGGCTGATTAGGAACAGGACCTCTGGGTTGTTGTGGCGGCATTCGCATCAATGGCATATTGCCCATTCCTGGTGGCGCTCCGGGATGCATGGGTGCTGGTGGACGCGGTGGTGGATTCGGCATTCCCGGTTGCCATTGAGGCTGGCCGCCTCCAAACGGTCCGCCCTGAGGCATACCCATACGCGGTTGTCCCGGTATTAATGGGCCATTTGGCCTAACTGGACGCTGAATTAGCGGCGGACGCATTCCGCCAGCCGGTGGCGGACCTCTTTGATTGGGATACGGTTGCTGACCGCCCAAATGCTGATTTCCTGCTCCTGGCCCGCCGCCTCCGGGAGCTGTCTTTCGCGATTGCATTTCAAAATGATTCAAATTTTGTCGATTACACGGAGTGACCACCGGATTCTGTCCGTGAAGTTCACTAATAAATACATATCGGATAATAAGCGGTCATAAGACAAACACAAACACAAACAGCACACACAAAAACTAACGGTAATTGTTGTAAACTAAGAGTAAACATACTTTTTTGGTAACTTTTCGATGACTGTCCGAACCGATGCGTCCGAACCCAATGTTATCACACAAAAACCTTTTGACTGGCCATTGGCCCGATTTTCGAAAAATTTCACCTCAAATATATCATTGACACCCAAATCAAGTACGGCGTCCATAACGTCCTGATCGGTGGTCCACTAAAAATACAAACAAAACACAAATTCAATAAAATCTGTTAATATAAAACTTTTGTTTTCTAAAGGAAAGCCGCGACTAACCCACGAAAGGTTGCCCACATAGAGGCCAATCTTTTTGGATGGCGGACCGCCACTACCGCTAAGACTAATGCCGAGGCCGTCGCCTGTATTGTCATTATTATTGTGATGGTTAGAGTTGCCATTATCTTGCGGTAGACCATAGTCGTCGTCGTCATCGCCGCCCCGTTTAGTCGACGGTGTTATCACAACGTCGTAGAGGTCACTGTTCGGGTCGTTGTAATCATTTTCCTAATATAAATGGGGTTTCAATTTCAAAAATTTGTTTCGTTTTAATATACAATTAATTATTGTAGTTAATTATCTAATACTGGTATATAATAAACTATATACTATATTATAATAAATATATATATAGTTGTGTGTGAAATAAATTGTTTAAAAAAAACTATTTGTTGTGTTCATACGTTTGTTAATTTTTTATTTATTTTGATAAAAAAAAGTTTGATTGTATACATTAAAAAAATTAATTAATATTTTTCAAATAATATACCAATAATTGTTATAATTGACAAACTTAATTAACATATATTTATGTATTAAATTGAATATATAAATAATACGATAGAATAGTAAGTAATAATAATAATATTAAGATTAATTAATTTCATTATACAACCAAAAATTATAAATATATTTTTAAACAATTTTATAGTTAAACCATTTATTAAAAAAAAACAATTTTAAATATCTTTTTAAGTTATACAGTACTTATACAAACAATAAACCCCTTCTATATATAACCTTATTTTTAATTATTTATTAAATTACCGATAATTTATTTTACAATATAAATAAGTCATAAATTATAATATTCTACATTTAAATTGCATTAACTATAAAAATAACTAAAAAATTAATTCAACAATTAAATTAACTAATATTCCTATTTAGATATAATGTTTAACTAATATTTTATCAAAAAAATAAATAAATAATTATTTCATTATTTTTTACATAACTTTCATTAAATAATTTCCTAAATTGTGTACAAAAATCATTCATAATATCACAAATATCTTATATTATATAAAAATTGAGCATTTTTTTGTTTAAATAATTGCTAACAAATTAATTGTACAAATATATGGCACTTAATTATATTTAGTACATCTCATGTTTTTAAAGCTAATAACTAATTATTATTGATTGTATCAAAAAATAAATAAATATACAGTTTTATGTACACAATATTTGTTATTATCATTTTTGTTTATAATAATCATCTAAAAAATTAATGTCATTTTCAATATTATATGTATACACACGGATAGATAAAATTAATTAATTTACTATAATTTATGTACAGTATATTAATTTCTTTTATAATAAAAATTATTATTAATTATTTGTTTAAATAACATTATGTACAGTACTTATCAATCATTTATATAGTGAATAAACTTTTTTTTGTTTTCGCCTACAATTCACTACATAATAATGTAAAGTACATATAAAAACCAATATTTTAACATTAATTAAAAAATATATTATATTATATATGAAATTATAACAAAAAAAATATTAATTATAAATTTAATAATAATAAATTATAATTTATAACTACCGGTAATCATTTAATTATAATGTATATTTAAAAACACCTAATAATTACAGTAATTAACTATAATTAAATAGCAATTAGTTTTTCATATTTATAAAAGTTATGAACAATTTTTGTTTACTTAAATTATATTTTTTGGTGTAATTTATAAGTTTTAAAAATAGTAAATTTATAGTATATTTTAATTAACTTATAATTATTATTAAATGAAGTTTTTTATATTATAAATAAATAGCATAATTAAAAATAAATTTATAAGTTAGATAGATATATCAAATAAAACAAAAATATATAAACTATTAACAAAAAAAATAAATATTAAAAATTGTTAAATAAATAATATTTTTAATACAATTTGATAAAAAAAATAATTAAAAAAACATTGTATTCAAACCGTAATTCAATTAAATATAACTCTTTTTTTTATTTAAAAAATACCGTTTTTACCCATTAATTAAAATATGTTTATAATTTTATATTCAAAATTATTATTTTTTATATACATTATTAAAATATTATAATCACATATTTTTTTATAAAATCAATACTATGGCACATCACAAACAACATTGCAATCAATAATAAAATTATATAACTTTTTTTTGATAATAAAAAAATATCACAATGTAAATCAATATTTTTTTCAACTATAATTTTTTTAAAAAATAATAATAAATATAATATAGATTTAAATTTGTATTTAATAAATAAATTTAATGTTTTTCAACACATTATAATCACTGTCTGACTATTAAAATATTATTAATTACTTTAATAATACAATTGATTGTTATTCTCAAAAATAATTATTTTTAAAAACCTAATGAAACGCTAGTAGTATTGTATTGAATGTCAAATTCAATGGCAATTTAATAACAATAGTGTTGTATAGATATGTTTTCATTGACTGTATATATATATTTAGTATAATTATATAATAATTGTAACAAAAAAAATCAAACAAACAATTGATTGTTAATTGCAATCATATATTCGGACGACATGTCAACTAAACAAACAAACAAAAAAAAATGTCACAACAAATGTCTGTTTATATCATTATAATAACCACACAATAGATATATAAATATTTTTTTTTTAAAAAAAAGGAGACATTAATGGTGTCTTCAAGAGTATATATATATGATATTATAGTGTATATAATGCATTCAATATTATATAGTATATGTATAGCACAGTGTGTATAGTGTGTAGTGTATTGGTAACAGTAGTAGTAATAATAGTAGTAGTAGTGACTAGTGTTGTGAGAGAGAGAGAGAGAGGGAACGGGAGATAAAGGGAGAGTCGCTAAACAAACAAAAAAACTAACATTTAAATCAATTTTTTGTTGTTTAATTAAATCATTAAAAAAATTTACGTTTAAATAATTTTGTCGAAACTGTCAACAAACAAACAAACAAATAAATAAATTCAAAAAAAAAAACAGTGAAATTTGCAACACTAGTAGTATAATTATCTGGTAGTGACAGTACAATACAGTATTGTTTTTGTATTAATTAATTAATTAATTTTTGGTGTCATTTATATGTGTTTTGTTTAATGGATGGCAAACCTGATTGAACTCTTCGCCCAAATCGTCGGCATACAGATCGATGTTATCGGCGTTATTCGGGTCAGCGGTCGACATGTGTGTGTCAGCGCCGGTAGTTGTCGTTTCGCTCTATCGGATGATATGAATGACGGCAGTGGTTGTCGTCTTCGTCGATGAGATAGTTGTCCGTCAGTCAGTCAGTCGGTCGGGTAGTAAAAGGGATGGTGTGGTCAGTCAGTCAGTCAGTCAGTTATAGTTGTAGTAGTGATGGTATCCCCAAAGCAAATGGTTGTGTTTTGTGTGTGTGTGCGGCGCTTAACGTTGAGCTCAGTCCTAAAGAGAGAGAGATATGCCTATGTGAGCGCTCAGTTAGCTTTTATAATACCAGTGCTTAATATAATATTAGTGTATTATTATTGAACAATGACTCGAGTCGTTCACATATTACGTGTTTTAACACTAATATTGTAATACTTTTAATAATGTGTTTATTAAACTTTTATTATTATTATTTAAAGTTTAAAACCAATTTAAAGTTTATAATGTATTATAAAGTTTATATACTACTTGTAATAATAATAATAATAATAAAACACTAAATAATAATAATATTATWTGTGWTTTTTTTTAATAAAAAAAAGTTTTTKTTGTTGTTTTTGTTTAATTAATTTAAAAGCCAAACAATAAATTGATTTTTTTTGTTGTAAATTTTTAGTTTAAAACCGGGGGGTAATATGTTTGGGGGGATACTTATGTCTGAAATTAGTAATATTATTTTTTTTATTACCGAAATTTGTAATGAAATAAATTATTTTTAATTTAATTTTTTTTTTGTTAAACATAGTAGTAATAATAATAATATGTAAAACAATATTAATATACAATATACATAAATATAAATTTTTAATAATTAACATAAAATATATTTATTATAACTTTTTGTTGTTATTTAGTATTATATTAAATCAATTGGTCCAATTTATCAATGAATTTTTAAAATAACAATTATTATTTTTTTTAATAATAACAAATCACATAATATATATATTTGATTACCAAAACAAAACCAAACTAATTACTCCCCTGACACTTGAATTTTTCAATTTTAAATATTTTTTTTAGTAAATGTCAAAAAATATAAATTTTGTCAAAATTTTTATACAATAGAATCTGAATCGTTAATTATCAAGCAATATATCATATAATATCAATATTATATATATATATATATTTAATTTTTCAAATTTTCATAAAATAACAATTTTCATTATACTATACATTTAATATATCATATATAAAGTGATTTATGTTTTAGATTTTTAAAAAAATGTGCTAATACTATAAATAATTTATAATTATAATACTATACTATAAATTTCAATGTTTTTTTTAAATGACATTTTAACTGTTTATGACATAAAATAGTCATTATTTTGTTTTCTAGGCTTCAATGATGCGGTCAATTGGTCGCCATTTGGCAGCTGACAGACACTACTACTACTACTAATACTATGGTTGGTGTCGACATTGTTAATGGCATTGACAATGGTTGGTATGGTTGGACTACTGGTCAGTGACACAGTGCTTGATGTATGGGTTAGAGCACTGACTGCTGTTTTTGATGCCAATTGTTGTACAGATTTTATTTTTTGCATACAATCTAATTATAAGTGAGAGAGAGAGAGAGAGAGAGAGAGAGAGAGAAATAAAAAATTAAAACAATTTATTTTTATTTACGAAATTTTATGCTTACTTAAGTTTGTTGGTTAATGTCTTAAAAAATTATTTTGATTTAAATTATTAAATATATTTTTATACTAAAAAAATCTCCAAACATATACTGTATATATAAATTATATTCAAACTACTATTTAAATTGAAATAATTATTGTACATACAGTCTATATATATTATTTATATAATTTTTATATATAAGATATTTATATATATATAAAGTTTTAATACCTCCGTTAACTAAAACTTGTGGATTGCCTGCTTGAGTGGCCATACCTTTGGCAACATTGTTGGCTCCGGCAGCCGACGAAACCGATGTTTGCGTATAATTTGTGGCCCGATTTCGGTTGAATTGTTGTGAATGACAGCACATAACATTTTCTTTGGTATTTTTCTCAGGTTTCAATAGTGCAATATATACCTAATAATAATAATAATAATAATATTTTTTTTCAACAAAATACAAATAATTTTTTCAACAACAAAAATTTATATAATATTTAGTATCATAACAAATATTTTTTTTAATTAAAAATAAATTTTAGACTTACTTTGGGCACAAATAGACAGGCAATCTGTACGGCGCCGCTCAGGCTTAACAGGAAACTCAATGTAACCGATCGGATGACAGTACTGGTGCTCAACACGAACAACGGCAGAAATGCCAACCATATGACACAAGTGGTATAGTTTGTGAATGTCAGATATCGGGCCTCATTGAAACCTTCGGGACATTTGCGGGTTTTGAACGCATACACTGTACAGAATCCTGTATTTTTGTTGGTTATATTGTAAGTTATATATATATATATATACAAAATTAACTATTTTGTTAAAAAATACCGATCAAAATGGATGGATAAACAAGTCCCACGAGATAGGATGTGTTGTCCGATCCGAGACATATGAGTACGTTGGCCTCGCGGCTCGGGTAGACATGCGTGACGTCCGGTTTGTCGTAGAATAGCCAACAAGCGTTTACCATCACTTCAATCGATATCAATAGTCCAGTAATGATTAGCTGGGACTGCGGTGATGTATATTTTGGTTTAGTACACGAACGGCGCCTCCTAAACATAAATGGTGTCACAATATATAATATTATATTACAGTATATGTAAATTCATTCAATTGATTTTAAAAATGATTACTTAAATATACGATGAATTCGGTTGGTTTTTGTGACAATAGCCGAATAGCAGATAGTATAGCAAAAGCCGAGAAAAAATCTGGTCAAACCACAGGTCCAGGCGCTGGGTTTCGATACAATCACAAATGTCATGCTAAACGATAGCAATATGCCGGCCAATAGTAGATAACTGAGCTCACGGCCGGCCGCTTTGATAATGGGAGTCGAACTGTACAACCAAAACACTAGTATAATAAACGCCGTGATTGTCATACCCAGTATGGCAAACGCCATGATACCTATGGCCCACCAGTCCGTGTAGCTCAGGTAGGCTTCTTCTATGGACAGACATCGGGTCTTACTGTTTGACGGTAATGTTCCTAATAATAAATATATTATATAAATTATAATATATTTTTAGTTTTACTTATTTTCTATCTAATAAAAAAAATTTATATGTGAATATAATATTTAAAAGTAAAATTCGGGTTATTTTTCTTAATTATTGATTACAATTGATAGACAATTAAATAAAACTAAAATAAAAATAGATTTTGTTTTTATTATTTGAAAACAAAAAAATTAATCTAAAATAAATTTTAAAATTTAAACTAAAAATAATTATATCAATACAACATCATTGAACTATTATTACTACCACTAATAATAATATGTGTAAAATACCAATAAAATTGAAACTATAGTAATGTTATGGACACAGAATTTGTATGAATTCTTGTATTATTATTACTACTAAATGATAAATTAATTGACATATATTTTGCTATATTATAACATAAAATAAAAATTATATACAATTTGTTAGATGTTTGTATTTGTATATAAAGTATTTGTATGTCTGTAGGAAAAGTATATAAATATATAATACAGTATAAACTTTATATCGGTATAAAATTAGCACTTAAAATGTTTTTCTATACATTATTATTTTGTTAATTTATATTTTAACTTTAAAAAGGTTTCATTTAATCTTTAAATTATTATGTTTTGTAAAAAATAAATTAAAATTTTAGTATAAAAATCTAGTACTAAAATACTCAAAATTTCAAAATTTCGAAATATTAGTTTTATCAAAATAATATATATATATATATATATTCTAGTGAATTTTAAGTAAAATACTGTATAAATTTAACAAAAAAAACTATAATTTATTTATTAACCAATTACTGTATACACAAAAAAACATATATTATAAAAGCAAAATATATAATATTAATAAAATAAATTAAAAGTTAACATTAAAATTAATTATAAGTCAATTAAAACAATATATAAGAATATTTCAATAGTTTATTTAAATTAAAACTTTTATCTTTTATTTTTTTTAGAAATACCTAACGGACAGTCCTCGCAATGGTATTCATCGGCCAGGTATTGATATGTTGAACAGTTAGTACAGAGCCAGCAGCACGTGTCGCCCTCAAGCTGTAGTTTGGCCTGACCCGACCGACACGGTTCGCTGCAAAACGATCGGGGAAAGTGGGGTTGGTCGTGCTTGAAACGCATGGCATTGATGTCCAACTCAAGTCGGGCCACATCACCATCATTGGCCACTTTTTGTTGTTATTGTTGTTGTTGTTGTTGCGAAACACATAAAACAAATAATATGTTTTTTTATAATAAAATCTTTTTGTATGTTTGTATGAATTTATATAATGTCATTATATCATATAAAAAATATTATATAATTTACATTAAATAAATAACTATATATATATTCATCAAAAAAATTTTACTTTAAATCTTTTATTTGATAAAATAGCTAATACATAAATATAATTTATATAGTTTATACTGGTAGGTTAATTGTTGATATAATCATATACTGTATAAATTTATTGTATTGTTTGATGTTTACCAATATAATTATTTGTTAGACACCAAACAAAAAAAACATTTTATAACAAACAAAAAATATTACTAAACTTTTTTTTGATAGATATTATTATATTCAAGCGATAAGCTTAACGAAATATATTGTTTTTCTTTTAAATGTCTAACAAAATGTGTAAATAATTATAATAATATTACTAAAACAACTATTAACCCAAACATTATGTCTATCTTATCGTAACTAATGTCTAACTATAGTTAAGTGTTTTTTCAAGATTTATTAAACTGGTAATATTCAATAGTAATATATATACGGTATATGCGGTACAGTATAGCAATTTAATTTAGTCAACTCACGCATATAGGTGCCCACTGGTCTCCATTCAAACGAGCCATTAGGTAGGCGCTGAAAATTGATGACACTATACCGTGGAGGGGCATCACCACTGGGCAGGAATCGGAATGTTTTGCCGCTTTCATCTAACGGTGCATTCAATTATGCAAATATATATATATAAACAATATTATTATAATTGTAATTAGTTTTTTTATATAAATGCGATTAGTTATGCATTAATAATTTAATAATTTGTTTGATAAGAAATAATATATAGTCGTATAAATAAATCTATTATTTAACAAAACAACAAAATAAATAAACCCTAAATAGATGTTTATTAAATTTATAATTAAATTAATTATAATTATTAAAATTAAATTTATTAAATAATTTGTTAAGTTTCTGTTAAAATTCATATTAAATTGTATTTTTTTGTAGATTGTTTTTATTATTTAATTAATTATATAAAAACATAAATATAAAGTATCCATTTAATTAAAATGTTAAAATAAATATCCAGTAGATTAAGCACTTGTATATATTATGGGTAAAAATGCAATACTAAATCATATACAATATAGTTATGTTTTGTATAAAAATTAATGTCATTTTTATAGAAACTTTTGTTTAAAAATATTTTTATTAATTTTTTTTTTAAAAAAAGGAGTAACAATTTATCACTTATTTGTTTACTCGACTATACATTGCACGCGCATTGAATTAATTACTAGTAATTAATTAAATATACAATAAATTTTTTGATTAAATCATAAAATTTTAGGTCACATTATATTTATATATTTATAAATACAAAATATATAGCATTTTTAAAAAAATGTTTATTTTAGTTGTTATTAATAATTACCTTTGAAGTTGACTTTTTCGACATACTTTTTGAGATCGGCGCCGTCGATGTCCATCATTTGCGGACACAGACCGTCGGCATCTGAGCCACACTTGTCTTTGTGCATATCGTCGAGAGCGTAGGCAAAAGCATAGGCCGCGTCCCTAACAAAATGCAGTGAAGGTGTCTGACGAAAGTCAGGCGATATGGACCGGGTCTGCGAACACCAGTGCGGATAGGGTTCGTTGAACGGTGTTGTCTGAAACTGTGGTAATTTACATTTGAAGTGTTCCTCCCAGAACTCGTTGAACCACGGATTCAGTTGATTGTTGTTGTTTGGCGTCAAATTGGTAAAGTATTCGGTAAAGCCGTCTATCGGCCGGACCAATGGCGTAACAGTGATGGCACCCTCGACTACGTGCTCAAGATTTTTGACTACCGAATCCCGACAGGCCCAGGCCTCGCTGCCGATCCATATGAACCGATTGATAGCGTTTCGACGTTTGGCGGCCGCCATTATGTTGCGGGCCGTGTTTTTGTCGGTAAATACTACTACCACTGATTATAAGACATAATTGTTGTTCAAAATGTAGGGTTAGATTGAAAATAAGATAAGCAATTATTTTGTTAAAAATATATAGTTTATGTGCAAAAATTTTTTATATATGATATATTGGTAAAATCATTGTCTATAAATTATTTAGACTATAATAATCTGTTTTATATGTATTTTTTGTTGTTGGAAAATAATTATTTAAAATGATATACTGTATTAAATAATTTACAGTAAATTTGTTTTTTATTATTATATCAATTAATCCTGAAATTTGTTTTAAATTATAAAATGTATTGTTATTTAATAATAATAATAATAATTCAAAAGTATTTATTATCCCATTTTTTTTGTTGTTGAAAAAATTTTATAATAAATATGTGAAAAAAGGATTATATCGAAACAAATTTTATTTTTCATTAATATTTAATTTTTTCAAAATAAAAAACTTAAATATTTATCTTTATTTTTGTTGTTGTTGTTATCAATTCTGTGCTAAAAAAGTTATTTTTAGCAAACAGTTTATAATCCAATGCACTAATTCTGTACTTTCAATATATATTTATATATATATATATATATAATATATATTAATATAATAGTAATCAAAAAATAGCAAATGTGTTTGTATTTGTATATTTAGTTCAAACAATTTGCCATTAATTCAATGTTTTGTTCAAACAGTTGCGATAAAAATATATATTATTAGTATATTATAGTACAATATATCCATGACTTCAAATATTAACAGTTATTTGTGTTTACAATGACTTCAATAAAACAAAATAAAATGTAAATATAATGCAATTTTTGTTTTTAAAATAAACCAGTTAAGAATGCTAGAAAGCATTTTCAGAAAAAAAACTTGAATAGCATTGAAAACCATTAGTTATAGCGGCTATATAATATATAAAAATTTAAAAACTGGTCAAATATACATTAAATAAAATTTTTTTATACTTTTGCCGCCATTTAAAAAAAATATGCTGAAATATTATATCATTTTTTTGATGCTCTTTACAATTCTAAACGTTAAAATTTTTACCTAATTTTTGTTACTTTGGCCGCCATTTTCTTTATGATCCCGAAGAGATCAAAATTTTAATGCATATTTCTTATGCTTGTTTTTGATGCTTTATTCAAATCTATACTTTAAAAAAATTTCTTAAAATTTTTTTTACTTTGGCAGCCATTTTGTCCATGTTCCCGAAGAAATATCAAAATTTTAATTCAACTTTTCAATACATTATTAGTAGTCCTCTAACCGAATCTGAAGTCAGAATTTCAAAATTCGCAAAAAAATTGCTACACACACACACACACACACAAAAAAAAGGCTCGTATAGATTTCAGAAAACAAAACTTTTCAAGTTTTTTTTGAAAATATTTTCGGTTTTTAACTAATGAAATATAATATACTTTAAATAATTTTTTGAAATCTGAAATCTAAAACTTTATTTTGATAATCGATTTTTTTATGATTCAACAAAAAAAAACACATTTCAAAAAAAGATTTTCAATGTCATAGTAAAGTCAATTAAATATTAATTATATTTATATTTTGAGCGATACATAAATAATTAGATTATTTATTTTAATATTCAATATAATTTTATTTATTAAAATATAATAAATAGATTAATCATTCAAATTGAGATATTAATATTTATATAAAATATTAAACGTTTATTATTTTTAAAAAACTAAAAAAATTAGTGTAAATTAATTTATAATATAAATTAAACAAAAATTGTTTATCTTATAAGCCAATCATCAATAAATTAATTTTAATAATAATAATAATTAAAAAGTTAAGTAATCATTAAGTAAGTATATAAATATATATATATATATATATATATATATATATAAACAAATTGAAATTTCGACAAAAAAAATTAAAAGTTTAGTTTTAAATATGTTATCTAATATTTTTTATTAATCTAATTTATTTTGCAATTTATTAAAATAATTATATTTTAGTAATTTTTGTTTTTTGATGTCTAATAATTTGCTGACAATTTTATGATAATAATATATTAAAACGATTAGATAAAAATGCAATTATGTATAGTATTATATTTGCAAAAACTACTATTAATCATGTTTGCGGTATTAATTAAAATTTATATTTAATTAAAAATAAGAATAATATTGTTGTCAATAATTTAATTGATTAAAGAATATTCTGTATTCTGTTATTATTATGTATTTGTTTTTGTTGTTGAATATATTAATATTAGAAAATATATATGGGTTTTATTATAATAGCTAAAATATAGCAAATATTTAACTATGAAACTTAATGTTTTACTATAATATCATAAATTAATATGTTTAGTGTGCATCCATTTAAGTTAATCAAATTAAATCCTATTTTCAAAAAATAAATAAATAAATAGTATATAACACTCAGTTAACATACATTTAATGTTTTGTTAAAATAATTGTAATAATATTAGTACTAGAAATACTAGAACTAATATTAAATTATAATATTTTTATTTTGATTGTTAATTAAATTATTTGTACTCTACTGTAAATTGTTTATATTTATATATACAATATATGGTATAAGATATACAAATAAATATAAATATACAGTAATTCAATGGTAGATAAAAATTGTTTGATAACTCTAATCGAGTTCAAGGATTATTATATGTTTATTGAATAAATTGCTAGTTTATAACATTATTATAATCTTATAAATTATTACTTAATTATATATTTCACTGATTATTATTGCATATATACACACAGTATTTTAGTAACAAAATAATAATTACTTTTTTGATTTATATGTGTTTTTTTTGTTGTTGCTGTTGTATGAAAAATATTTTAAAGTTTAAATAAATGATAAATCATTATTTATAAACAATTAGTCTATATTCTAACAAATCAATTAAGTTATAGTTTATTATTTTAATTAAGTGATAATTAAATTTGATAATTTCAAAACTAATAGTTTTATTATACCAGTAGTTGAAAACAACAACAAAAATTAAATTAAAATAGAAATTTTTTTTTTTGAAAATAAAATTAATGTGTATTTAATGATAAATTTAATATCTTTAAAATTGAATTATATTGAAGCGGAAATAACATCTACTTATACTGTAGTTTATATATTAATAATATTTGTGATAATAAAAAAACTTCTGATATATTATACTTTACTATACTATACTATACTTTATTTTAGACTTTATTTTTTTATTTTTATATAATAAATTTTGTACTGTTATTGAATTTAAACGACAAAAATATGATAAATGATTTGTTTTTTATTATTTTTTTGGACAAAAGAATTTTGATTTAAAACTATAAGAAAATTAAATGCAACATAAAGTTTGAATTATATATTATTATTCTTATGTATTGTATTATAAAATATTATATAAAAACACAATTTATAATAATAATAGTAAAGTATAATCAATAATACGCTTAAAGCTGTAATCGTTAAATGTTTGCATAAAAAGTTGTTTCTTATATATACTGTATACCGTATATTGAATTAATATGTTATATAAATATTTTGTATATCAAAGATATTATGTTTCATATATACATAAGTTATCATCATTATTGTCAATGAAGTAAATATTTATAACATTTATTAATCAAATATTTTTATTTTTGATAAACTATATCCATATGAATATTAAAACAGCACACATAGACTAAGTATATACTACAGGGTATACTATATCTAATAGAGTATACAATATAAGTACTCAATGTAAATATATATATATATATATATATATATATGATATCTATTCACAATTGTAATTATATTGTATTGTATATCATATTATTATGATTCATAATATCGGTTATATACTGTATTACAAAAGAGTAAAATAAATAACATAAAAAATACTAAATATTTTTGAATTCAATTATTGAATTTCAATATACTGTATAAAACAGTATTTTATATTATAAAAGTGTTAATATCATATTAAATACCAGTTTATAGAAAATCGATTGTACAGTATTTCATTGGCATTTATATCAATATTACAACACATAAATACCATACTATAAATAGGATGGGGGAAGTCCACTATTGTGGGACAGTCGTATATCAACCAAATTATGGAAAAAAAGTTGACACTAACCTCTAGCATTGATTTTATGCATCAAATTTTTGATAACATTATCATAGTCGGCGTCGGCAAAGTGGTCAACATTGATGGCCTGTGGACTGGAAAAGCATATATTGTGATAGTAGGCTAACTCCTGTAGCAAATCGTAGCCTTTATTGCCGTAATCAGTGTCCGAATAGACAACCGATACGTATGTCCAGCGGAATGTCCTTTCAAATTGCGATAATAATAATAAAATAATAATATTTAGAAAAAAAATAAATCTATCGATTATAAATTAGGTAATCTAATATATATATATCGTTTTAAATCAAAATTAATTATCAGATTATATAAATTATATAATAATAATTATTATCAAAATCAAAACTGTTTGGTTCCGGGTTTTACACTTTTATATAGAAATTAAAAAATTAAAGTTAACACAAAAATACCATATGTTTTGGTCTATAACTATACAGAATATTCATGAAATTTGTGAGTTCAAAATTTAATGCAATTATAAATATTTTTTTTTGTTGGATAAATTAAATATACAATTGTTTACAGGAAACTCATTTTAATTAAATAATTTCATTATTTTTGTTGTTGATGTAAATTTTAATTAATAGTAATTATTAATATTATTATTTATTTAACATATTCTTTGTTATGAAAATATATTTTTGTCACAATTTGATAATTTTCAGCAAATTTTTTTAAGACTAATTATCAAAGTTACAGTTAATTTTATGAAAATGGGAAAATTTTTAACTTAATTTATATACAATTTGTATTACATAGTCAATTATTAAAAAAAACAAATTTTTGCTAATTGTTAAATAAATAATTAAAACTTAAAAGTTATATTAATTAATCATTTTGTTAACACATATTATAGTTGATAATATGCTTTCAATATTTTTGGAAACAAAAATAATTAAAAAAAATAAGTTTAATTAAAATTAATTTATTATTGTTGTCGACTGTTTAAATTAATCCATACATGTATTATTACATTTAGAAATAATCTATTTTATTATATATATATATATATACTTATATTGGAATTAATTAAATTATCCCGACACATTTTTGCTATTATATATTAATCCATGTTGTATTATATAATTATATGCCCACATAATGTAACTTAAACCTGTAGTTAAAATTAGATATTATATATAAAGTATTATTAGATAATACCATATAATATAACTATTTTACATATACTCTACAATGTACTATAAATTTAATATACTAGGATATAATATATCAATATTTTATTTGAATTTTTTTTATTATTAAACATATTTTTTTTTTTTAAAAAGTAATCTAATAATAGTGTTCAACAACAACAAAAAATTGTTGTAAATCTGTCAACTTTTAAAAAAATAATTTATTAGATATCATCCTATAATATATATATATATATATATATATATATATATATATATATATATATATATATATATATATATCAATATATGTTGAGTTATTGTGCAATATTTTTGTGAGTTTATATTTTATGTGAACCAATAATTTTGATTTTTGTTTTGTTTGTTTCAGTCAATGTATTATACAGTATATATACAGTATATATATTGATACTTAAATATCTAAGACATGTATAAATATATTAAAAAAATAATGTCATATATTTATAGACATAAAAAATAATGTGTCAATAGAAATGAAATATTTTTTGTTTTTATCTGATATCCTAATATACTTAATATATTATATACAGTATATAGACTTATAATTTTTTTTGTGTATAAAAGCTTTTTATTGTTTTAGGCTAAATAATGATATAATTATATATATTGTATTGTAAAGCATATAATATAATTCACTAAACAATAGTGCGTTTGCAATGATAAGCTTAAGTTAAGCCAAACTTTTTAGATATAATATGCTTTTTCTAGTAATTAATAAAATTAAATTCTTGTTAAAAATAAGTAAATATAATATAAAATATAATCTTATTTATAATATATATAGCATTACTAAATAAAATTATTGATCAACTTTATTTTTTCCCCATCATTGATTTTATTGTCTAGTATTAAAACATTTTTTAAAAAATTAAATAAACTATTAACTAAAAATAAAATACAAAAATTTATATATAAGACATTATTTAAGATTTTTTTTATATAGTCTTTACTATACAGTAAGTATTGTATAATCTTTTAATTTGAATTTTATTACTAAACAACAATTATTGCATAAAACTTAATCAAACGTAAGTCTTATGTTGAATATAAACATATAAACTCATATTTATTATTAAAAAAATAGACATTTTATATTATTATTATTATATAACTAATCGACAATATTGCTTTTGTATCTATTATGTAATAAATAGTAATCAAAAAATATATATAATGTGAATGTACTGTACGTTACATAAAATAATATCTTAAGTAATTTATTTATTTTGTTTATTTAAGTAAAAAAAGCAAGAAAACTCATTTATATTATATAATATTAACTTAGTTAACTGTTAGCAATAATATATATATATATATATATGTATAAATGTATATAAATAATTTTTATCAAATAAAATGTTACATAAAAAACAAAACAACAAAAAATATTATACATATACCAGAAAAATACCATTTATATATATATATATAAGTAGTAATAATGACATACTAGACATTACGTAATATTACATAGTTTAATTGAACATGTATATAATAAACAAAACACAATTAATTAAAAAAATTTATTATTGTAAATTATTAAAAATTACATGTTATTAAGATTTAAAGAAAAAATAAAATATTTGTATACATAAATTTAAATAAAATAAAAATATTATAAAGAATTATATAAATGTTTAATAATTTTATCATTATAATTTTTATCGCAACTAAATAAATTTATAAATTGATTAAATGATTTATTATATTTTAACTTATAGATTATATAGCTAACACAATATTCACCACAAGTTATGCATGTGGTGCATTGTAATGTAATATTATTATAATTTATACCATTAGGACAATATTTATTTAAAAAATTGATATATTCTAAATAGTAAGGCGGGGATCCATATGAATCAAAATATTCTCCATAACCATTATCATTAAGAAACATAGCTATCCAGTGAGTTCCAGGTTCAGATGATTTATCAGTATTTACAATTATACCACATGGGAAAGTATTTGAGACTGGTAGTGTATCTCTAGCAAACACACCACCAAAATTAGATAATTTATTTAATTTTTCGATAATTTCTGTAGTAAACATTATTAACGATAATCCATTGCTATAGACTTGTCTTTATACATACTTATTAAATTCTCAAACTCGTAATAAAATAATGCATTAACAATTGTTGGTAGAGGTTTTTCAAAATGTATTTCAAATCTCATAATACCATATTGTGGAACGTTTACGTAACCTGTATCTTGATAACCATGAGTATGATCTTGATTTGTATTAAATCCAAATATAGTAAAACCATTTTTATAATCTTCACTAGTTATATCCATTTTACCTTTTTCATCATATTGTTGAGTTACTTTAAATAATTCCAGGTATTCACGACAATATTTGTTTTTGCCAAAATCTGGCGTAAATGGTTTTCTTGCAATTTGATTTCCATTTATAAAACAAGAAATAGAATTTATATCAAAATGATAAAAATTAAATGGATTTTTAGTATATGATCCACTGTAAGCTTCATTAGTTACAAATGCTACGTATACCCTATGCGGCAATTGTCCATTAATAACATTTTCTATATTTCTACTACGCGCGCCAGCATCTATGGTAACTGTACGTACTTCTCTTCTATTCAGTATATACTTTGCTGCAACATCTTTATGTATATTAAAACTTTTAGTATGTGCTGCAACAATATCTTCAGATACTCGACATTTAATAATATTAAAGTGAATATCTTCAAAATGAATTCTAGGTATTAATGTACTATCATTAGTCATAAAATAAAATTCAGGTCTATTGGGAATCATTCTTATATTTAATTTTGTACCACCAACAAGTAATTTTGTCTGTAGAAACATACTGATAAATAATTTGCCTTCTAATTCAACATACTTTCCTGTATGAGGAGGTTCACTTGTTTCATTTTTAATTAATTCAATTCTTTGTTTTACAGGAATATTTACATTTTCTCCTTTCATATTTTCTTTGGTAAATAATTCATAATGTAAATATGTTTGCCTTGATCTTTCTGAAGTATATAAAACTTTACCTATATAAGATTTATAAGCATATGTCTGTAAAGATGATGATGTTTGTGAATCATTTATAGACACATCTATTTGGCTCCATAAAGAATTGAAAAAGTTATTAACTAATGATACATTATTCCAATCATTCTCAACTATTTCAGTATTATTCGTTTTTGCTAATTTAACTCGAAAACTAAAATATAATGTTGAATCGAATAAAGAAATATACTCATCAATATTACTTTTAATTTCAAATTCAATATGTCCACCATTATTAAGTTGAGATAAAGGTCGAACTTCTTCACAAAATCGTTCTTTTATTGAAGTTTGAACCAATGAATTACTAAAAATATCTAGTTCAGGTACAATAGCCAAAGATGATTTTTCATTTACTAAGCTCATGTTTATCCAAATATCGATTTAATGTTTTTGCGGTTAAACAGTGCTTTACTTGACTTTTTATACTTTTTTCCACCAGTTTGTCCACGCCTTTTTCTACCTTTACCTGTTTGTCGTTTACGTCTTCTGCCTTTCCCTTTTTGTCCACGACGTCTTTTACCTTTACCTGTTTGTGCAAATTTCATAGCTCTTTTACCAGAATCGTTTATAACTGTTTTACCTAACTCTTTACCTCGAGTTTTAAGTGAATCGATTATATTCTTACCTTCTAATGCATCATTAGCTATGTCAGCTCCAGCATTAAATAGTTTTGGACTTATATATTTTATCATAGGTAAAATTCCTCTATTATATATAGTGCCCCAAACTTCTGCAAAACCATCACCTCTTTGAAATTTATAACCTTCAAAACCTGGTATACCAGAGCCAGCCTGATTTGCATAATAATTTAAATATGGATTAGTCATTTTATATTATTAATTTTTTTTCTAAAATGTAAAGTTACAGATGTACGTCCAAATGCAAAATTTATACTTTTATTTGTATCGTCTTTAATATCGATCTCAATAGAATTAAATTCATAAGAAACTAAAGAATAATAATGTGGA